ATACAAATTTATAACCCATGTGGAATTTTTATATTATTAACACACCCTCTCACATGTGTTCGAGTTGAGCCAATCATCTGGCCAGCCTAACACATGTTAAAGTTGCACATCCAACACATAAGCAATTGGCAGAGGATGCGGGGACCTTGAATTTTAGATTTTGTGATTCAATGTAATATATATATATATATATATATATATATATATATAATAGAGGATTTTATATTCTCAATGACGCTTATGCATTTCCTCTTTTTCTTGACCAGGAAATTACCTTAAGTTCTATAGTGCTATAAAACGTGCCTATCCAGACATCAAAATAATTTCAAACTGTGACGGATCTTCTCGAAAGTTGGATCATCCAGCTGATTTGTATGATTTTCATGTAAATTTCATAACACCACCACTTGTATTACACTTGCTAATGAATTTTTATTTTTTTACCATTCAATGCGTTGGATTATTGATTTGGCAACATGGAATGACATTTGCAATATTAATCTTACCTTCTGATCTTTATTTAGGTCTATACAGATGCCAAAAACATGTTTTCTATGGCTCATCAGTTTGATCATGCATCACGTAGTGGTCCCAAGGTAGGGTAATGTGCCTTCTTATGATTTAATCTGCTCTGAATGGCTTCTATTAATTTTCTTAACATTCAATATGATTCAGGCTTTTGTGAGTGAGTATGCCGTCACTGGGAAAGATGCTGGAACAGGAAGTCTTCTAGCAGCACTAGGTGAAGCTGGATTTCTTATTGGGCTGGAGAAAAACAGGTTTGTTGTAGTATTTCAAGAATTTGTTTCCTGTAATATTTTCCAGAATGCTTACAATGTTTTCTTTACAGAAAATATTTTTCTTCAAAGTTCCAGCCGGAAAAATATGCATAGTTTGCTATCTTATATAGATATGTCTACACATAATTAAAGATCTGACTTCTTTATTATATATTTGTGAATACAGTATTTCTCCTTGCAAAAGAAATGCATAGCATTTCCTGCACTTTTGTTTACTACAAATCCATATTGTGTGTTGCCATATTTCTTTGTGTGACCAGCTGCACATCTGTTTTCTATGGAGTTGAAGGCTTCTGATATTCCCAACCTATAGAGATAGTATTAAACTGAAATAAAAAATGATAAATGGTAATAGATCACAGATGTACATGAGGATTCTAGGGTAGTAATCTTTATACCTTGTTTTTACCAAAAGATTTATATATTTGCAAAGACGGGCAGCTACTGAGTACTTTCATTGTTTATTCTTATCAAATGCAGTGATGTTGTTGAGATGGCAAGTTATGCACCACTCTTTGTGAATGCCAATAACAGGAGGTATACTTTTCTCATCTCATTCTTTTTCTCTAATGCAATTTTTATTTATTAAGTTTTCAACAGGGGATCATTGTTGTGTAGTTATTACTAAAACTGAAAACTTCTCTGTCATCAAGGTGGAACCCAGATGCAATCGTCTTTAACTCATCACATCTCTATGGGACTCCTAGCTACTGGGTGCAATGTCTTTTTAACGAATCAAGTGGAGCAACTATTTTCAATGCAACACTCCAAACAAATTTGTCTACTTCGCTTCTTGCATCTGCAATTTCTTGGAAAAATTCAGAAAATGAGAATAGTTACCTAAGAATCAAGGTTTTTTTTTGTGCTAGTACATTATCTCAGTCAGTTTTGTGCTTCGTGATGCTTAATTGAGATTGTGTTCATCTAACCTTTTTTGTTCTGTGTAAATTGTAGTTTTTTGATGCCTTTATAGTGTTTCTTGCCATCTAATACATAGTTGGAATACCTAGTATGGAAAGAAGCTCAAACTTCACGTTGCTCTAGAACTATTACGACTAAGTTGCTTTGCTTCAAATGGAAAATATTAGAGACTAACACTCAATCAATGCATGAATCTGAATTCCTTTAGCAATAAATTTTACATGAATTGTCAGTTAAATATAGGGCGTGTATTTATTGTCCATTCTTTTTGGAATGTTTTCTTTTTTCTGCTCAACTTTCCAGGCGCATCTGGTCTGAAGTAACATGTGTTTGCTTGTACTGCGTTCTTTCTGCGTGTTTGGTGTCATCTTTCTTTGTTCAGTATGGTGAGTCTGTCGGCCTTTTTTTTTCCTCTGTATTGCTCAGTATCCACCTGCTGTTACAAAGTAAAATTACATTTTAATGTGAAGGCTGTGAATCTTAAACCTTTGCTTTTTTTTTCTGCACAGAAGTCTTTCTACTAAAATCCAGTAGAAAGTATGAGATGAAACTTATACATGTTAACCTTAGTTACAATAGTCAGAGTATGATGTGCATATTATATGTTAATATTTTTTTAAAATAATATAACTATCTTGAAATCCTTCTCCCAAAAATAAATGAATGAACAATTTTGATGCTGAGTGCACGTCTGGTATCCATCAATCCAACTTTTACAGGAACTAGGGTTTGTGTTAACTTCTCTTTCCCATTCTTAATCAATGAGTTTCTGTTTGCTTAGAATACCTTTATTTCAATACGGTTATTGCTTCATGCAAATAAGTGATATTTTAGGATAAGTTCTGTAGCAGTATTCTGCTTCTACCCCTTAGTAGATGGCAGTGGAAGTTGCCAAAGTCCATACTCAAACTAATATACGAAAATCATCTTTTAGGCAGCCATTGATTGTTCACTATTTTTATGTTTAGGTTTCTTTTTGAACCATGACTTCATTCCAAATTCGTGCAGCTTTGTTCAACAGTTTCTACTAATATGGTGCATGTCATATTCTGTGACATCTTATTACTTTGTGATGATTATTTCTTTCTGTAGATTGTGAACTTCGGAACAAACATAGTGAATCTCAAGATTGTTGTGGACGGGTTGGAGCCGAATTCCATTAATCTGTCTGAGTCAACCAAGACCGTGCTCACATCAACCAACCTGATGGATGAGAATTCCTTTAATGAGCCAAAGAAGGTATCTGAGTCAACTTGTATCCTTTAACATTTTCATATTGTTGAAGACATGCCCCTGCATTGCTTTTGTATATAATTGGAGATGCTGTGTGCCTATATTAGTTTATCTTGACTTATTCAATCATGAACTGTTGAAATATAAAAGAATAGTGGACCTATGTCACATATTTTAAATTTTTAGGATAATGGTGACTTAAAAAGCATCTAAGCATAGTTTAGAGTGTCAATGACCCTAATCTGTCAACTTATGTAAAATTCATGTATTGACCTCTCTGGTTGTGGAAAGAGGCTCAAAAGTGAGGATGAGTATGAGGATATGAAGGAAAAAAATATATAGTAAATTAGTACAAACACCTTGACAACTGTATGTTTTATACAAAAACAATTAGAGAGCCCAATTGGAGAAAGAAAACTTGCAAGCTAGCCACTTGTCATCTTCTAAATGGTTCTTAGTGTGCAAAATTGCTTTACCATTTTTCTATTTAAAGTAATAATGGACTTATATGTGAAAAGTCCTAAAAAAGAAATCAAATAAAAAAAGTAGTTGGCCCATATCCTCCTAAAGCTTAAATTTGTGGGAACAATGATGAACCAATATTGATAGTGTTGAACATAACAATGCTTTGGAACATGTTTTCTATCCATATCTTTTCACTTTTGTTTTAAATTAAATGCAGGTGATACCGAACCGGATTCTACTTGAGAAGGCTGGTGAGGATGGTGAGGATATGGTGGTTGCAATCTCTCCGCATTCTTTCACTTCAATTGATTTCTTAATAGAATCAAGCTTTATCAGGACAACTGGAGCTGATTCTGTCTCTGTATCTTCTATTTGAAAGTTAGAAATAGAATAAGTATCATATGCAATCGAATAAAATAATCCCATGTAAGTAAATTAAATAATTCCATGTAATTAGATGAAATAATCCAATGTAATCAAATGAAATAATCCCACTGAAATAGTTTGTATAGTTGCTAGCCAGTTGTTCTACTTAAGCCAAAACTGTGCCCGCAAAAGATTGAAGAACAAAAAAGCAATAAATTTCACAATGTTGTTACAGGCTTTTAAATTGGTTTGAAATGTTGTTTTTGGTAAGGAAACACTAGTCCTAATGGGGTTCCTTGCGAAAGGGCACAGCTAATAGACTTTTGGGATTTCAGTCTTTGGATTTTGATTCTTTAATAATAAACCACGTTCGCTATAATGTACATAAAATGCATTACAAGGACAGAAATTACGAATTGCAAAATAAAATGCAATTGCATTCTATTAAGCAATGTTTTTATGCATTCTGTGGGAACCAAATTAAATCAGACCTTAGGTCAAATGATTCCTTCCATTTGGGGATTATTTGACCTAATTGGGAATTATTCAACCTAATTGGGAGTTACTCAATTTAATTGGGGATTATCCAATTAAATGGAACGTTACCTAATTAGGTTGAGAATTGATTTGATTCCTACCACAATTCCCAATTAAATGAGGAGTTACCTAATTAAATTAGGATTTGATTTGATACCTACCACAATTGGGGATTTGATTTACCCTAATAAATCAAATCCCTAATTAATCAAATCAATTCCAAATAGAGGAGCAATAATTCCCTTCCATCTACGGAATTATTCCTCTGAAACCCTAGCCTCCAAGACCACTATAAAAGAATAGCCACACACAAGGGTTGAGGTACGTCTAAAATTTCTACTGAAACTCTGCAGAAAATTCCTCTCAAACCCTAGCCACCTCCTCTCTCTCTCTTTTTTACATAAGGCTCCGGCCGCCCAGTTTACACCTTAAACACATCTCCGCACCCTAATTAGCTAGTGTTTCTTTTACAAACTCTTGAACTAATTTAGGCATCGGAGGGCCTTTGGCCAACACCCCCCGGGTGTGGCCCTTTTATTTGTTCTATTTTGCAGGGAGAAAGAGGAGGCGAGGAAGGAAGAGGAATCTTTGCAACCGAATATTCTCGTGAGGAAATTTGTACAAATAAATTGGTGCTTTCATTGAGAGCACGAGATATACTCAAAGCGTGCTCCAAACCTATTTTTTCAATCCACCGAAGCCTTCCAAACAACCATGGTTGGAAGCAAACGCCTTAGGAGCAAAACCACCGCGACGGTGCACTCCGGAACGGCCGAAGCCTCGCTGCCACCACGAGGTACAGCTGCTGCCAACGATTTGCAGCAACCTCCCATCGCTGCCAGCACGTTCCAGCAGCTTCCCGGTGAGATCCAGAAACATCCCATGGCTGCCAGTGCATTCTAGCAGCTTCCCAGCGAATTCCAGCAGCCTCCCATGGCTGCCAGCGTGTTCCAACAGCTTCCCGGAGATTTCCAGCAGCCTTCCATGGCTGCCAGCGTGTTCCAGTAGCTTCCCGGCGGGTTTCAGCAGCCCCTTGTGGCTGCCCATGCTGTCCAGCCACCTCCGGCAGCTACGCAACCTCTCCAAACAACTGCTATAGCAACCGGAAAGCAGCAGCAGCAGCTGTGCCATGTGGCTGCTGAGATTGCAGCGCAGCCACGCAGCCCCGTGGCCTCCTCCATCATGCAACCGCAAGGCCTAGGTGCCGGTGCCGCCACCCATGACAATGCCGCCATTCATGACCACCTCAATGCCATCTCGGGCCATTCCCTAGTCTTGGAGGAAATCCATTCACTCCCTCCTTTGCAACCACACTTGACATATGCACCCATGTACACATCTAATGGAACCCTAGTCCATCTGCCATTGGGCCCGATCCATACTTCTATTCCCGACCCGCGCAGTCAAGTGAGCCTTAACTCACGAGTTGATTAGCTTAGACAAAGGGTCGACGACCAAAACAACTTAATTGGCCAGCTACTCAGGCAAATCAACTTGGGTCAAGACCTTGGAGCTCATGACGAGGAGAGAAGGATCCGCGAGCATACCAGCGAGCATTTTGAGGGATCTCAGACTAGTCAGTCGGAGACAAACTGGCAGGGGAGAGAACGAGATCATGCTGATGAGACGCAGACATCCGCAAGCTGTACTCTGAGTCGATCGACGATCCATTCAAGACTATGCTCACAGGAGGCACGAGCCCGTGAACTATTGCATGATGAACGCAACGACCGACGTTCACTAACTTGTTCGCGAACCAACTCGCGGCGACAACTCATGGGGGAATTTTCGCAAGCTCAATCCACCAATCTGCCTCATGGGTAGGGCAACGAAGGAGGTCAACCTCTTCAAGTCGACGAGGAAGTCAACCATCCCTGCCTGAATCACGAGGGTCGCCAACAGGATCGGCAAGGCATGCGCGCGGAGGAAGTCGAGAAGCTCGTAAACGACCGACTTCGTAACTTAAAGATCGGTGGAAATTTCAAAGATGCTCTACGCAGAGAGGTGGACCAAGCAAACTCTACGCCCTTCACTATCGAAATCGAGCAAGCCGCTCCCCCGAAGAGATTCTCAACGCCTTCATTCATGCATTTCAAAGGAGATTCCGATCCCGAGAGCCATCTAAAGCACTTCAAAAGTATCATGATCTTCTACAAGGCTAACAACGCGCTGATGTGCAAGGTGTTTGCAATGACCTTGCAAGGAGAAGCCCAAGACTGGTTCCACAGCTTGCCATCTAGGTCGATCAGCAGCTTCAAGGAGTTAGCTCACGTCTTCACCAAGGAATACACTTCTTATCGGACGATCAAGAAGAACCTTGACCACCTGTTCAACCTGCAAAAGAAGGATGATGAATCTTTCCGAGATTACATCAAGAGGTTTAAAGCAGAAAGGGCAAACATCATTGGATGTGACGATCGAATTGCGTCATCGGCCTTTAAGAGGGGCTTGCCAATTGAGTGTGAGCTGTATCGCGAGCTAACCATCTCTCCTTGCCAAAAACTAGTAGAAGTCTTCTCGACAGCAGAGCGCTATGCACTTTGGGATGATGACCGGACCGCCGCAAAGAAAGCTGTTGATCAACCGGTTGAGCCGGCAAACCGAAGAAATGACATGATAAAAGACAAGGATGGGGGCAAGCACGGATTACAGCCTCAGGGAGGTGCTCCAACAGCTGAGAGCTACACCAAGTTCACTATTCCGATACGGCATATCCTAGCCCAAGTAAAGAACATGCCTTGGTCGAAGAAACCATTGCATTTGAAGGGAAACCCAGCCAAGAAGGATACCAGTAGGTACTGCGAATTCCATGAAGGGCACGGTCATTACACAAATGATTGCTTCGCCTGGAAAAAACACCTCAAAGAACTGGTCGAAGATGGCCATTGCACGGAATTCATCGCAAGGGGGGCTATCCAGAAAATCAAAGATCGTGAGGCAGCTGCCAATGAACCTCCACGAAAAAAGTCATACGAATCAGCACGATCCTAGCCGACTTTAAGAGCTCGAGCTGACCACTGAGGAGCATGAGAGAAAGATCATGCAAGCGACAAGTGCAAGTCTCCCAAGTTGTCACCTGCTACCCAGTTATGGAAGACGATATCGACATCATCTTTTAAGAGAAGGAAGTTCCAAGACAACGAAATGCCCATCACCTCCGAAGGTATTATCCATGAAGCTCCTCGCCTATAAGCTCAGATCTAAGCAGGCAGCCAGGCCTCCCTCACCTCCATTGAAGACAAGTTACTTTTGATGTTACTCCTACAACTCATCTCTTTTATTCAATAAAGCAATGTAGTCACACAAACATCAATACAAGTTCAAGCTTTTCTTTCCAATGGAGTGTTCACAAATGCAATCGACAAGTCTCTGGATGTAGGCCAAACATGCCACTTTCATCGACACGTTTCTGGACGTAGGCCAAACCGGCCACTCTCATCGACGCGTCTCCAGACGTAGGCCAAACGGGCCACACACCAATCGACATGTCTCTGGATGTAGGCCAAATAGGCCACCCTCATTGACACGTCTCCGGACGTAGGACAAACGGCACTCATCGACACCTCCCCAGACGTAGGCCAAACGGGCCACCCTCATCGACACGTCTCCGGACGTAGGCCAAACGGGCCACACTCATCGACACGTCCCTAGACGTAGGCCAAACGGGCCACACTCATTGACATGTCCCCGAACGTAGGCCAAACGGGCCACCCTTATCGACACGTCTCCGGACGTAGGCCAAACGGGCCACACTCATCGACACGTCTCCGGATGTAGGCCAAATGGGCCACACTCATCGACACCTCTCCGGATGTAGGCCAAATGGCCCACCCTCATCGACACGTCTCCGTACGTTGGCCAAATGGGCCACACTCATCGATACATCTCCGGACGTAGGCCAAATGGGCCACCCTCATCAACACGTCTCCGGACGTAGGCCAAACGGGCCACCCTCATCGACACGTCTCCTGGTGTAGGTCAAATGGGCCACTTCCATCGACACGTCTCTGGGCATTGAATAAACATGCCACAACTTGAGGAAAGACATCCTACTGGATATGCAGAACATGCCCGGAGTCCCTCAAGGGGGACCCTGGCACTCATAAATTTCCTAAGGGAAACACACAATTGGCTGGTTACTCAAGCAGTTCACAAGTCGATATGCAAATTGAAGTTGAAAAAATAACTAAATTTCCATAGCAAGCTGACCAACCGGCCAAGTTTAACAAAAGGAAGATGGTTAAAAAATATAATTTATTCTAAACAAGAAAGCAGACTACAAAAGATGAAAAGAAATAAAGAAAACTTCATCTACTCCGAGGCGCCAGCAGGACACCTCTGAGTTACAACCTCTTCGACATTCGCCTGATCAGTTATGCCTTCAGCATCCTGATCTGCTTGCTCCATAGCATTTGCCATCATCTCATCTACTGCATCCACTCTTGTGCTCAAAACGGAAGTAGGCATATTTTTGACTAACCAAGCTAGCGGTAGAAGAGGGGGCAACAACAGACGAGTTTCAGATAGTTTCAGCAACAAGAACCACTCCTTTTTGAAGCAGATGAAATGTGGCTTCCCTTTGTTTTTCCAAGGAAAGGCTTGAGAATGTGCCAAGATCGCCGGCTTGAAAGATGTGATCGACCAACTCAGCACAGAAGGACGGGTTTTATACGAAGTTCATCTTGAGCAGATCAAACACACACGCATCCCCTACAGGGCTAGACTTGTTCGCCTTCGGATCAACCACCGACGCTGAAGAAGAGCTCTTCGCCCAGGCAGATGACTCTCTCATCTTCTTAGCCTCCACCAACCTCACTTCCAAATGAGTCAATGATACTGAATCAACTCCACGCTTGACTGCCTGTGACTCAACAACTAGATCATGAGCAAACCTCCCGCTTCGATCTCCATCTTTTGACCGTGCAGACGACTCGAACTTCGAGGAGGAATGTCTGCATCTCTTTGACGCTTGGCAGAACTAGATTGGGCACAAGTTGCCTCACGAAGCAGATCATGGTTTTCAAGCTTGTCAACAAGAGGCTCGAGCAGAATACCCCGAACATAGTTCATACCACCAACCTTCGTGCTATCTGCACCCACGAGATGTTTGGCCCTGGCAGATGATGGTAGAGCAGACCCCACTTGAGTCTTCTTAGCAGAAGGGAACCTTGGCTTCTTCCTCAATAGAGACACATTCTCTACCTGCGAAGGAGTAGCTTCATCTCTTGAAGACTTGGCAGCAACCTTTCTCTTTGGGGGAGATTCAGCAGAACCCTCTTGCCCAACTGGCAGATCATCAGAATCTGGACCATTCTGCTCATCTCTCAACATCCTGAGCAGGGGGCAAACCACCACCTCCTCCACTCGGGAGCCCAGGTCCACGAAGGAAGCCCAGTTACAGCTGGACAGCCAAATGGATAATCTACATCTCCTACATGCCACCACGCGCCATGCAGAAGCTGGGGGGCATTTGTGTGAACCGAATTAAATCAGACCTTAGGTCAAATGATTCCTTCCATTTGGGGATTATTTGACCTAATTGGGAATTATTCAACCTAATTGGGAGTTACTCAATTTAATTGGGGATTACCCAATTAAATGGAACGTTACCTAATTAGGTTGAGAATTGATTTGATTCCTACCACAATTCCCAATTAAATGAGGAGTTACCTAATTAAATTAGGATTTGATTTGATACCTACCACAATTGGGGATTTGATTTACCCTAATAAATCAAATCCCTAATTAATAAAATCAATTCCAAATAGGGGAGGAATAATTCCCTTCCATCTATGGAATTATTCCTCTGAAACCCTAGCCTCCAAGACCACTATAAAAGGATAGCCACACACAAGGGTTGAGGTACGTCTAAAATCTCTACTGAAACTCTGCAGAAAATTCCTCTCAAACCCTAGCCACCTCCTCTCTCTCTCTTTTTTACATAAAGTTGTGTTTTGAAACACATCTCCGTACCCTAATTAGCTAGTGTTTCTTTTACAAACTCTTGAACTAATTTAGGCATTGGAGGGCCTTTGGCCAACACCCCCCGGGTGTGCCCTCTTATTTGTTCTATTTTGCAGGGAGAAAGAGGAGGCGAGGAAGGAAGAGGAATCTTTGCAACCGAATATTCTCATGAGGAAATTTGTACAAACACATTCTACTAAGTATTTTTTGCACATGGGTGGCAACCTTTTGAACATACAATTAATTATGAAGGATTTGAACATACTATTAATTATGAAGGATTTATCATTGGTGAGAGATTCTATGTTTCATAATTGTGCACAGATAAATATAATTGCGAGAATGAAATGCAAATGGGATTACTTTGATTGTCAATTGCACTATTAGAATGCAAATTACACTACCTATTTGTCAATTGCAAATCACATATTGTATTTACTATCTCAAAACACAACTTTATGGTGCAATGCCCATTCACAATGCTAATGGGATGATTGTTTCAATTGGTATATAAACTATGATATAGCAATCAAATTAACTTTAAAAGCATATTCTCAATGGTACTATATCCTCATCAAAGCCAACATAAACTTCATTATGTAATTGAAAGTATTGTTCAATACATTCACTTTACAGAATCCACAATTATAAATCTACAATCTAAAGTCATTATGTATAAAAAAAAGTACAATCTCCAGATACAATGAAAATACTACAAATTCAAGTAGTCAAATAAATACACTCCAAAATAGTATATTAGTCTTGTACTTGGCCTAATTCTTTACCCCAACTTGAAAAACAATAACAAAACCATCAATAAAATGAATGAGAAACATAAAGCAATATGCTAATATGAAAACAATTACAAAGTCATCATTGTAAACAAAAAATAACAAACCTACAACATAATTAACTTGAATAACATAAAGCAATAAGCCAATTTGGGGTAGAGATTTGTTATTTATTTATTTATACTTCTTGGATTTATAACGATAATCAATCTTATAGGCTTTGAATATCAAACAAAAAAGTGCAAAGAAAGCAGCCAAAACTTGGGACCAGCTTCAACCATCATCTCCAAGGCCATGTACAATGGCCTAGTGTTTGTCTTTACGTCCTCAATTTTGTGATTCGAAACTTAACTATTCTTAGCACTACGCCAAGATTAGGCAAATAATACCACTTCCAATGTAGCATGATAGTTTTTAACATGTAGTTAATATATATATATATATATATTCTTCATGCATCACTAAAATAAATAAATAAAATCTCCAACCATTTACCAAAATAAAAGACAGAGACAAAGAGAGATAAATCTAAAGAAAAAAACAAAACAAAACAAAATTTTACCCATATCAAATGCTGGGAAAGGCGGATGGGCTGCTAGTTGGAATACCTGCAAACCCAAAATCAAAATCAAAACAATACCTAATTGGAAAACATAATCAAAATCAATTTCAAATTAAGAAACATAAGAAGAGTGAGTCCCTTTCCCATGTAGAAGATTTAGAATTCATGTAAATTAGGACTCTTCATATGCATGGTACCATTGATTGCAGTGAAGTTTCATGTTCAGTGGGTTGGGAAGTCCTGTAAACATGAAAACATACAAGCCAAATAAAACAATAGTTATAACTAACTACCCACTGTTCAACTATTGGGTTCTGTCTAAAGTCAAATGTCGCATATTGTAAATAAAAGGCATTAAGAAAATCATGTTAGATTTTTTTAAAACATGTTCAAGATCTTTCACACAATCTGAAATACATAAAGAGATAAAGACATGCATGGAGCCATCTTCCTTGAGTACACGACCTTTGAACTCATCCAATGCGTAGCAGCAGCAACAATCCTAGCAAGAACAGGAACGACTCAAGACTTCTGCTCTCTCTCAGATTATGTTTAAGCTCTCTCTTTATGTTGAGAATAGGGTTAGAGAACGTGTCTGATAAGAGTAGGGCCTTAAGCTTATATAGGGCTAGGTCAAGTCGTCTCTACTCATCACCGAGGGCCGACTTGACTAATCTTCCAAGCCCACTTAATCGGTTCACACAAAAAAGGAAATAAATAGGACCCCTTAATAGGCTTCAAAACCTTTCCTTATTCCACAAGGTTTTGGGCCTCAAGGTATAACTTAATTTAAACTCTTATCAAAACATGATATAACTTAGTATCTAGTGCACCGATCTAAATAGGAAAACATAACATTCTCCCACTAGATCAAGCACTAGAGCACTAAGCTTCTGTATTCCGAAAGGGTTGATAATCTTTATTAGCCATGAGTTTTAGTTAAGTCCTTCCCCTTAAGCTACAATGAAAAACATTTAAACAAAACGAACCATAGACAAGCACTGCACTCTTTATTAAAAACAGGCCATCTATAATCACATAATGCAATCTCAAAACACATGAAGCACCTACAATGCGAACCTTAATATGTACTGATCTTTAATGTGAATCTTTATGCTTTTCAGTACAAGTGCCCCTTTACGACTTAGCAAGAGTCAATCCGCAATGTTATTAAAACAATAGTATCTCAAAAGAGACCATAAACTCACATGAATAAATAAAATTGCATAACAAGTTTAAACATCTAAATAGTCAAAATTGTATAATTTATTCAATAATAAATAAAACTGTCTACTAAATTAACATCCTTAAATGCAAATCCCTCAATCCAGAAAACAACAAAATAAACAAACTAGTAAAATATTAGAATGAGAACAAGACTCCCATTAGATTGTAGCATTAAAGGTAGGAAATAATCCCATGCCCTCAACATGTCTTAGAAAAGATTATGATGGCAAAACTTTTTGAACGGATATGCAATCATATCTTTAGCTTTGATATGATCAAACCTGACTAGTTTGTCTACTACCTTCTCCTCCACTATTAAATATTTTCTGTCAGTATGCTGAAGTCCAGATGACATCTTGTTTTTCATGCAGTGAAAAACAGCCACAGTGTTGTTATTATATATCTGTATTGGTCTAAAAATCGAGTCCACCGCCTAATGTCTAATAAAATTCCTTAGCTATACTTCATGAGAAGTGGCTTCATAGCAAGTTATGTATTATGAAAACATGGTTGAACTTGAAACACAATATTATTTAACACTCTTACAAGCAATAGCTGCTTCTGCCATCTTGAAAAGAAAACCTGAAGTAGAGATGTAATCATCCTCTGCTTTTCCAGGATTCACATCAGCATAACCAACAAGCTCTAAATTCTCTATGCGTCTGTAAATCAACATATAAGCCTTTGTTCTTTGTAGGTACCTCAGAATCTTCTTTCCAGCTATCCAATGTTGCATTCTCGGAATTGACTAAAATTTCCTCATCTTGCTAATGCACATGGCTAGGTCTGGCCTTGTACACACTTATGCGTACATAATGCTTCCAACTAGAGAAGCGTATGGCTTGTTCCTCATCTCATCTTCTTCTTCTTTATTCTTGGGGTAATACTCATTCTTTTAATCTCCTTTAGCTAACGGAACTTTTTGTCTAGAACACATACTCATGTCAAAACACTTGAGTATCCTTTTAATGTAAGTTTTCTACGATAGGCCTATGCCTCGAGCTCAGTCTCTCTGAATTTCAATGCCTAACACAAAAGCGGCTTCTCCCAAATCCTTCATCTCAAAATTGTTTGAAAGTAGCTTCTTAGTGTCTTTTAGTAAATTGTGGTCATTTGTAGCCAAAAGTATATCATCGACATACAACAATAGAAAAATAAATCGGCTCCTACACTTCTTCAGATAAATGCATTGATCGACTATGTTCTCTTCAAAGCCATAAGATGAAACAGTTTGATGGAATATGAAATACCACCTCCTGCTTGCTTACTGTAGTCCATAAATTGCCTTGTCAAGTTTGCATACCATATGTTCTTTTCTCTCCTTTGCAAACCCTTTAGGTTGCCTCATAATTTTTTTTTCGAGTTCACCATTCAGGAAGGTAGTTTTGACATCCATTTGATGTAAAAGTAGGTCGTAATGTGCCACCAAAGTCATAATGATGTGGAAAGAATCTTTGGTGGAAAACGTCTCAATGTAATCAATTCCCTCCCTTTGGGTGAATCTTTTGGCTACCATTTTAGCCTTAAATCTTTCGATTCTTCCATCTTTATCCTTCTTTGTTTTAAATACCCATTTCGAGCCTACCAATTTCTAACTCTTGTGAGGTTCAACTAATTCCCATACTTGATTATTCTTCACGCTGTCGAGTTCATTCAACATCGCTTCCCTCCATTTGTCTGAATTCTGACTCTCCATAGCTTCTTTAAAACTTGTTGGATCAGCCTCATCTCCAATATCAAAATCTACTTCTTGAAAGTACACATAATATGAAATTGCTGTCAATCTTCTTATTCTATCAGATCTCCTTAACGACATTGGTTCGGGTGAATTTTCTTATTGTTATTGATCAACTAGTTCTTCATATTGAACAACTAGTCTCAACAATTCAAGTACTATAATTTGGACAGTAAAAAAAAAAAAAAAAAAAAAAAACCTAATCGGGTACCATAATTGGATATAAACTCTAGACCCTTTGACCTTGTAGGATAACCAGTAAAATGACAGCTAATCGTTTTAGGATCGAGCTTCTTCTCTTGAGGATTATAGATTCTAGCTTCAGCCTTACAACCCCATACAAGAAGATGTCGCAGACTAAGCTCTTTGGTAGTCCAAATTTTGAAAGGTGTCTTAGGTACGGAGTTACTAAGCACCCTATAGTTTGTTGTTTTGATCACTTCTCTCAAAAAGTGTAGGCAAAATAGTTTTGGAAATCTTGCTACGGACCATATCCTTCAAAGTTCGATTTCTTCTCTCAGCCACACCATTCTGTTGCAGAGTGCCTGGCATTGTGTACTGAGCAGCTATTTCATTATCTTGTAGATACCTAGCAAAAGGTCCAGCTCATCGTCCTCCTTCATCAAAACATCCATAATATTCACCCTATCTGTCTGACCTCACAATTTTGATCTTCTTCTCAAGTTGCCTTTCTATTTCAGTTTGAGAAATCTTGAACATTTCAAAGCTTGAGACTTTTCTACTACGAGATACATATAACCAAAATGAGAATGGTCATCTATAAAGGTGATGAAATAGTGATTTCCATCAATTTTTTGATGAGGGAATGGTCCACAAATATATGTGTGGATGATTTCTAAAAGATCACTACTGCGAGTTGCACCTTTCTTTTTAGTCTTAGTGAGTTTTCCTTTAACACATTCAATACAAATTTCATCATCATCGAAAGTCAGTAATGGCAAGATTTCTTCCTTAACAAGAATTTTCATTCTTTCTTTTGAAATGTGCCATAAACATCCATGTCATAACCTAGTGGATGTTCCTTCACTTCTATTCTTTTTCTCACTCGATTCAGCTATTAAAACTTCACCATCTTTATTGTAATTGAGACAATATAATCCATCTTTATTGTCTTTGAATTCTGAGATACAAAAACTGCTTTATAAAACCAAGTCATAATAATCTTGAAACATAAATTAAATTTCTCTTTATTTAAGGTACTAAAACTACATCATCCAACTCTAAAATAAATCCTGAATCCAACTTAAAATCAACTACTCCAAGCATCACCTCTCACTACTAGAATCATTCAATTTCATGCTATGTTCTTCCACCTTCTTCCTCTCTCTCATATAAACACATCTAGGGACAACAAGCATCACCTCTCACCTCTAGAACCCTTCGATTTCATGCTCTATTCTTCCATTTCTTCCCATTTTTCTCTCTTGGCAAGTCACCCAAAAGCCTGACAAAACTTTCGTCTAGCTACTAGAAATCTGCTAAAGCCACCCATTCTTCCACCTTCATCTTTCCCCCTCTCCCCTCAACAAATCCTCACAAAACTCCCTCTCCCCTTCCTTTGAACCTTTGTTTCTCATAGAAAATCCAAGCTTTCTCTCTCTCATGCTAAGCTCATGAATGCTCAGATCCCATGCCACAAGCTTCTCATGCCAAGCCTAAATATTTATCTGTAAGCAACTGTTGGTTTTGTTGGTGAAGGAAACCAAGGTGCTTCCTAAGGCTCCACGAACCTTTTGAAGCACTCTTGGGGCCTGATTCTTGAACTCAGACATAGGGCAACTCCAGCCATTTTCTCTTTACAGCAACCCAGACTTATCTGTAGCTGCCGAAATAAAAAAGCCCCTACACCTAACTTCTATGGTTTTTACTTCCCTTTTATATTGAACTTGCATTTTAGGTATTAATATGGAGTTTTAATTACAATTATGGCAGTTAATGAAATGCTTGGAATACATTATAAAAAAAATATGAAGTCTGATGGCAACAATGTAAAAACATAGGAATACTATGACCTCTTATGTCTTACTGGTCATTTAAGTTTAAAATTGGGTTTTACACACAGATTTATAGAATGATGGGTATATGTCTAGAAAATAGAAATTGTAGGGACCTATATTGGACAAACCCTAGATTTTATTAAGAAACCACAAAAGGGCACAACAGTACAACAAAAAGTAAAATCCAAGCAAGCTCAGTAACAAGGATATAATCTTTTAGTGGAAAATGTTGGGAACACTAACTTATATCATGATTTGACTTTTCTTTGGCCTACAAATCAATTCTTTTATGTGGAAAATTCTTTTGACTGTGTCACTCAAATTGTACAAATATGGTTGTGTGGCTTTTGTTTGCCCTAAAACTAAACAGATAGAGATAGAGGTAACTTACAGGTGATGTGATGATTCGGCTTGGAGGACCCTTCGCTGTAAGCATGCCACACTGTGAGATATGATGCTCTGTTATGGGCTAAGACAAGAAATAATGGATGAGGTCGAGAGTACCGGTGTGGTACCAACCCAATAACCTCTGATGGTAAAGTAAGTTTGGGGGAGCATTCTCTATTTTAGCAAGTATTCATAGCGTATATCAAGCTGAGAGATCTTACCCTTTGTCTAGGGCAAGGGGTCCTATTTATAGAGCGCATTTGGGATGCTCTTAGTGCTTAGTTTCGATGTGGGACTCGTGGGAGTGCCCTCCGAGGTCGACACGAGTCCGCAAGATATCAGTGGGGACTTTTTGAGATCCTTTAGTATAATTGGCATGGAGTACCGATTGTTACTTCTCAGGAGCTTCCAGGAGCGCAAGCCGATTAGCGAGTGACGACTATGCCTTGTGATGAATTGGTCACCTATGCCGATTCGCACCTTTAACAGGTCTATCGGTGAGTCAGAATGTTTCCTAACTCTGTACTCTTTCCACGTGTCATGAAGTGAGTGGTAGGGTCAACTATGGTACAAACAGGAGTCCCCCAAGTTTCCGATTGAGAAGGGACTTCTTAGTTGAGGACTTGCCTTCGATTTTCAACATTCTGACCCGGACACGAGCGTCATCTGCCAGTGGTAGTCATAAAGTCCCCCAAGTCCACGAGCAAGGGGGTTTTGGAAGATTGGATGTAAACGACAGCATGGGTTGAAGGTGTGAGAGGTAGTGAAGGCTTGACCTACGTGGCCTGTCATTTGACACGAGAGGTGAGTGAGAACTCAACCAATGTGCGCCTATCGTTCGGTACGAGAGGTGAGTGAGAACTCAACCAATGTGCGCCTACCGTTCGACACGAGAGGTGAGTTAGAACTCAACCAATGTGCACCTACCGTTCGGCGTGAGAGGTGAGTGAGAACTCAACCAATGTGCGCCTACCGTATGTTGGCGAAGTTGCGGTCGCTCAAGTGGGATGCTATGACTCGTAGGCTTCCCTGTGCATGTGTGATACGTGTTGGGAGGGCTACGAAGAGTCGCATCATTTCGTTTCTCGATGCTAGGTTTGTCCTATAAGTGGACCGAAGCGACGATAAGAAGGGTACTTGATATTTTGAGAGCAAACAGAGCTTGTGAGAGGCGATTTCCAGCGGGTGTATTGCAGTGTCATAGGCGATTTCTGCCGAGATTTGCAAGGCGGAGGCGATTTTCGTCATTCTCCAACCACCGTGTGAACAAGGTATGTGGCCGTGTTTTCCTTCGAATTGAATCAAAATCTTCATTTGTTGCATGAATATGTATGAACATAGATGAACGTAAATGAACATGAGCTCTTGGGCTTTAGGGTAGGAGTTTGATTCTGGCATGGCGTTTAGTTTCATTTCGGTTTTGTTTGTAGATGTCAAATACCAAATCAGACTATAGTGATAGCCCAAGAGCATTTGAGGTCGAATCGGCTTCAGAGAGCTCAACTGCAGGGCTTGATAGTGCCGATTTTGAGGGCACTAAGGTAGTAGGGGTTCCAGAGGTGTCTACCGAATTTGGGAGCACCTCAAGTGTAGAGATGGTTGAGGTTAATAACTCTTAGCCATTGACATCCAGTCGTCGAGTCGAGGCGACCAAGGCTGATGTATCAGTTGCCAATCCCAGAGAAGGTTTCTTGATTGTGGTTACCGACCGGCAATGGGTGCCGATCGCGAAGCCAAAGGGCCCCGTTTTTGGTGTGGATTTCCCAGATTCGGTAGTGATGCGGATCCCAGGGCCGTTGGAGTCTTTGAGCAATCTGGACGGTGAGGTGGTCTTCTTCACCGATGTCTTCAAACTTGGGCTTTGGCTGCCATTGAGACATTTGGTGCAGAAGATCTTGGCCCAAATCGGCTATGCCCCTGGGCAGTTTAATCCAAACTTCTGGATTACGCTGCTCAGGACGATCATGGCGTTCGGCAAAGTTGGTGAGGGAGAGCCAAGCTACGAGCAATTCGCCCATCTGTACAACGTGACGAGGGTGAAAAGTGCTGACCAAGGGGGGTGGGTTCAGTCGAACTGTCTGTTTGTGGGTTAGCGTGGACATTTCGTGGTGAGGGTGCCGAGCTCGCAGAAGACGTGGCATCAGCGCCGGGTGCTGGTTTTAGGAGCTTGGGAATCGGCACCAGTGGTGATTGTGGAGACGTCCATCCCCATGACCTTTTAAACCATCGGTAGGCTGTAGGATGCCGTTCGGTAGTTTTTTTTTCCCTGCTGAAGCTTACCTGCATTGTATATAATCTCATTTTAGTGTCTTTGAAATGGCCGACCGCATCCAAGCGGGACATTGGGATGATCGAGCACATTCTGTCGAAGATTGCCGAAGAAGATCATTTCTTCAAGACCCTGTTAGACTTTAGCAATATGTTCAAGGCGGGCTTGATCAGCGAGCTTGAGTACGCCCGAAGGAAAAAGGAGAAAGAGGAAGAAGCGAGGACGAATAGTAAGTGATGCCGTTCGGCATGTACTATATTGTTTCTTATTTTTGCACGTCGTTCCTGCTTTAACTTGACGTTTGTTTGCAGTGGCTGGGGGTAGGGCGATGACCGACACAACAAGGAGGCAGCTGGAGTCTCGAGCACCTCTACAGTAGAAAAAGAAGGCTGATAGGCTAAAGACGAAGCCCCCACGCCAAGCTGAAGGAACGTCGGTTGATGAGGCGACTGTAGCCGAGCGGTGTAGGGAGAAGAGGGTGGCAGAGGCGGAAGCCGTGTGTGAGGCCCACCATTAGATGATAGGGAAAAGGCAGATCGATGGTGCCCTCGATGTGACGTCGCTTCCAAACGTGGGGGTTGCTATTCTGATTCTCGGTGATGAAGCAGAGGGGGATGCCGGGCCGGTGAACGTGGCATTTCGTGAACTCCGTGATTGACAACGCCCAGATGGAGCTATCAAAGCTAGAGCAGCTGCCATTGAAGTCGGTGCTCGAATAGGCTGGTCGAGCCTTCCGACTCCAAGCTGCGGTAAGTGTTTGTGTGGTTGTTTTAAGTTTTTATAGGATTAGTATTAACAGATTCGCTATTTGGTAGGTTGATATGGAGATGTGGCTCTGCATGAAGCATGCCTTGAATGCTGCTGACCGGTATCAGGAGAGATTTGAAGATAGCAGAGCCATTCAGGATGCCGATCGTCTTGTTGAAGAGAATGCGGAAAAGATTGCAGAGTTGTCATTGAAGTTGGCCATAGCCCAGAGAGCGATGGTTGAGGCTTAGGAGGCCAAGGTGACGGTGGAGGTGACCATGGGAACGATTGAGTGGTCACACATTGCGGAGGTGTAGGAGGCGAAGGAGAAAGCTGTGGCTAACTACCGATCATTGAGGGAGTTAACCATTCTGCTGGACAAGGAAGTCATGGACTAGTGCGGACAAGAAGTTGAACCTGAGATGACACCGACTCGAGTAGTGAGGAGGATGAGGCCGTGCCTACACCGTCTGTTGCTGATGCCTCTGCAGTCGATGCTGCCGATCCTCCAGCGCAGTAGTTTTAGACATTTAGTTTTGTAATGTGTTTTGGGGATAGTGCAGTTCAGCATTTTTGTAAGACAATATAACCCTGTTTGTGGCTTTTATCCAAGTTTGCTTTGAATCAGTTATTTGTATGCTGATATGTGTATGTTGTACCAATTATGCATCGACACTTTGGTGTTTTTTGAAGGTCTTGCCTATTGAATGCATAGGATAGGAAATAACAATAATAGTAATAATGATGATGCCGAAGACAATTGACGAAGAAAAAGTAGCGATCAACATTATTGTCTGTAGGTTACAAAAAGGTGTTGGCCAAGGGTTGAGGGTTTGCCCGTTGGAACCACGCAACCGGTAAGTCCCCGATCGGCAGATGTCGATGACTTCGTAGGGGCCGAGGGTTCCTTCCGTAGGCTTCTTCGTTGCGAGGGAGATCTTGCATAGGACCCAGTCACCAATTATGAATGATCGGCGTTCTACGCGCTCATCGTAGTATCTGGAAGTTCACTATTTGGAAGCGGCATTCCGAAGCTGTGGCTATGATCGGCGTTCGTTGATAAGATCGAGGTTCAAAGCAAGCTGGGCCTCGTTTTGCTTTGGATCATAAGATGTCGTCCGACAAGTTGGTGCGTTGATTTCTACTGGTACGACAACTTCGGTTCCGAAAGCAAGGGAGAATGGCGTCTCGTAGGTTGACCTTCGGTACGATGTATTGATGGCCCACAGTGCTTCTGGTAGCTCGCCTTTAACAGCTCCGAGCTTCTTCTTTAGCATCTTCTTGATGATCTTGTTGATGGCCTCGACATGTCCATTGGATTGTGGGTGCGCCGAAGATGCAAAGAAGATGTTGATATTGAATCGACAAATGATGTTTTTTCCATACAAAGCGCTCGATTTTAGCGGCGGTGATTGTAGCAAGGGCTTCGGCTTCGACCCATTTTGTGAAGTAGTCTACCACGACGACTGTGAATTTGAGTTGTCCCTTGCCTTGCTGCATCGGGCCGATGAGATCCAGTCCCTACGGTGGAAACGGCCAAGGACTGACCATCTGGGCCAGAGGTTCGTCAGGCAACTTCGAAATCAAGCTAAACCGTTTGCATTGGTCACACTGCTGTACAGGCTTGATGACATCAAAGTGGAGAGTGGGCCAAGGATCGGGCTCCCGAATGGTCGCCGCAAGCACCCTCGTGAATCTCTCATAGAACATAGTCCCCCTGTTGTGGAGTGAGACAACGCAGCAACGGTAGAGAATGACTGCGTCGGTAAAGTGTTTTTTGTTGAAGAAGATACCGTGCCAATCGACGATGGACGACCTGGGCCTCGATTTTGTCAACTGGAAGCGTGCCATCAGTTAGGTAGGTGTGGATTGGATCTATCCAGCTTGGGTTCTGCCGAATGGCATGTATCTTAACTTTGGTGGTGCTCCGTCAAGCGAGAATTTCGATTGGTACATGGTGTCCCACCTAGTTGTCGATCGCGGATGCAAGTTGGAAAGTGCATCGGCGTGACTGTTCTCAGATCTTGGGATCCATTGGATTTGATATGCGCTTCTTTGTCTGAGTAATCGGCGGGTGTGTGCTAAGTAGGTAGCCATCGATGCGTCCTTAGCCTCAAATTCGGCGTTCACTTGGTTGACGATTAAGTGGGAGTCACTGCAGATTCGGAGTTGTTCGACGCCCATTTCTTTAGCTAGTCGAAGGCCGGACAAGAGCACCTCGTATTCAGCCTCGTTATTAGAGGTTTTGAACTGGAACCGAATGGCGTATTAGATTGTCGTCTGATCGAGAGCAATTAGGACGAGACCTTCTCCGCTGCCCTGTTGGTTAGATGAGCCAGCGACATATGATGTCCAAAGGGGACCCTTCGGGTTGGATGGTCCCTCGGTTAGTGGAGAGTTCGGCAGTACTGAGGGCTGTTCGGAGCGATTTTGTTTTTCCGAGAGGGGTGTTAACTCAGAAATGAAATCAACAACGACTTGTCCTTTTTAGCAGGCCGGGGGTGATAGTGGATGTCGAACTCTCTGAGCTCAATGGCCGACTTGATTAGTCTTCCGGACGTCTCTGATTTCTGCAAAACTTGGCATAGGGGCTGATTGGTGAGCACCGTAATGGTGTGAACCTGAAAATAGGGCCGACGTTTACGTGCCAAAAGGACGAGATCGTAAGCAAGTTTTTCTAGCTATGGATACCTAAGCTTGGTGTCTTGTAGGGCATGGCTAGTATAGTAGATCAGGAGCTTAGTTCCGTTTGGCTTGCGAATGAGCACAGAGTTGAGTGCCGTTGCTAAAATTGATAGGTAGAGGATGAGGCTCTCTCCTGGGATAGGGGTAGACAGTAGAGGTGCTCGACTCATGTAAGTTTTAAGGTCTTGAAAGGCCCGATCACATTCGATAGTCTAGACGATCTGTCGCTTACTCCTTTTCAGGGCTTTGAAGAAAGGAGCACATTTGCCTCAATTCCTCGTTGGCTAATCATAAAGCCCAGAAATTTGCCAGAGGAAACGCCGAAGGAGCATTTGGTTGGATTGAGGCGCATGTTATACTTCTTGAGGATGTCGAACATGAGGGAGAGGTTGTGAAGATGTCGATCTGCAGTCTTGCTTTTGACCAGCATGTCGTCCACATAGACTTCCATAGAAGTGCCTATGAGCTCGACGAAGATTTTATTGACTAAATGCTGATATGTTGCTCTCGCATTTTTTAGGCCGAACGACATGACATCATAATAGTAGAGTCCTTTGTCGGTAATGAACGCTGTGTGTTCGCGGTTGGCAGGGTTCGTGAAGATCTGGTTGTAGCCAGAATAGTCATCCATGAAGCTCAGGAGCTCATGACCTGTTGTGGCATCTACTAGCTAGTCGATCCTTGGCAATGGGAAGCTGTCTTTGGGGCATGCTTTATTTAGATCGGTATAGTCTTGGCACATTCGCCATGCGCAGTTTGATTTTTTTACCAAGACCAAATTCGCAAGCCAAATCGGGTAGAGAACCTCCTGGATGAAGCCGATTGCCCGTAATTTGTCCACCTCTAGCCTCATTGCTTCGTACCGTTCGGCATCATAGGCCTGCCGTTTTTGCCGAATTTGTTTGAAATTGGGGATGATACTAAGCTAATGGCTGATGACATCGGAAGAGATGCTGGGCATATCGTCGTTAAACCAGGCGAAGACTTCTGTGTTCGCGCAAAGGAAAGCGATGAATTTGGTTAGTAATGGAAAACTAATAGTGGTGCCGATCCTGATTTTCCATTTTCATGTCCTTAATAGGGTGAGCCTACGGAGTGATGGCCGCATCTCTGGGGTCGTCGGGTTGATCTGCTCTCCTTCAGTTTGGTACAATTGCGGGGGTAGAAACAGAGTATGACTCGCGAGGCGTAGCCTTTGCCGATTCCTTAGTCGCTGAAATGTAACACGTCCGTGCACTCAATTGGTCCCCTCGTACTTGGCCAATGCTAGCCTTTGTGGGGAACTTGCAGAGAAGCATGTGTGGAGAGAGTATAGCCTTCATTCTGGCAAACGCCGATCTGCCGATGATGGCGTTGTATGCCGTTGGGCAATCGACTACCAAAAAATGGGTGTAGATAACCGTTCGTCTAGAGGCGGTGCCAATGGCAAGTGGGAGTTGGATACTTCGGATTGGCTCAACAACATCACCCAAGAAACTTAAAAGAGGGGTGCTATCTGTTTTCAGGTGCCGTTGTTCTATGCCGAAGGTGTTGAACGCATCGGTGAAGAGCACATTGATCGAGCTGCCGGTGTCAATAAGGATTCGTCCTATGTCAAAATCTGCAACATCGGCTCGGATGATCATAGGATCGGAATAGGGGAAGATAATGCCCTTCTCTTCTTCCTCGGAAAAGGTGATGGATTCCCAGCCGATTCGTCAAATTTTGTCATTGTGCCCTCTAGCTATGCTGAGGATTTGAGGATGCCGAACGGCACGCATGTACCTTTTAATAGAGCAGTTGCTAGTGTTGGCCATAGGCACTCCTCCACTGATCATATTGATCTGCCGGTTCGCTGGCTGCTCTGGGGTTTGTTTTGTACTGAGGTATTCATCTAGTCTACCTTCACTGATGAGGCACTCAACGACTTTTCGGATTGCAATGCATGATTCTGTATTGTGGCCGTTGTATTGGTTGTATCAGCAGAATATTCCGGTGTCCTTGTTGATTTGTCAAGGGAGCTTCTGGTTGCTTGGCTTCGGAATCATCTGGTTCTCGGCCATGAGGGCGTATTCATAAGTTGAATTGAGCAAGGTAAAGGCTTCCTCTGGTCGAGCCTCTTTCGAACTTCTGAAGTCGTTTCTGCCACTTGAATCCTTATTGTGTTTGCTTCCATCCTGCCGACCCTGAAATTTGTCCCTTTGCTTGTCTCTTATTGTGTAAGGAGTAGACACAGTATGTGATGTTCGGTAGGGGGCTTGATTTGTAGCTTGGTGGGGTGGGAGACGGTCATAGGTTGGTGCCGGGATCTAACCCACATTTGCCGTTGGGCAAGGGGATACTGAAGGTACTCCTTTGGAGTTAAAATGCTATTCCTTGGCGTCAATGGCTGCCTATTTCATCAATTCGTCGTAGGTTTTCCAGTTGCTGCTGTGGACCAGATAGCAAAATTGAGACGCTCAGAGGCCACTTTTGAAAGTGCCGAAGGCTACCCGATCGTCAATTTCAGGGCATCGAGAGTATTTGTAGCTGAACTTGGCTGCATACTCCTTTAAGGGCTCATCATCTCGTTGCCGGATGGTGTAAAGGTCATCGATAGAGTAAAGGTGATCGGTCTGTATCATAAAATGATTGAGGAAAGTTTGTTTCAATTGATTGAAAGAGTCTATTGTAACTGGCTCTAGTCGATAGAACCAATTTAGGGCGGCTCTAGCTAAGGTGGATGGGAATAGTAAGCACTGTCCTTCATCAGTGAGCACTTTGCATCCTAAGGCTGATTGGAAATTATGGATGTGGGTCACAGGATCTTCCACCCGTATGTAAAATGATATTCGGAGTGCTTGGACTTCTTTGTCATGTTAGAAAATTTGGATTCTGCAAGTGAACGATCCTGGTTGTAACTTTCCCCAAGTTGGTATCCGAGTTTGGTTATGTTCTTCCTCAATATGGTTAACCTTTTGGAGGAGGAGGCGGATTGTAGGATCGGCAGGATCGGGGATGTTCGGCGTTCCTTGTGGCGATCGTTGAGTGTATCCTGACAGTCGGAGTAAACTTGGTATTCTTGGTGGTGTTCCTCCGAAGAGGGTACGAACAGCCTTCGGGAAGTGGATGGCCTGCCTGTTGCTGGCTTCTTTCCCTTCTCACGACTGCTAGGTTTTGGTATGCTTTTGAAGGACTGCTCCTGCCGAAGCTGCATGGTCTGCTCCAAATTGTCCTGCAGTTGGGCCGAGTGTGATTACTGTTCATAAAGCTACCTCTGAGTCTCGTCAAGGTTGGAGGAAAGAATATTATTGTGTTCTTGCATTTTCGCAATTTCCTATTGTAGGGTTTCCATCCTAACCTCCAGGGTGTTCTGCTGAATGGGGATTTCAGTTCAGGGCGTGCTGGGCAGGGGAGCAAAGCTTGCTCCACTAGCGAGGTCGAGGATAGGGCCATTGGTCGCAAGGGATGAAGGTGGATTCATAGGTTCGAGAAAGGGAGATATGGGTTGGTTGCCAGTCGTTTCCCACAGATGGCATCAATCTATTTGCCCTAAAACTAAAGAGATAGAGATAGAGGTAACTTACAGGTGATGTGATGATTTGGCTTGGAGGACCCTTCGCTGTGAGCATGCCACACTGTGAGATATGATGCTCTGTTCTGGGCTAAGACAAGAAATAATGGATGAGGTCGAGGGTACGGATGTGGTACCAACCCAAGACCCTCCGATGGAAAAGTAAAGTAAGTTTGGGGGAGTATTCTCTATTTTAGCAAGTATTCATAACGTAAATCACGCTGAGAGATCTTACCCTTTGTCTAGGTCCTATTTATAGAGCGCATTTGGGATGCTCTTAGTACTTAGTTTCGATGTGGGACTCGTGGGAGTGCCCTCCGAGGTCGACACGAGTCAGCAAGATATCAGTGGGGACTTTTCGACATCCTTTAGTATAATTGGCACGGAGTACCGATCGTTACTTCTCAGGAGCTTCCGAGAGCGCAAGCCGATCAGCGGGTGACGATTATGCCTTGTGGTGAATCGATCACCTATGCCGATTCACACCTTTAACCGGTCTGTCGGTGAGTCAAAATGTTTCCTAACTCCGTACTTTTTCCACATGTCATGAGGTGAGTGGTAGGGTCAACTATGGTACAAACAGGTTTTAAAGGGCTACATGACATGTGGGATGGGCTGCCAATTTTGAAACTTATTAGCTTCTTTGAGAAGTCGGTGCATCATTTATGCGTGTGGGAAACACTCGACGGATTGATCCATCAGAGAAGACAAAATAATGGTGTCATTCGAACAGACTTGGGCAATTGATCCGGCAACAAGTCTTTCAGTCATTGTTTCCAAGTCAAAGAAGGATTCTTTCCTAGTTTGTTTCCTTAATTGTTTGGGTTTGTTTTGCTTGAGGAGAGTTTTTCCAGACTTTTTTAGAGTAGGGTTTAGTTGTTTTACACTATATAAGGTCACCCTAAGATCTCTTCATACCGTCATCTTCCCATATGCAACTTTCATACACCGACAAATATATCAGAGCAAGAGCCAAGAATTTGCTGCTGCACTACTTAAGGAGCTGTCAAAGGTGTTCCTGTGGAAATTCTGAAGATCAAGTCTATCGGCCAAATCGGTTTTATGACAATAATTCTCCTGTTTATATTTTCTTATGTCATGAACTAATTTCCTTTGCTAGGGCTACGATGTAGCCTAACCATGAATACTTAATTTTTATAGTTATATTAATTTTTTATTATTATCCCATGTTGAATATTTGTTACTGCTCTTAATGCTTTGAATATCTGGCCAATATTTAATTGATTTGATGATCCAAGCGGAGACCGAAAGGAGATGTTTGGTGTTTGCTTCTCATAACTAATACCATGTCTTGAATGAGTGCTCGAGAAGGACTAACATGACTCATGTAGTTTTCTTATAGGTTCTCATAGAACTTAATGGGTTCTTGGTTTTGTAAAACTGTTACTCGAGAGAGAATGGGTTGTTAATTCAGAATACTATTGGTTGAGCCCGAGAGGGGATATCGAATGAATTAGGAGAAACCAACTGTCAACATGGACAGTGGAATTGGTTTATTGGCTATAAGAATTAAGTGGAATTGGTTATGGTGAAATCGAATGCTCTAGTGTCTCATCAACTTGATTTTCCATCATTAATTAAATTGCTATTTTTCATAATTATTTTAGTTTACTTAAATCAATCAATCTTCTTACTCAACTATTCAAATAAACTTTGAATTAATCATAATTGGTAGTTAATAGGAAATTACAGTCTTCGTGGGAATGATACTCTACTTACTTCTAAATTACGTGTGCGGATTATGCGCTTGCAATAATTTCACAACAATCCTACGCAGGCTCACAGTTCATCTCAACTAGCAGGCCAAGATGCTGTAAACCTCAGTGCGAGGTGTGCTCCAAGTATCACTTTGAATGCAGGTATAAAGGCAAGCCAAAGTGTTACAATTGTGACAGATTTGGTCATTTGGCTAGGAATGCACTGCAGGAAAGTCTGTGCAGAAGGCAAACTGTGCAAGTCAAATGGAAGTGTCTGGGAACTTGTTCTATGCTAAATGTGGGTTTGCTCATTAATGTAAGGACAAATGTGGCTGGAAAAGTGCAAATGCTAACTAGTGCACTTGTGAATGTGGCTGGCATGGGTTCATTAGTTATTGACACAACTAAAGGAAGGAAATTCATTAGAGAAGTGATGTATCTCTTTTGGCAGTGGTGTTTTCTCTTGGGCTTCAGTCAAGCAAAATGTGTTGCATTGTCTACTGCAGAGGCAGAGTACATCAGTGCATCAGAAGCCACTGCACATGCCATTTGGCTTAGATTTGTGTTAGAAGATTTTGGAGAACTTCAGATAGAAGCAACTCCATTGCAGTGTGACAATACATCTGCAATTTCCATTACTAAGAATCTTGTGTTTCATCAGAAGACAAAGCATATTGATAGAAGGTATCACTTCATCAAACCATTAGCCAAGGATTGATTCAATTATCTCAAGAGTACGCTTGGAGTTAAATCAGCTTAAGATTTAAAGGGGAGTGTTGATTTATAAACTCTTAAGCAGATTTATCAGGTAGTTAAATACAGTTTTTGTTTTAACTCACTTTGTAAGCCAAGTGTAAGCTTTCCATTGGATGACTAAAGGGATGGCTGAGATCTCCTTGATATGTAAGGGATCCAGCTATTAATCCTAACGGTCATATAACCCCTCACACAAAGTGTGTGAGATTGTAAGCGAGAGAGAGAGACTGAATGGTATAGTAGAGTAATCTTTGCCAAAATCTAAAATGCTCTCATCTTTCTTTTCTTCTTCATCACTCTGCCTCGCAAATACAAGAAAACACTAACACGTCAAAGAAGTAGATTCTTGAAAGTTTTCCAACCTGTGACATTTTTCCGCTTCACTTCCCAAATTCTCGAATGAGTAGAATTCTAGAGGACAATTTCCACACTGATTTCAATGCAACATACATAGGATCTACTTGTAAATTTGGGGGACGAGCCTTATTGATTTTCTGTTTCGTAACCTGTTATTTCCTCCAAATAAACTTACAAGCCCATGGTTGCAAAATTCTTAATTGCAATATAGATATTTAAGGATTGCTCTTACTTGGTAGTGGAGAGAGCCTAGATTTTACATGTTGTTACGCACTGGTTAGAATATAAAACCCATGTGGAGTTTTTATATTATTAACACACCCTCTCAAATGTGTTCAAGTTGAGCGAATCATCTGGCCAGCCTAACACATGTTTAAATTGCACATCCAACACATAAGAAATTGGCAAAGGATGCAGGGACCTTGAATTTTAGATTTTGTGATTCAATGTAATATATATAATAGAGGATTTTATATTCTCAACGACGCTTATGCTTTTCCTCTTTTTCTTGACCAGGAAATTACCTTAAGTTCTATAGTGCCATAAAACATGCCTATCCAGACATCAAAATAATTTCAAACTGTGACGGATCTTCTCAAAAGTTGGATCATCCAGCTGATTTGTTTGATTTTCATGTAAATTTCATAACACCACCACTTGTATTGCACTTGCTAATGAAAATTTTTTTTACCATTCAATGCGTCGGATCATTGATTTGGCAACATGGCATCACCTGTTTTCATGTAACGTTCTATGCAGATGATGCCAAAAACATGTTTTCTATGTCTCATAATTTTCATCATACATCACGTAGTGGTCCCAAGGTAAGGTAATGCCGTCACAACATGAAGTCTTCTAGCAGCACTAGGTGAAGCTGCATTTCTTATTGGGCTGGAGAAAAACAGGTTTGTTGTAGCATTTCAAGAATTTGTTTCCTGTAATATTTTCCAGAATGCTTACAATGTTTTCTTTACAGAAATTATTTAGATATGTCTGGATATGCATAGTTTGCTATCTTATATAGATATGTCTACACATAATTGAAGATCTACCTTCTTTATTATATATTTGTGAATACAGTATTTCTTCTTGCAAAAGAAATGCATAGCATTTCTTGCACTTTTGTTTGCCACAAAACCATGTTGTGTGTTGCCATATTTCCTTGTGTGACCAGCTGCACATCTGTTTTCTATGGAGTTGAAGGCTTCTTATATTCCCAAGCTATAGAGATAGCATTAAACTGAAATAAAAAATGATAAATGGTAATAGATCACAGATGGACATGGGGATTCTAGGGTAGTAATCTTTACACCTAGTTTTTACCAAAAGACTTACATACTTATAAAGACGGGCAGCAACTGACTACTTTCATTGTTTATTCTTATCAAGTGCAGTGATGTTGTTGAGATGGCAAGTTATGCACCACTCTTTGTGAATGCCAATAACAGGAAGTATACTTTTCTCATCTCATTCTTTTTCTCTAATGCAGTTTTTATTTATTAAGTTTTCAAGAGGGGATCATTGTTGTGTAGTTACTACTAAAACTGAAAACTTCTATGTCATCAAGGTGGAACCCAGATGCAATCGTCTTTAACTCCTCACATCTCTGGGGGACTCCTAGCTATTGGGTGCAATGTCTTTTTAACGAATCAAGTGGAGCAACTATTTTCAATGCAACACTCCAAACAAATTTGTCTACTTCACTTCTTGCATCTGCAATTTCTTGGAAAAATTCAGAAAATGAGAATAGTTACCTAAGAATCAAGGTTTTTGTTTGTGCTAGTAGATTATCTCAGTCAGTTTTATGCTTCGTAAATTGTAGTTTTTCATAACCCTTATAGTGTTTCTTGCCATCTAATACATATTTGGAATGCCTGGTGTGGAAAGAAGCTCATATTTCACATTGCTCTAGAACTATTACGACTTTGTTGCTTCAAATGGAAAATATTAGAGACAACTCAATCAATGCATGAATCAGAAATACTATAGCAATAAGTTTTATATGAATTGTCAGTTAAATATAGGGCGTGTATTTATAAATATTGTCCATTCTTTTTGGAACGTTTTCTTTTTTTTGCTCTACTTTCCAAGCGTATTTGGTCTGAAGTAACATGTGTTTGCTTGTACTGTGTTTTTTGTGTGTGTTTGGTGTCATCTTTCTCTGTTATGTATGATGAATCTGTCTGCTTTTCGTTTTCTGTATTGCTCAGTATCTACCTGCTATTACAAAGTAAAATTACATATTAATGTCAGGGCTGTGAATCTTAAACCTTCGCTGTGTTTTCTACACAGAAGTCTTTCTACTTCAAAATAATATAACTACCTTGATCATCCTTCTCCCAAAAATAAATGAATGAATAATTTTGATGCTGAGGGCAAGTCTAGTATCCATCAATCCAACTTTTACAGAAACTAGGGTTTGTGTTAACTTCTCTTGCCCATTCTTAATCAGCTGTTTGCTTAGAATACCCATATTTCAATACGGTTATTGCTCCATACTAATACATGATATTTTAGGATAAATTTTGCAGCAGTATTATGCTTCTATTGTAGAGAATATATTTCCTTGTATTTAACAGATTACACCAAGTCCCTATTTATACAGGATATCTACCTAAGGTAGGAAAAATTATAGACATGAACACAATCTAGTTTACAATGGAAAGGCTAATTGCTAGGAGGAGATTGTGAAGTTGACTTCCGTGTAGGCTAGGAAAGGAAAGCTACGTTAACACACACAACCCACCACCCCCCCCCCCCCCCCCCCCCCGCGTGCGCGCACGCGGATGCACAAGTTTGGAAGACATATGATAATGGCATGGTTTTTGTGAGTGGCTTTGGTGAACAGGTCCGCATGTTGGTCGACAGAAGGAACAAAGCAAACGTGATGACTTCCAAGAGCAACCTTTTCACAGACAAAGTGATAGTCCAACTACTCAATGTGACGTGTGTGGGCATGGAAAATTGGATTGGCAGCCATGTACTGAGATTGTCACAAAAGAGTTGGATTGGGAACCAAAGACCCACACCCAATTCATGAAGAAGGGATCACAGCCAAGTGGTTTCAGCACAAGCATGAGATAGGGCACTATATTCCGACTCCGTACTAGAACACCATGAGATGAGGTTAGTTCCAAGAGTAATCACATATCCAGTGGTCGACCGACAAGAATTAGGGCACCCAGACCAATCCGCATCAGAGTAAGCGGAGAGGCGAGCGGCGGCAGTTTGAGGAGTGAAGGTGAGGCTGAGGTCAATAGTGCCCTTGATGTACCTAAGTATCCATTTGACAACAACAAGGTGAGAGGTGAGAGGGGCACTCATGAAATGAGCAACAGTGTTAATGGCAAAAGATATGTCAGGGCGAGTAAGTGTGAGATACTGTAAACTACAAACAAGCTTGCAATGCTCGATTGGGTTGGAGATGAGAGCACCATCAGAGACAGAGAGGAAAACCTTGGCAGCCAATGGAGTAGATGCGGGTTTGGAGTTTAGAAGATTGGATTTCTATAAAAGATCGTGTGCATGTTTGAGTTGATTGATGTGGAGAGTACCATCCTCATGAAGAACTTGTAAACCCAAGAAATAGCTTAGCGGACCAAGGTTTTTGATGTTAAAGTGGCCACCTAAAAGAGAGATGAATTGTTGGAGATGAGTGGAATCACTACCAATTACCACGATGTCGTCGACATATAGAAAAAGAAAGATGGTATCAGACGCTTGTTGAAAAATAAATAATGAAGTGTCAGCTTGGCTTCGTGTAAAGCCCATAGAGAGAAGGAAAGTACTGATGTGGAGCTTGCAAACATAAGAAGGACGAGTGGGATCAATGAAACCAAGGGGTTGAGCCTTGTAGACATCTTCTTAAAGAAACCCATAGAGAAAGGCATTTTTGACGTCAAGTTGACGAAGGGACCAACCACGAGAAACTTCAAGATTGAGAATAGTGCGAATGGTGGCAGGCTTGACAACAGGACTGAAGGTTTCAACATAGTCTATGCCCAGACGTTGATGAAAACCCTTGGCAACTAGACGAGCTTTGTAGCATTCAATGGAGCCGTTAGAGTGCCACTTAATCCGAAAAACCCACTCGTACCCAACCAAGTTCTGAGATGGAGAGGAACGAACCAAAGACCATATATGATTTTTAAGAAGTGCATTGATCTCTTTAGCCATGGTGTCACGCCATTCAGGATGCTTAGTGGCCTGTGAAAAACAAGTAGGTTTTGTACGCTCAACAACAATTAATTAGGCTTTTGAATGCCATCATGTCATGAAGGCGGCTGTGCATGCGAGGAATAGGGGCAGGAGATTGGGAAGCTGCAGGAACTTGGGGGCTCGTAGCGTTGCAACCTAGGGGTTCGGAGTTGCTACAACTGGGAGGTTCGAAGCTGATGGAACAAGCGCAAGCAGAGATAGCGTATGCAAGGGCATCAGGAATAAGTTTTGAGCAATGGCTAGGATAAAGCAGAAGAAGCGTCCTTGAGTGGATTAGGGCTTGCGGCGGGGCAGGGGTCATGGCTTGTAACTACAGTAGCTAGAAAGGTGCTTACCAAGGAGGTGCCATGAGGTTGCAAGTCTGAGTCTAAGGCAGGAGTGATCGATATGGGCCCAGGTGCGGAGGAGGGAACAATTGGGTGGAATTCAATATCCACATACTCTGAAGAAGATGATACCTGCAAATGGAAAATGCATTTTGTTAAATAAAACATGACGGGACGTGTAAACACAACATGTGGAGGGATGTAAACAACGGTAACCTTTGTGGTGAGAGTTGTATCCAAGAAGAACACATTCAATGGTGCGGTTGGTGAGTTTGTTTTCAGTATATGGTCCAAGGCAAGGGAAACAAGAGCACCTAAACACTCAGATTAGGAATAGGTAAGAGGTTTATGAGATGGACAACAGTGAGGGCAGCTTCGACCAAGAGATTGTGGGGGAGTGTGAGAAATGGTAAGGAGGGTACGGATCATGGTGGCAATGTGTCTGTGTTTACGTTCAGCTAGGCCATTTTGTTGGGGAATTTGAGGACATGAGAAATGTGGGTGGATGCCTAGTTGGTGAAAGCATTATTAACATATTCAGTGCCATTGTCACTTTGAAGGATTTGCACAGTGGTGTGAAATTGATTTTTAACCATGGCAAGAAAGGTTTGAAAGTGAGAAAAGACCTCATTTTTACGGTGCATAGGATAGATCTAGGAGTAACGAGAAAAGTCATCTGTAAACAAGACATAATAGCGGCAACCAGTGACAGAAATGACTGGGGACATCCATACATCATAGTGAATTAAATAAAAGGGAGATGGGGCAAAGGTTTTTATTACTAATACAGGATAGTTTGGTGGATTTGTTAAGTGCACAATCCTTATAGAAAGCATAAGAAACTTTAAAGTCTAGAGATGGCGCTAAGTGAGAGAGCACATGATGGGATGGATGGCCAAGGCGACGATGCTAAGTAGGAGAGTGCACAGTGGTAAGGGCACGTGGGACAGTGGATGAGTGAGAGGAGAGGGAAAGTGGGTAAAGACCATCTTTAGAAGGGCCCTGAAAGAGTAACGAACCACTACGTAAGTCATAGATTTGATAAAAGTCGAGTAAAGACAAAGAAAACTAAATTATCACAAGTAAAACGGGCAACATAAAGAAGATTAGTACGAAGAGAGGGAAGACAAAAGACATTTTGAAGAGAAAATTTATGAGAACCTAAAGGATGAGAAGATAGCCAGTATCAGAGATTAGAAGGACAACCAGTCATGTGATGAGTGGCACCTGTGTCAGGGTACCAACTGGAGTCAGGTGGCTATATGAATTGAGCCCCAGAAAAGGAAGGAAAGGATTCTAGGCCATTGTAGCGATGGGAACATGTTGCAGTAGTATGTTGATTGGTATTACAGGTGGGTGCACCAAGCCAGTCCCAAGACATTAGGACCTGAGTTGGACTGGGCAGAGTGTTTGCTAGAAGCGGCAGATTGGGCCCAAGTAGCTGAAAGGAAGGCCAGTTGCTTTGAAATCTAGAACTCTGAGCAAAAGAAGGCCACAGTTGATTAGGCCATTGGGGGCTGCTAGGAACCATTCCATGAGTTGCTCTAGGAAGATGAGAAGTTGCGCCAGCCACCACTGCAATGACCGCGCTAGCGACAGTGGCCACCGTGCTGTTGCTAGAAGAGCCACCACCACGGTGAGAAGGGAAGGAAGTATGACCAGTGGTGTGAGGAGAGGATTGGGTGGCCATTAGCGCTGTGTTTTGATCAGGAGAGATTCGAGGAGCCTGTGCACTAACAAACTAGCATGAAAATCAGCAAAGTGAGGAAGCAGAGGAAAATTGAGAATTGCTGTGATGAGCAGTGATAAGTTCTTTTGAGGAGACAGGTTCATTGATGGTATCCAGTGAATCGACAAGGGACTTAGCATGACGAAGGTAAGAATCAATAGGTTGAGAGCCCTTTTGCAAATCCATGAGTTGAAAACGAAGAGCAGATTCACTTGCCATACTGGATTGAAAGAAGTGGTGTTGGAGACACTCCCAGAGATCTTAGGCAGAGGTACAGCTAACGGTGAGAGAGAGAATGGACTTAGAGAGTGATGTAGCTAACAATGAGTTGGTCTTGTTGGTACCACTGAGCATGGGCGGGATTGGTTTGGGTAAGATTGGCGATGGTGGTTGTGGGTGTTGCGGTGGTAGAAGTGGAGGTTTGGGCAGAAGGTTGTTTATGAGTGCCATCGATAAATTTCCAGCGGTCATGACCGACTAAAAAGGGTTTGAGTTGGCAGAACCAAAGAAGATAGTTAGAGTCAGTAAGCTTGATAAAATGAGAAGAGTGGGGCTAGGGTGGGAGATGGTGGATTCAGACAAAGCCATGAGGTGGACCTAAAGGAGAAGAGGATCGAATAAGGGAGAGGGAGAAAACCCTAGGTTAGGCTAATACTATGTAGAGAATATATTTCCCTGTATTTAACAGATTACACAAAGTCCTTATTTATAATAGTACAGTATATTTACTTAAGGTAGGAAATAATATAGACATAAATGCAATCCAATTTACAGTAGGAAATCCGATTTACAGCAGGAAAGGCTAATTGCTAGGAGGAGATTGTGAAGTTGAATCCATGTAGGTTGGGAAAGGAAAGCTGCATTACATCTACCCCTTAGTAGATGGCCGGGGAAGTTGCCAAAGTCCATACTCAAAGTATATAAGAAAATCATCTTTTAGTCAGCTATTGATTGTTCACTATTTTTATGTTCAGGTTTCTTTTTAACTATGACTTCATTCCAAATTCATGCAGCTTCGTTCAACAGTTTCTACTAATAAGGTGCATGTCATATTCTGTGACATCTTTTTACTTTGTGATGATTATTTCTTTCTGTAGATTGTGAACTTCGGAACAGACATAGTGAATCTCAAGATTGTTGTGGATGGGTTGGAGCTGAATTCCATTAATCTGTCTGAGTCGACCAAGACCGTGCTCATGTTGAACAACCCGATGGATGAGAATTCCTTTAATGAGCCAAAGAATATATCTGAGTCAACTTGTATCCTTTAACATTTTCATATTGTTGGAGATGTATCTTGACTTATTAAATCATGAACAGTTGAAATATAAAAGAACGGGAGTAACTATGACTCTCTTAAGGTAGCCAAATGCCTCGTCATCTAATTAGTGACGCGCATGAATGGATTAACGAGATTCCCACTGTCCCTGTCTACTATCCAGCGAAACCACAGCCAAGGGAACGGGCTTGGCAGAATCAGCGGGGAAAGAAGACCCTGTTGAGCTTGACTCTAGTCCGACTTTGTGAAATGACTTGAGAGGTGTAGTATAAGTGGGAGCTTCGGCGAAATTGAAATACCACTACTTTTAACGTTATTTTACTTATTCCGTGAAACGGAGGCGGGGCATTGCCCCTCTTTTTGGACCTATATCACATATTTTAAATTTTTAGGATAATGGTGACTTAAAACATCTAAGCATAGTTTAGACTGTCAATGACCCTAATTAGTCAACTTATGTGAAATAAGAGCAACTTGGACAAACACTTTCCGTACATCAGTCAACTCCATACCCTTTCCGTTAGCTATTGTTTTCCTACAACACTTGAACTAACTTAGGCAATCAGCGGGCCTTTGGCCAAACCCCCCACCCCCCCGGGTGTGGTCCTCTTACTCCAATCTATTTTGTAGAGAGAAAGAGACGACGAAGAAGAAAGGGGAATCAATCGATTGAATATTCTCGTGGGACGAAAATCGCTCCCACACGTCCCATGTGAAGCAGAAAGCACAAGGCAGGCAATATGGATGGCATCATCATGTCGGCTTTAGTAACTTTTTTTTTCTTTCCTTTTCATTTTTTCTTTTGTTTTCAGAAGGCAATAGTAGCAAATGGATTGCCTTTGGGTACTCCTACATGGCATCACAGAGCACTGAATGGTATTACAAGTGATGGTAAAGATGATGAGTGAATGATCGGTAAAGATTGAAGTAAGCTTTAATGTTGCAAGCATTTTAAGCACTCCAGAAAAGAAATGTTGAGAAACTAACTTCACGAGAGACCACCAAATAAAGGCCCATGGCCCTGCTACTAGACAGTCTAGAAATTACAGCAAATTACCATGGATACTATAAAAAAATCCAAATAGGTAATAAGTGAGCATCTAAAAGTTACAAACATGACTTTACCAGTAAGAATCCAAATACATTTTTCAATTGCATCTCAAAAACTGTTATCCATCATGACACTATTGACATTCATGTGAAAATCAAATTTTGCAAGTTCTTTTAACCATCGCATCACTGATCTGTAAAAAAGATCAGTGTCTACACGAAAATACTTCCTTAGAAAAAAAATTACCAACACCATACCCCTCATGGGGAGTCCTCCCGAATGAAACCTTCGGCCGATGCACACCTCCAGGCTGAAGTGGAGTGCCTTCGTACCGATGTCGCAGAGATGATGGAGAGCTACGATGTGGGTTTAAAATGCCATATTCCAGAATCCCAAACAACAAACTGCGCAAAACTTCCTGGGCAACAAATCTCACATCTATGGATGTAGAGAAACTTGGTAGTTTGTGCAGTCTGTTGTCCATATTGTTCCATCAATATTGTTATCAATCTATACAATTCCCATTTGTGGATGGAGAAAAATACAGAAGGCTACTTATATTTATGCAATTTTTGATCAAATTGTCATTTTAAAATCTCTCATACAAACTGAGTGGCTGTGGCTTACTGAATTTGCACAGTAGATCCCAAAACTTGATCAAAGTCTTTTGCAGTATGATCGAGCAGTAACACTTTATGCCCTTGATCATACTTAAACAGGTAAGATATGTGCAATCTATTTGAAACTTCATATTATTGTGACTATTTATTAAAACAGAAAACTTATATGCAGATTTTATCGAAGACATGGATTAGATTAAGAAACAAAAGCCTAGAGCTCTGATACCACATATTAATTTGTACTAGACTTTCATAACTCAACACTAACGTTGATAAGACATATTGGCTGTAGAGGATCTTCTTCTCTATGCAACACCGCAATTCTATTTCTCTATGATGGGGTGAGAACTATTTTAGAGTGTGTTGTTGCTACAGAAGGGACCTCTATATATATGTGTTGAGGCCAAAAAATTCAGGGTTGGGCCCAAATAAATTCCTGGCCCAGTTCGACACCTTATTAAGAAAAGACCCTGTTCGGAGCATGCAAAATTCGTCATTCATGCTTGCACGAGCCACAACCACGTGCCATGCCAAATAAATATGTAATCTCTCATGCTAAGAGTTGAAATAAGCACTGGCTTTATGAGCCCAAGCTAATTATCCCGTCAAGCGTCATATCCCTCTTCAAAGTGACAAAATTCAAGCACGCCAAGCAACATGCAATGCCAAGCGAAAAATCATTATTATTACACTAGCCACGCTACAAGCTTAAGTGGGCCCAAGCCACGCAAAATGCCCGGGGCTTGCTTGAGTGGGTTGTGGTATGGATGGTAACGAGCTTTCATGAGGCCTATTGATAAGCCAAGAAATGGAAGTTTTGGGCTGCTTGGGAGCCCCAAAACTCAAGCCCATTTCTTGAGCCCAAACACATGGGTTAGCATGAGAGAGGGGAGAAAATGATCCAATGCCTTAGGAGGATATCTAGTAGTATGCCATAGCACTTAGACAAAGCCAGCATTAATAAAATGCCCAAAATTAAAAAGCTGTTTCCAGCAACCTGACGAAAACCCATTAGGCGCTGGAAATAATATGTTAATAAACCAATATTGTACGCACAAGCGCAGCCCAGCAACTTGTAGGAAAATCTGGCATCGTGCTTCACCCTCGTCAGAATTCCAAGATGGTCAACGAAGAGCCATTGCAGGGACCAAAAGAAATCCATGAAGAAAGGATGAATACCCATTGGACAAAAGAGTCTACCCATTTTTCTTTCCTCTGTTAGTTCCCATAGGAAAACCAGGAAGAAAGTGGGAGACGCTTCACCCCTATGGAGAAGACCAGCTGTGCCAAAACCTTGGAACCACAAAGGGCTCCTTACCTAGGCACCTTGGATAGGAAAATTTCACCGAATAGGATTGAATGGAAAGAAGCAAAGAAAAAGGAAGAAGGAAGTTAGACAAAATTAGGGATTCTTGTGCCTATAAAAGGGGACCTTCTTCTACCCAACAAAAATCACCATTGAAGGCCTGACCAAGCTTTGTCAGCAACTGATAATTTACTCAAGCCACCCAATCTTCTTCCTTGTTTGTTTTCTCCTTTCTCTAAGAAAGAAATCTTCCTAATCTTCCTCAGTTCCATTTTAACCCTTTGTTCTCTGTAAGAAACTCAGGCTTCTTTCTCTCTCTCTCTAATTGCTAAACTTGTGAAAGCTTAGCTCCCATGCCACAAGCTACTCAAGCTAAACCACTCATCAACTTATTATGTCTACTTGGCTATTGGTGAAAAGAACCTGAGAGTGTTTTTCTAGAGTCGCATCAAGCTTTTCAAAAAACTCTTTTGGGAGCCTGGTTTATGAACTCAAACACTTGGGGAATCTTGGTTCGTTTTCCTCTTACGGCAGCCCAAGCCCATTCGTCAGGCTGCTGGAACAAAAAGACCCCTACAATATGCATCACTCGAAAGCCTTGCCCATCAAGGAGCAATCGAGTGTTCCAATTGCATTAGAATTAGGTTGTTTCAATATGTAGAATTAGGATTTCTATCATCTCTTGTATTTCAATTAGGATAGCTTTTATACAGAGATAATCTGATAAGATGAGTATATACTTCCTGAACATGCAAACCTGTCGAGTCCTCACATGATTAGAAGACCACAATTCATGGTTAAGACAATGAATTGTCTTACGAGTATATCTAGCCTTGTTTGGCATGTGTATCCCTGTGATATATAAGTTTTTGTCCTTGGCTTTGGGCTTAGGGGTACCCACTTTTATGGACAAGGGACAGGCCAACCCTGAGTTTTTGGGTCCGTAGGCAAAAATAAAACAAGGCGCCAACACAAGACAATCCTACAACCGAAAAAAAGAAGAAAAAAACACCCTAATTTTATTGGTCTGTTCTTTTTCTCGACTAGAAAACACTATATAATCAAATTTGGCTTAATTGTGCAAGATATAGGGCTCTTTACAATGTAAGTGTTTAGGGTTTAGGCGCAAGTAAATGTATACAAAGGCTCCAAAGACATAGGCCTCTTTCTGAAGAAACTGTTGAGTTTTACAACACGAGAATTATACATATTATCTCATATTTATTGGCCTCTTTGTAATCAACTACTGAGTTTTATAATCTAAATACAACTGCTTCAAGAGATTGGAAAAAAGAAATTTCAAAGGCAATTTCTTCGGAGCCTTGTTGCCTAAAACCTGGTAATCAACTTGGGTTGGTTTGCTTCAGATTCTGAATCTCTACATTTATATTCCACGTATTTATCTGCATTTGAACTCATCTTGGTCAATAGAATAATCTAACAACTTAAAACATAACATGTCTAGCATAAAATTAAGGGTGTATTCAATTGAGATTTTAAAAGACTATTTATGGATAAATAAGTCCAGTGGATTTTAAAAGACTATTTAGGAATGTAATGACTTATAAGATTTTTTTAAAAAAAGATTTTTATAATTATGATTTTTTACGTTTGGATTTTAAAAGATTTATATCATAAGAATTTATAAGATTTGAAAGGACCACATGGATTTTTTACTTTTACGATGCTAACCAACGAACTTTTAGTCGGATGATGAGCAATGTCGGTCTAGTTCAATGATGCACGAATTCTCTAGGAACAGCCTCTACAAATTCCCAAGCTTTCGAAATGATGGTGGAATTTTTCCTTCCAAAAGGTTTATTATTATTTTAATTATTTTTTTAGGACCTTTCCTATTAAGAGGAGCGATAGCATACTAAACTCACACACATTACACGGATGCTATGACTCAATCGAGGACCTTTCCTAGAGAAAGCATTTGCTCCAAACCACTATACTAGTGGGTGTTTTGCAACCCTTGCTACAAATTAAGTTAGACACTAATTGTAATTTCCATAATGCAATTAAGTGGTTAGGCATTGACTTGACTTAAGTAATTGAATAAATTTGGAGTTTTCGATTAGTTTGGATCACACTATATTAATTGACTTGATAGACAAAAACAAGCTGCACACTGAACAGTATACAAATCACATAATCACTTTTTCTTTTTTCTTTCTTATTTCATAATTTCAAATTTTATGTTGGAGAAATTTTTTGAGGGTGCAGTATGTGGAACTGAATTTTTAATTTTTTTTTTTTTTTTTTTTTTGTGCAGCAATTCTGGCAAAGACAATAGTACCTACTTGACTGTTAACCTAGACTAGACTTGAGAATTGAGATGGTGATTTGCCTTCCAATGCACACTAGACTCTTTCTCACTATTGTCTTGCAGTTGTTGACTCGGCTTGACTTGACTTGAGATGGTTGGTAACGGTGCCTTTCTGTGTCCACTCAACCTTTTAAATTTGCCTCCCATCCAAGGCGGGGCACAAGCTATGATTATCTTCTTGCAAATATGGATCTTGACTTAACTGAAACATATGTCTACCAACCCAATATTATTATTGTACATATCCATTTATTGATACTTATATTGTAAAGCATAAATCTTCCACCAATCACATATTAAAAATAAGATAAATTAATATTACATGCGGTAAACCGATTACTCTTAAAAAATTTCTCATATTATAATTTATAGTGATGATCATGAAATTCTTAAGTAGGAAGGAGTGCTAAATCTAATCCCTAAAGTTTCGGAGCAAGGAAGTCAAAGTGTCCTTCATTTTGTATTTAGCTTCACATCTATTAAAGAGATGGTGCACACGCTGGTTTGTAAAGATGGTCTCCCTAGCCATCAAGGTAAAACTACATGGATTATTTGTGACTTTTGCATAAGGCTGCAATCTATGAGATGCAGAAAAGAAAAGAAACAAAGTTAATTGGCTTTCTACAAAACTTATGATCTAAAATACTCTGCATAAATGTTTGGAGATGTCTATCAAAGTTCTTACAAACAAGACAAGTTACAAATCATTTACCAAAGAAAATTCCCACTACATAATTCCTTACAAAAAAATACATATTTACCGATATATATATATATATATATATATATATATATAAAGGCACAAGTAGATAATAGTGAAACATTCAAAATATTAAAATTGTCCTTGATTAAAGAATTTATATCGAACAAGGAAAATAAAGGGTGTCATTTAACCAAACTTCGCCTTGTCACTTAGAAACTTGACTTTAAAGACTTGGACTCTTTTTTCCACCAAAAGTACATTTTCAGAAATCACTTTAAAGGCTTCAAAGATTTACAATCAAGTTCTGCAGATTGCCATGGCAGAGGGTAATGCCAACGTTCCTAAAAGGATTTTTGTGTTCACATACAGGGATTTTGAGAAGGCCTCTAAGAACAATTGGGTGCGGGATTTTAAGGAGGCTTTGGATAATTACAAAAAGAGAGGGTATTTTAATGTGCCACAGTTGATGTTCTAGAATCTTAATAACCCCTATTTTTCAAAAGTGACTTATCTTTTCGAAGTGGGATGTTGCTAGTATGCTAAAAAGAAGAGCATGTATTCATTTTTGGCACATCCTTTCAATTTAAGATCGGATTCTTTCCTATTTAAATGATTTTATATCCTTGTAACATGTTTGACACATTCACAGACAGAAGACCAAAACATATCATACATCTGTTACTGCTAGAAATTAGTTGGCCACTAATTTTCAAGATGCAAGTGACCAAAAATTGACTTGAGACTTGAGATTAATGGACAAGAATACTTGTGGAGATTTTGGGCTTATGGGCCAAGCTTAGGGTCTCTGGCATAACTTTTGTGAATAGAACTTTAATGGTCGGGTGGGCCCTACGTTAATGCATTCATACTATTTGTCTGGTAAGTGTACTTTGAATTGAATTCCATTCACATTGCATGAACGAGATCGATGTATGTATTTATGGCTTTGCTTGGTTGATTAAAATAACACTATAGCTGGAATTAATACATCAATGAGAGAAGTCTGAATCAATTGTCCCTACAATTTACTAAAATTAATACAAAATCATATTTATTCCTACTAAGCACTCCAAATTAACTCATAATCTTTTGTAGATATTTGTGCAAGACACAATAACAAATCATTACTATGATTAAAAATAAAATTAAAAAAAGTTCAAGTTTGACGACAAAACTATGGAATGGGAGAAAATAAAGCAGAAAATTAATTGGCTTTCAGTAGTAAATGATATGATTTAAAATACCCTACAGAAAAGAACATTCAGACCATCTCCAACCCTAGGAGTGGAAACTCAAATTTTGAGTTTAGTCTCCAAAAGCTTCTCCAACCCATGTATTTTGAGATGTGAAAATTTGAGAAATCTCAAAACTGGACTGGAATTCCAGTCTGATTTATGCCTGGACTGATAAATTCATAGGCCCAAAATCTGCTTAAATGTTTTTTTTTATTGAATGCTGGAAGCCCACGTGATGGGCAATTGATGATGGGCCCGCTGAAATTGATGGACAAGTGGGAAAAGCAGATTCCCATGTTTGAAATTGATGGCCAACGTCTACTTGAAAATAAATGTTATGCTGTTTTTTTTAAGTGAAATTCTATTATGTTTTGGAATTTTAATTTTTTTAGGTTAAAATTTAGAAAATTAAATCACGAGTATTGAAACAAAAATTATGTTAAGAAAAATTAACAAGAAAAAAAATTAAAAGTTAATCATTCTTAAACAATTTAATAAGTTGCAGACTCAAATTATGAGTCTGCAAGGTTGGAGGAAAAAAAATTTTAAGTCCTGAAAATACATAAATATTTGTATTTTGGAGGGTGAAAATTTGAGTTTGGCCCCAACGTGGTTGTGGATAACCCCACTGGCCTCATGGCAAACAATTGTTTCAAGTTCTTACAAATCATTTACCATAACTAAACGCTGTGGATAACCCCACTGTAGAATTTCTCGATATGTTTGGTCTTGCTTGTAATCCACGGTCTGTTTTGTTGACGTGAAAGCAAGGTAAAAGCCCCGGATGAGAGAAGAGAGAGACGACTCAAGACCCAAGACTCAAGAGTTTCTGAACTGAATTTTATACTAAATGGATGAGAACTTAATAATGCACTCTTATCTGAGCGTTGCTGAAATCACCATCTTTCTGGGTATTCTCTTCTTCTTTGTGGAATTGGGTTTTTTCTCTTTATCTTTTTATATCAATTTTAAATTCATAGAGACTTGCTTTCAACTTTGTAGTTATGTAGTTGTTCTTAATTATTTGTGGCTCTTTCATAATATTACCACACATCTATCAGTTTGATTGAACCAAAAAGTCATTGTGAGAAAGTGTTTATGGAATTTCTATATTTTGGCGATCACTCATTAACTGAGAGACCATTTTGCATTGTTTGTGTTACCTTGTTCTTTTTCTGTTTAATTGATCAGAATGTAACTGAGTATCTCCTTTGTCTATGCTTTTTTAGCTGTGGAAGTATTGGGTGTGGTAACTGAGCAATGGGCTCTTGCAAGTCCCCTCATGTTGTTCTTCTGCTATATGTCTTGGTTTGCTTTGTGTATCAATCTTTTGCTATTGGAGTTGATACGAACCAGACTGCAAAGCTGCTGGTGGATGCTTCTGAAGCATCGGGACGGCCAATATCTGATACACTGTTTGGAATTTTCTTTGAGGTTAGTGTGTTGGCTTGGAATGGTGAATTGTTGTTCAGTTCCAACTGCTTTTGGTTACTTCTATAATCTATAGCTTATTAGCTATTACTTTAATTCTTACAATTTTAAAAATCTCTTTTCATTTGTTTTCTTATTTTATTTTATTTTATGTGCGGATATATCCTGATTTATGTGGCAATTATAAACCTTCCGTCGCTTAAACATGCCTGTCTCATTATATTACTAACATTGTGGTTTCATTTAAGATGCTATTAATTTTGAGGTATATGCATTCTCTCAAATGCTTGTTCACTGCAGGAGATTAACCATGCTGGTGCTGGCGGGCTATGGGCTGAGCTTGTAAGCAATAGAGGTACGTCTCTTACTCTCTGAATTCCAGCTAATACAAAAAGTGAAAATAACATATAGGAAAATATTCTCTTGCCAGATTGTTTGGCAACATAAGATGCTTATTATGTTGCTAGATTGTGAAGCTAGACCATTTCAGAATAATTCGTGCTTGAATGTGTGGTCCAGATTCGCATTCTGACAACAAAGTTCAAAATTCATGTGTGTGAGAACCATTGAAGGAACTGTTTGAATGCCTTTCTGTTGTCATTACATTTTCAGAGTTTCTTTTCAAATCTGATATATTTAGTACGAGTCAAGCTGGCAGACACCATTTTTTCTGTTCTTATATTTTGGAAGTGGAGGGTTTGGTGTCTTCCTGAAACATTTTACTGTTGGATTAACTCTTCATTGAGATGTTTAGGATTATCCTATGAATGTTTTTATTTATTTATGCAAAGTTGTTTTATTTGAGTTAATGTGCTACCTGCTTGTGCAAGTGTGGTTGAGTACAAAATGGAGAAATATTCTACTTTTTTGTGACACACTGATTTCCATCTTACTCTCTGCATTTAATATGCACAACCAGATCCTCTTTTTTTTTTTTTTTTTTTTTCTTTGATTTCTTTCTTGTCTGTTTTAAGTTCAACAACAGGTTGAATGACTTCAGATTATCAGTGCATGGTTAAAAAGTTCTCTTCGGAATCATGTGAAATGTGGAATTCACTGTATTGCTAAATATAAAATGTTATAGTTAGCTTTTGGCTCGTAATTTTGACTGAATGTTTAGAGCTGAGGCTTCTTAATAACGTTTTCCCTCAGGTTTTGAAGCTGGGGGCCCTAACGTTCCTTCCAACATTGATCCTTGGTCAATAATTGGGACTGAGTCATCTTTGATAGTGTCAACGGACCGTTCTTCATTCTTTGACCGCAACAAGGTTGCACTCCGAATGGAGGTGCTATGTGATAGCCAAGGTGCCAATAGCTGCCCTGATGATGGTGTAGGAATTTATAATCCTGGGTTCTGGGGCATGGTATGAACCCTTCAACTATCATCTAATTGGTTCATTCTAAATGCTTATGTTCCAAATTCACAGTTTGCAACATAAGTATTTGTCTGACAAGAGAACATTGCTCTCTCTCTCTCTCTCTCTCTCTCTCTCTCTATATATATATATATATATGTGTGTGTGTGTGTGTGTGTGTGTGTGTGTGTGTGTGTGTGTGTGTGTTTGTGTGCATGCATACGCACGCAGCACGAGAACAGGAACAACAAAACTGCACACACACACATGTGTAAGTATTTACTACATTTTTCTTTCTGGCTCTTTGCTACTGGTTTCTTACCTGTGTTTTGTCCAGAATATTGAAAAAGGGAAGAACTACAGTGTTGTTCTTTATGTCCGCTCATCTGGATCGATCAATGTGTCCGTATCATTGACGGGCTCAGATGGGTTGCAGAAACTTGCTGCTGCGAGCATTATGTGAGCATCCTCTGTTCTGCTGATATTTTGTAATCAGCAGTTCCTTACTGACAGTTTTATCTCCATTTAAGAGTCTGACAGTACATTTCATTGCCTTTGCAGAGCTTCTGGTTCAGAAGTTTCAAACTGGACAAAATTCGAAGTTATGTTGGATGCCCAAGGAACAAATCCTAATTCAAGACTGCAATTGACAACAACCAGAAAGGGTTTATATGGTTTGATCAAGTGTCAGTCATGCCCCTGGATACATATAAGGTACCATTTTTCTCCACAAATTCACTCATTCTCGTGACATGAGATTATGTCATCAATATTTGGATGTGTTTAATCGTCTCACCCGTGTTTCACAAGATTGTTACAAGTATAATGTTCTGTTTTGAACTTCTAGATTTTATAGTCTTTTGAAAGACATTAATATGAAAGCTGATTAATGTGAAGTTCATACTAGGGGTGGAGTATTACCATGAAGGATGCATTATGCTTTTAGACCACCTATCTGTTATATAAGGGTCTAGAACATCTTTTCCTCAGATATAGTTTTTCTTGGTTGCATATCATCTCCATAGTGTACTTTTCCTTGGACTTCATTTATAAACCAGTTTTTTTCCTGTTTTGTGTAGGCATGTAACTGAGAGAGAATTATACATAATATGTCACATTTGAGGATGTAACAAACACCTCATACTTTCATTGATGAAAATTTCTCAAAATGAAGAATGCATGGTTTGATATATTAGACGGAAAACATAATAACAAACTTGTACTGTCCCTGGGATCTGACATCCACACTTTCAGCTAGTCATCTGAGCATATATCTAACAGCTGTATTATTTTAGCTTCTGTTTATTCTTCAAATGTGAATTATGAACCTAACCACTGGAAAATATATGACATTGTAGCAAGCGCTATAGAAAATATAATTTCTTCAGGATCACAACAAAATCTACCTTGAATCTGTCATCATTTCTACTTTGCAATTCTGTTACTGCCATTAATATTGATAGAAAGTTTCTCCATGTTTGGATTGATAGTCCTTAGGGATCTTTTCTTTATCCGGGGTATTTTCTAATTGGAAAGCTGTAGTAGTCTAGTTGCTATGACTTGACTTGTTGAAATGCTTTGCTACATGCATACCTTATTTGTCTTTTTACTCAATGAAACTATTATTTTGGATCAGGGACATGGATTTCGGAAGGACCTTGCTGAAATATTGGAAGATTTAAAATCTCAATTTATGAGATTTCCAGGTAAATTTGGATTTACTTGTCTTAATATGAGACAGTTACTAAACTTGAGCTTCTCATATATAACTCTCAGCTAAAATATATGGATGCTGAACTATGCAAGCCGGTCTGTGGCCACCTTGGCCCCGTGGGCATGTGCCCTTGCTCAAGGTGGCCCCTAATGTTTTTAAAAATTATTTGTGTCAAATTATTCTTATTTCTAAACATTTTTAAATTTTTATTTTTATCTCTCTTAATAATTTCTTTTTCTTTTCTTGATAATATATATATTCTATAATCATTCTCCTATCTTTAGGCCACATATATATATTCTATAGATCTTGTTTTAGTATATAAGATCAACTCTTTGTTTATGAGTGTGAATCCCACATCAGGAATTAAAGTCTTGCATAATAGTTTGAAAGATCTTGGGCATCTCAACTCATTGCCATTCGGTTTTGGGTTGGATGTTCACGTTATAACATGGTCTTAGAGCATGTTATCTACATGTTGGGCCCAACAGCCACGCTTCCTCTCACATCACCCAATATATGTTGTCCATGTGGCTTGGATTGAGTGACACCTCATTTGTGGGGGCTTGTTAACGGAAGATTCTAGCTTTGAATTATTATTGTGGAGGTTCATATATTTCATATGCTTTTACTGTATTATCTCATCATGGTTTGTTGTTGTTTATATTTACCTGCTGTCCGCTATATATATACCAATGTTCTATGGTACTTACTAATTTTCTCAAGCCTCAGAGCGAAAAGCAGGCTTCACAGAAACTTTGAAAGCAAAATGATTGAAAAAAAAAAAAATACAAAGATGCAGATCTTTATTAAACAAGCTTAAATAAAGTAACCTTGTCCTTCTTTGGCTGCTATCAGTTTTACCTGCAGATATGAACTACATCCACTGTTTTCTCTGAAATTCTTTTCATTTTTATCTTTTGGATATTATATACTATTGAATTTTTTTTGCAGGTAACCTTGCTGGCTTGATCACCTGACCATTTGACAAAAATAACTTGGGACTCTTTTTAAATGCCAAACAATGCTAAAAATGCTTGATTTTGTGATAAGAGATGATACATGTTCTAATATGGTCAATACAGCGGAGCTATTATATTGTTTCCTCATAATTCAAATTTTTTTTTTTTTTTTTTATTGTGTTGCATTAGGCGGCACTTTTGTCGAAGGTGAATGGCTACGAAATGCATTTCGTTGGAAAGAAACAATTGGACCCTGGGAAGAGAGACCTGGACACTTTGCTGATGTTTGGATGTACTGGACTGACGACGGACTTGGTTATTTTGAGTTTCTCCAAGTAGGTATCTTTTTTAGTTCTGTCATTCAAGAATGCTTGGAGTTTCCTTTAAAATCCTGCTTCTGTCGGTACCAGTTTTTGAAAATTTTATTTATGCAGCTAGCAGAGGACCTTGGTACATTGCCAATATGGGTATTTAATAACGGTACTTCACATTTTCTTAGCGCTTCCTTTATCTTTTCAATGATCACGTTCACCTTTGCCAATACTGACTGTATGAATTTCATAGGAATCAGTCGCAATGATGAAGTTGATACTTCCAGTGTCTTACCATTTGTACAGGTATGTCTGCATTGCTGACCATTTCTCATTAGCTAATCAGTAACTGATACCAAATGGATTTAGCAAACCATTAATTATTTTCTAATCAAATATATGCAAGTGACATTTAGGCTTTTCAAAATATGCTTCATCTTTATAAATCTGTGGCTTTATGTGCTTTGGTGTATGAAACATCTTTGCAAATATGGTTTTAGGAGATCAAATTTAGATTTTGCCTTCTTTTTCCGGTCAAGTGGTTTCATTATCTCCAAGCCTAGCTTCATTTGAGTTCCCACCAAAGGATGTTCATACAAGTGGGGTTGCTGTGGTGAGGGAAGGGCAGAGCTGCAGGTGACATAAGGTGTTGTCACTCATTGAAAAACACTAAAACATAGCGACAAAATGCAGTAAAAGCATTTACATTATGTGAAATATGTGTTAATGACAGTATTGGCTGCCACTAGGAAAACTTTGCATTGAACTCTCAATGTGATATGAGAACTTGTATCGACTCATTAACATTATAAGTATGAATGCTATATGTCTGTCTAATGCAATTTGAACATAAATGAGAAGAACTGTGGATAAGATGAAGTTTTGATGTCCTATATAAGATAAATTTTGATACTTAATTCTAAATCGTGTTAGCAAACCTGTTATGTGTTAGTAAATCTCAAACTTATGGTTTAACTTTCACGTTTTCTTGTTTACAGGAAGCTCTTGATGGTCTTGAGTTTGCTAGAGGCAATCCTAATTCTACCTGGGGTTCTCTCCGTGCTGCAATGGGACACCCAGAACCCTTTGACTTGAGATATGTTGGTATTGGGAATGAGGATTGCGAAAAAAAGAACTACCGAGGTTTGTATATTTTCTAGTTCATGCTTTTTGTTTTCTCTTTAGTTTGTTAGATGGAACGGATTGAGTTTTACACATATGGGATGTAGGATGACTTTCTGCATGCAAAGTCATGCATAACGTAATCTGTTTATATGAATGTCCTTACAATTTAGTGCAGTTTTCACTCTTTTATCCTTAAAACAATTGCAACTTTGCAGATATGCTTCGGGAAATAACTCTGATTAAGATCTGAATTTTTTCCACAATAACTTCAGTTCTTCTGCCACAATCCTTTCTCTGAAAAGGCAAACTTGCAATTCCTTATTTTTTTGTGAATCAAATGATGAACCCGGTCTGCTTCATTGTCTTTTATTCCTTAAAAGAAGTAGATTCTTGAAAACCCTTCTTTTCCAACCTGTGACATTTTTCCGCTTCACTTCCCAAATTCTCGAATGAGTAGAATTCTAAAGGAAAATTTCCACACTGATTTCAATGCAACAGACATAGGATCTACTTGTAAATTTGGGAGACGAGCCTTATTGATTTTCTCAGTAATCAGTCAACTGAATTGAACCCTAGTTTCGTAACCTGTTATTTCCTCCAAATAAACTTACAAGCCCATGGTTGCAAAATTCTTAATTGCAATATAGATATTTAAGGATTGCTCTTACTTGGTAGTGGAGAGAGCCTAGATTTTACATGTTGTGATGCACTGGTTAGAATATAAAACCCATGTGGAATTTTTATATTATTAGCACACCCTCTCAAATGTGTTCAAGTTGAGCGAATCATCTGGCCAGCCTAACACATGTTAAAATTGCACATCCAACACATAAGCAATTGGCAGAGGATGCAGGGACCTTGAATTTTAGATTTTGTGATTCAATGTAATATATATAATAGAGGATTTTATATTCTCAATGACGCTTATGCTTTTCCTCTTTTTCTTGACCAGGAAATTACCTTAAGTTCTATAGTGCTATAAAACGTGCCTATCCAGACATCAAAATAATTTCAAACTGTGACGGATCTTCTCAAAAGTTGGATCATCCAGCTGATTTGTTTGATTTTCATGTAAATTTCATAGCACCACCACTTGTATTACACTTGCTAATGAATTTTTTTTACCATTCAATTCGTCGGATCATTGATTTGGTAACATGGAATGACATGTTTTCATGTAAAGTTCTATGCAGATGATGCCAAAAACATGTTTTCTATGGCTCATCATTTTGATCATACATCACGTAGTGGTCCCAAGGTAGGGTAATGTGCCTTCTTATGATTTAATCTGCTCTGAATGGATTCTATTAATTGTCTTAACATTCAATATGATTCAGGCTTTTGTGAGTGAGTATGCCGTCACAACAGGAAGTCTTCTAGCAGCACTAGGTGAAGCTGGATTTCTTATTGGGCTGGAGAAAAACTGGTTTGTTGTAGCATTTCAAGAATTTGTTTCCTGTAATATTTTCCAGAATGCTTACAATGTTTTCTTTACAGAAATTATTTTTCTTCAAAGTTCCAGCAGGAAAAAAATGCATAATTTGCTATCTTATATAGATATGTCTACACATAATTAAAGATCTAACTTCTTTATTATATATTTGTAAATACAGTATTTCTCCTTGCAAAAGAAATGCATAGCATTTCCTGCACTTTTGTTTGCCACAAATCCATATTGTGTGTTGCCATATTTCCTTGTGTGACCAGCTGCACATCTGTTTTCTATGGAGTTGAAGGCTTCTCATATTCCCCACCTATAGAGGTAGTATTAAACTGAAATAAAAAATGATAAATGGTAATAGATCACAGATGTACATGGGGATTCTAGGGTAGTAATCTTTACACCTAGTTTTTACCAAAAGATTTATATACTCGTAAAGACGGGCAGCTGCTGACTACTTTCATTGTTTATTCTTATCAAATGCAGTGATGTTGTTGAGATGGCAAGTTATGCACCACTCTTTGCAAATGACAATGGCAGGAAGTATACTTTTCTCATCTCATTTTTTTTTTCTCCAATGCAATTTTTATTTATTAAGTTTTCAAGAGGGGATCATTTTTGTGTAGTTATTACTAAAACTGAAAACTTCTCTGTCATCAAGCTCGAAATTCTCTGCAATTGTCTTTAACTCCTCACATCTCTATGGGACTCCTAGCTACTGGATGCAAAGTCTTTTTAACGAGTCAAGTGGAGCAACTGTTTTCAATGCAACACTCCAAACAAATTCGTCTACTAATCAAGTGGAGCAGCTTCTTGCATCTGCAATTTCTTGGAAAAATTCAGAAAATGAGAATAGTTACCTAAGAATCAAGGTTTTTGTTTGTGCTAGTACATTATCTCAGTCAGTTTTATGCTTCGTGATGCTTAATTGAGATTGTGTTTTGTTCTCAGTATCTGGTCTGAACTATTTTTATGTTTAGGTTTCTTTTGAACTATGACTTCATTCCAAATTCATGCAGCTTCGTTCAACAGTTTCTACCAATATGGTTCATGTCATATTCTGTGACATCTTATTACTTTGTGATAATTATTTCTTTCTGTAGATTGTGAACTTCGGAACAGACGCAGTGAATCTCAAGATTGTTGTGGACGGGTTGGAGCCGAATTCCATTAATCTGTCTGAGTCGACAAAGACTCTGCTCACGTCAAACAACCCGATGGATGGGAATTCCTTTAATGATCCAAAGAAGGTATCTGAGTCAACTTGTATCCTTTAACATTTTCATATTCCTACATTGCTTTTGTATATACTTGGAGATGCTGTGTGTCTATACTAGTTTATCTTGACTTATTCAATCATGAACTGTTGAAATATAAAAGAATAGTGGACCATTATCACATATTTTAAATTTTTAGGATAATGGTGACTTAAAAGCATCTAAGCATAGGTTAGAGTGTCAATGCAACCCTAATCTGTCAACTTATGTAAAATTCATGTATTGACCTCTCTGGTTGTGGAAAGAGGCTCAAAAGTGAGGATGAGTATGAGGATATGAAGAAAAAAAAATATAGTAAATTAGTACAAAAACAATTAGAGAGCCCAATTGGAAGCTAGCCACTTGTCATCTTCTAAATGGTTCTTACTATTTTTCTATTTGAAAGTATAGTATAGTGGGGTGTTTTTCTCTAGAGTATAAAGTAATAATAGACTTATACGTGAAAAGTCCAAAAAAATAAATTAAATAAAGTAAAGTAATAATGCTTTGGACCATGTTTTCTATCCAATATCTTTTTACTTTGGTTTTAAATTAAATGCAGGTGATACCGAAAAGGATTCCACTTGAAAAGGCTTTTAAGGATGGTGAGGATGTGGAGGTTGCAATCTTGCCGTATTCTCTCACTTCGATTGATTTCTTAATAGAATCAAGCTAGAGCTGATTCTGTCTCTGTAATTTAATTTATCTTATTTTTAATATGTGATTGGTGGAAGATTAATATTTTACTATATAAGTATCAATAAATATATACGTACAATAATAATATTGGGTTGGTAGACATGTTTCAATTCAGTCAAGGTCCATATTTGCAAGAAGATAATTATAGCTTGTGCCCCGTTTTAGATGGAAGGCAAATTTAAAAGGTTGATTGGACACGGAAAGGCACCGTTACCAACCATCTCAAGTCAAGTCAAGTCAAGTCAACAACTGAAAGACAATAGTGAGAAAGAATCTGGTGTGCATTGGAAGGCAAATCACCATCTAAATTCTCAAGTCTAGTCTAGGTTAACAGTTGCGTGGGAAGAAAATTAAGAAATATTTGGCCAAAATTCAAGTAGGTACTATTGTCTTGCTAGAATTTGCTCCAATGCACAAAAAAAATATATAATAAACAAATAGAAAATTCAGTTCCACTTAGAGCACCCTCAAAAAATTTCTCCAATATAAATTAGAAATTATTGAAATAAGAAGAAAGAAAAAAGAAAAAGTGATTATCTAATTTGTGTACTCTTCAGTGTGCAGCTCGTTTTTGTCTATCAAGTCAATCAATATAGTGTTATCCAAACTAACTCAAAACTCCAAATTTATTCAATTACTTAAGTCAAGTCAATGCCTACCACTTAATTGCATCATGGAAATTACAATTAGTGTCTAACTTAATTTGTAGCAGGGGTTGCAAAACACCCACTAGTGTAGTGGCTTGGAGCAAATGCTCCCTCTAGGAAAGGTCCTTGATTTGAGTTATAGCATCTGTGTAGTGTGTGAGTTTAATATCTTATTGCCCCTCTTAATAGGAAATGTCCTAAAAAAAATAATTAAAATAATAATAAATCTTTTGGAAGGAAAAATTCCACCATCATTTGAAAAGTTTGGGAATTTGTAGAGTCTGTTCCTAGAGAATTCGTACATCATTGATTTCTTCATAGAATCAAGCTGGAGCTGATTCTATCTCTCTATCTTCTATTTAAAAGTAAGAAATATAATAAGTATCATCCTTAATCGACTGAAATAATCCCATGTAAGTAAATTAATTAATTCCGTTTAATTAGATGAAATAATCCAATGTAATCAAATGAAATGATCCCATTGAAATAGTTTGTATAGTGGCTAGCCAGTTGTGCTACTTAGCCAAAATAGTGCCCGCAAAATTTTTAAAAAAGAAAAAGAAATAAATTTCACATTGTTGTTGCAGGCTTTAAATTGGTTTGCAATGTTGTTTTTGGTAAGGAAATACTAGTCTTAATGGGGTTCCTTGCGAAAGGGCACAAATAATAGACTTTTGGGTTTTAGTCTTCGGATTCTAATTCTTTAATAATAAACCCCTATTGTAATACTAACTAAAGGGTTATCCTCTATTTTTGAGTTTTATTGAACTTAAACCCATAAAAGCACCTTGCTTGTAACTCAAGGAACAAGGAACTTAAGAGCATTTACCTCTTCATCCGAAATCTTAGGTTTGATTACCCTTCCTATATCACTCTTATAAAAGACTTATTTACTGTGTAATTATTCCAGCTAAAAAAACATGTTAAATAATTATGCTAGAGGTGGGCTCTACTTTGACCACATCATCAAAACTAACGGAGTCAGAGAAGGAGATGACAGTAGGGGATCAAGTGAATCACTAAACCTTTGTACTATTTACGTATACAATTGTAAAATGTAGCAAATTAAACTCGAATGATTTGTAACTATCATTATGAATAATATATTCTATTATGAAGATTTCGGGACTACTTAGGCAGCGAGGTTTACAACATTAATATTTTTTTAAATAAAAAAAATGTAAAACAAGAAAGAACATCGGGGACATTTAGATGAATTGCCAGTCTCATATTGGTACCGATCATTGCAATTAAAAATAAAAATAACCAAAAACAAAGCATGTACAGAATCTATAGACACTAGAAACTACATATGTTATTGCAAGGATGCATTTTCAGATCCAAAATTAACAGAAAATTCCAAGTACATGAGGAGATAAACAGAACATTTGAGTAGGACTTACCACAAAAGGCAATGGTCCCTGTTTAAACTTGTCATGAAATGACAATGCCAACGGCTTTGGATTGTCCCCAGGTCCTCTAATAAACCCACTGAGTTCATATATGGTATAAATCATAAGTACCAGATAAATTGATATCAAGTTCCATTTGTTAGCAAACAACAATATTAGATATGTACATGCCATTAAACTGAGTACATTCGGCACTAGGAACTGGAACACGAACATACCCAAAAGCTTGCCGAAGATAACATCGACGACATCATAACGCCCCCCTCCAATACGGCAACTGCCTGCCAAAGTTAGTTGCTGAAGCTCTCCACTACAAAAACTAACCCACGAACACTTGTCACCACCACAGCAACTTGCCCGAAGTCCCACATCAAAATATTGTGCAAACTTCCACTTCCACCTCTCTATAAAAAAGGGGCACATGTTCCCAAAAAGAGGTAACGACATTTCACCTTTATTATTACTCTGCTAAAATTACCACATATTGCTGACTTAAGCATCAGAGAGCTTTCGGTATGCACCACACCGGTGCTCGAATCTTGACAGTTGTTCCTTCCTTATTTCCTTCTACAAGATCCCTATGTGCCGAAGGTTCACGGCCTTCTCTCCCTACTAAAGATCCACCACTCCTTCACGTCAGTTGACCCTCCAAAAAAGAGCATAAAAATTTGGCGCCGTCAATGGGAATCGACTTGTGGATCCCACCTCTCTACTAGCTCCTCTGACTCCATCTCCCATCCGGTGCCGTCGTCTCTTCTGCCCTTTCCACTTCGCTATGCTGAGTGAAGCTATCCTTGATACCCAACACCATACCCCTCTTACTCAGTTTGCATAGTAGATCCCAAAACTTAATAAAGTATTTTCCAGTATGATCGAGCAGTAACACTGTGGGGGACTTTTTCTTCCTGCAGCTAACGAGCTGGGCTGTTGCAAAAGGCAGACTGAGGAGATTGCCCCCTTTTATTTAGGTTCGAAAATTAAGCCCCAAAATACCTCGAAAGGGCAGCAAAACGTTAGGAGATATTTTGGGTAATCTTCACCAACGAGAATAATGGTGACTTGCAGATAGTTTTGGGATGCTTACAGATGGTCTTTTTAGCTCAGCATGAGTGGCATGTGGCATGGGAGCAAAACCAACATGAGTTTAGCATTAAGAGAGAAATTAGGCTTGGTTTATGAGAAAAGAAAGTGTTTAAGTAAGGAATGAGGTGTTTTGTGAGGAATTTGACTAGGGAAAGAGGAAAAAGAAAGGCAGAGTTCTTCTGGCAACTGCCAAAAAACAAATTGGAGAAGAAGATGAACAGTGCACGAGTTTGTTGAGTTTTTGCAAGTTAGAGAGAAAGCTTGCTCTCTGCAGGTTGTGGGTTGTCTCTGTTGGGTAGGGGAAGGCTCAATTTATAGCTGCTGGAAATCACCATTTTTCAAGAAACCCTAATGGCTTCTACTTATTTTGGCTAAGTTTTTTCTTCCTTTCTCCTCCTCTTCTCTGACTTCCCTTTCTTGGCAAAGATTGCTTCTGTCTATTTACATGAATTCAGGGGATTTGGGGGCTCAACATCCTCCTTTCCCGCAGCTGTGCAGTGGGAGCTTCCACTCTTGGTTTGCTGTTTTTTCTTCTTTCCTTTCCTCTGTTTTAACCAAATCTGGCGAAGGAAAGGAAGTGAAGATGCATACTGGTCCAAGGGATGCTTCTGACAGCATGCGGGATAGTACTCATCGATTCTTTGGATGTCTCTGGCTTGGGACTTGTTTCCAGCAGCTTTGCTTAAGGAGTCTGCCAACCTCTCTTCACGTGTCCTCTGTTTTCAAACAAAAACTGAGGTTTTTGTGGACTATTTTAGGATTTTTATATGGGCCAAGGTGATTTTCTAAGCAGAGGGTTTTTATTAAACATTGGGCTTCTTAGTTTGGGCTTTATTTTGGTTGGGTTGTTTTGCTTGGGGTATTGGGCTTTTTTTTTCTTGTGCTTACCCATATGTTTGGGCCTAAGAAATGGGCTTGAGCCTCGAGGCTCCCAAGTAACCCGAGACTTTTCATTTCCCAGCCCATCAATGGGCCTCATGTTGATTTATTACCATCCATGCCACAACCCACTCAAGCAAGCCCCGGGTTTTTTGAGTGGCTTGGGCCAACCTAGGCTTGTAGCGTGGTTGGGTGCGAGATAACGGCATGGCATGTTGCTCGGCATATTTTAATTTATCGCCCTTGGGAAGGATTGTTTTAATTTTAGCATGAGTTAATCATATTTTTATCGCGAATCATAGCATGATAATTTTTATTTAGCGCGGCATGTGGATTATAACTCGCATGTGATAGTCCTTTTTTCCTTTTTCCTTATGGAATATTGTATTGGGCTGATAATTGCTCGGGCCCAATCCATGGATTTTTTGGGCCTCAACATTAGCCCCCTTAATTATAAGGGCCATGAACAGGTGCTGGAATGGGCCGAATAATTAAAACCCAACCCAAAAAATCAAATTTGTATTTGTATAGAACTCTTCTTCTTCCCGCGTGCAAAGTGACGGCGTGCCATGATGGTCCCGGTGGTTATTTGCAGTTTCCAACGCCAACTGCCTTCCTCTCTTTTTATTGTTATTATATCTTTTTATGTTTCTCTTTTCTCGCACTAGACACAAGACCTCCTAGAGTTCTTTCTCTTTTCACGCACTAGCCCAAAACTTCTTTGGTTTTTCTCTCTTCGTTCTCTCTTGCCCTTCCATAAACTCAGATCAAGTGAGAGGGCAAAATCGGGCCGAAATCATCCTCCTCTAGCCACCAAGAAGGAAACCCAGGTCAGACTCAATCCCGTTGTTCCATCTTCGTTCAAAAGGAGCTCGTCCGTCGCTGCTGGAAGGGCCGTGGATTTTCAAATCTCCCATTCTCTTTTCTCCTTGGTGCGTTCAAGGTCATCTCTTTGGGATTCTTAACGAGGTATGCCTTTTCTTGTTTTCCCCCAAGATCTATTTGGTGAAATTTTGGTTGGGTTTCTCATACCCATGGGGTATTTCCCTTCTTTTGACACTAAACCCCCTTTTGACCTTTTTTGTCATTGTAACAGCGTGGATGCCTATAGGTTGATAGCATGGGAGTTCATGCGCCATTCTTCTGAGACTTACTCCTCCTTTGATTTTCTAGGGCTGCCGGAAAGGTACCCATTTTTTTCTTTTTATTGTGGGAAGGAACTGTTGGCTTAAGTTTCTTCCCCTTTTTTATTCTATCTTTGTCTTGCACGGGTTCTTCTTTTGTGTAAAAAAAAGGTAATTCTTGGCATGACGTGCTTTTCCTTCTATTTATTTCCGTGCAGGTATATACATCTTGGGCATAGGTGAGGGTAGGTGCTGGAAACCCTTGACGTTTTGCTACTGGAACCTTCAAATTTCTCAATCTTTCTGACTTGGATTCTCGGTGCTTTTGTCCTAACTTTTTGGTAAATAATTCTGCCAACTTTGGGGTATTTTTAGAATAGGTGTAGACTGATGCTTGACCTAGGCTTTCTTTCCTTGAGGACGCATGTCCGATCAATTGTGGATTTTTCTTTTTTGCGTGTGTCGCTTGTGTGGAGAACAATTTTTTGATAGAGTGGATGTTTTGTACTGCCGGGTTGAATATTTATTTACTTTTCATTTGGAGAAGGGACTTGCTTATCCTGTCACAGAGCAAAACTCTTGTTTGCCATGAGCTTGAATTTTAAATTGCATGTTTGCTCGGACGACCGTAACTAGCCGTGCTCGATACATATCTTATGTGTGCTAATTCCATCTTGCTTCTTCCCGCTTTTCTATATGTAGGTACCTATTATGGCATCCGGTAATCCACCATTTATCATAAGGGATCATCTTTATTCCATAGATGACAGGTTGAAGAGAGGGAGACCACCTCCTCTGCTTAAGGGTGTGCCGACGAGGATATTCATCATTGATGAAGAACCAGCGCCCAGAAGCCACTCCAGTGATCGACCCCGCATCTATATCAAGGTGCTGCATAGAAAGGGGTCTGTTTCCGGCAGTTCCTTTGTTCTTTCAATATCCCTGCAGCACCAGCAAGGGTTGGTCGGAGTGGGTTGACCATGAACTGAAGAACCCGTCTACCCGTGATATCCTAAGCCGGGCAGGTGTGTTGGAAGCCATCTTTGCTCTAAGGCTTGCGACATCCCTATTGAAGCCAAGACGCTTCAACACTTGGTTAGACGGTGGAGTACCGAGACACACACTTTTATTTGTTCGTGGGGAGAGTTCACTCCCAGCTTGAGGATGTAGCCAATATTTCCGGCTCCCACTTTGCGGCAGTCAAGATCCTTTCCACATTGCATTAACCCCGGAAGATGGGCTAAAGCTTGAGACTTACGAAAGGGTGCTCTGACTTCTCCTAGTACTTCTCTAAGATTCAGTAATTGGATTCAATTTTTGGGAACAGTGACCGAGATGAGCCTTGTCGCCTTGCTGCGTTGTGTCATTGTGGCGCGGAGGTTCCTCTTTTGTGATTTTTCCCAAGACTGCTTGCATGGGAGAGTGTTTCCGTTGGCTTGGCAATAGCACGGGGTAGCATGATCCCTTTAGCCCCATGTTCTGGGGCACTTATGTCGCTTGCTTGACCAGATTCAATTTCTTGAGAGGGAGCCGGAACCATGCTGTGTGAGACTTTTGCAAACTCCGTTTTCTGCAAATCTTTTTATGGGAACGCTTCAAAGGGATGAGGTATCTCCACTTTCCTTATTCAAAGGCGAGTCACTGGTTGCTTCGACGAGAATTCCTACATGCCGGGTAGTCTTTCTGCTTGATCTGTAGATGGTCCCCGCATGCAACGGATGCCAAAAACTTTTTAGAGCTGCGGGGACGATGTTGAGAAATTCATCTTCCCCGTGCCGGTCATACTGTGTTTTATGCAGAGGGATTCACGGCAATACACCATTTTTATGTAATTCTGTTGTCTTGGTCGAAGGGGGGGGTCCCTGAGCCACGTCAGCACAAGGTTGCCGCTCTCGTAGGGAGGCATTACTAATTGCGACTGCATGGCTTCCTTTGGCCCACGTTTGGTGATGATCACTTCAGGGGTTCCTAGTGCGTTATTCTCGTCTTATCGGTTAACGACAAGCTCGAATTGCGACTAGGAGTGCCTTCTGTCCTAGCGATGGCGATTCGGCTTGGGTCATTACCAACATTGTTTGGACCAAGGTATCAGCGGTGCCAGAGGGACGGCCAGACGGCTCTTTGGCTTTAGGCCCTAGCGCTAACGCTGCAGCTGCGTTGGCAGTCTCTCAAAGGCCTACAAAATTATTGGAGACCGTTGCTTTTCGCGCTCATTTAGCGTCCTATTCCATGCTGCCTCATTGTGATAGATTGATTCTCCGCCATCTTCATCATAGCCGCTTAGTGTCGAAATAGAGAAAGCCTTGTCCCTGCGCCGATGAAGCAACACTACACACGAGCTCCTTGTGCTTCCAAAAGCGGGAGAGATTGTTGGTGACTTTTCGAAGCTAAAGCGGGAAAAGTTAGAAAAAGTCGGGTTCTCACCCGCAAGGGAAAAAGCTGTCGTACATGGCGCACCAACGCCGCAAGACGCGGGCCCGAAAGCTGCACGCGTTGAGACCAAAGGCAAGCTGTAAAAGGGCCGAACAAGTTCATCCCCAAGGTAGCAGCAAGTGGTCCTCCTAGCTCAAGAAAAGTTGCCTTGCCAGAGCCTTTGCAGCAGCAGCCTGTAGCTTTCCGGCAGCAGCGAGCGAGCAGCACAAGAGCTTCATCTCCTCACAGTAAGTTGCCATTTGTTTGCTCTCTTTGTTTCCCGCTCTTTATGTACATATAAGTATACCTTTTATCTGTTTTACAGGTACTCCCAAAGTAAAGGCAAGGGTAAGGGGGTTTCCCGTGATCCCGAAGCGTCAAAGCATGCGTATTCCTCGAAACACGGTTTGCCAATACCCGCAAGAACAAAGGTGAAGACTCGGACCCAAAGTAGTGGTAACGGTTGATGATAATAGTGATGATGGTAGCGATGATAGTGGTGCTGTGGAGACTGAGATTAACCATCCACGAGCAAGAGGGCACTCACGATACAAGTGGCATGGATGAGGGCATTGATGAAGGCCATACTATAGTCACGATGAAGACACATATCTGGACTTCGGCACTAACTCGAGGAGCTCGATGGCTCAGATACACCTCTTGCTTTGGCTAGCAATCATGGACAGCGTGTCGACATTGAACTGGTATCAAATATCCCTCTTGCTTGTTCTACTTGGCATATTGACATTGCATACTGCCCGTTGTGTCCCATAGTTCATACTTTGCTTTTCTCCTGCAGGTCGTGCCCACCATTGAAGACACGGTAGGTGCTTCATCGGAGGCTGGTTTTGCCTTTCCCACTACTGTCGCTGATGCTGTCCTGAGCCTTCCGGGCAGTGCAACCTCCTCCTTCTCCTAACCTGTGTACTCCTGACATGGCTGCTGACGCCTCTCCGCCACTTCTAGCAGTTCCTCCTCCTATTTCTCCAATTCCGAGCGCACCTGACATGGCTGCCGGCACCGCTCCACTTCTTCCGGCAGTACTTCCCCTTACTTCTCTCCAATCCCGAGCACACCTGACATAGCTTCCGGCACCGCCCCACTTCTTCCAGCAGTACGTCCCTTTGCTGAGATTATTGACAATAGTCATAAGAATGGTGATGCTTTTATCGCAGGTTCCTCAAAAGGGCATTCATTCGAGAAAGGCATGTCTTGGCAAGATTGGGAGAATTCCTACACGGCATTCAAAGCCTTTTTTGATAGTGGTGTCACCATTCTTAGATCCATTGATGAACTTCTTCCGCTTTGCCACAGATTCGATGGTTATGTGACATTCCAAGGTGCCCTCGTGTATCCAGAGACGGTTAAAGCCTTGAAAAGGTTCATGGACAAATACGGAAGTTTGATGGAAGCTACAGATGTCACTCTCTCTTTCTCAAGGTGCACTGCCCTTCGAGCCCTTGGCTTAGTACTTCATGGGATGGACACCATGCAACTCCTTGATATTACGGATCACAACTGCTCTGTTGGCGAGATGCATATGTGAGGCCATGATTCTGGGCTTTCGCGTGGAATTTCTTTCTTAAACTCGTGAAGAACTAGCACGTGCCGTCTTTGGAGCACGGGCCATTCGTAGTATGCAATTATCGCATGACTCTGATGAAGTAAAAGCTGCAGATGCCTTGAATATTAAACAACAGGAGTTGGAGAACCAGCGCCGGGAGATGCATGCCCTCCTTCTTGCTAAGGGTATTTCTGTTGACAGCGCTGAGTGCGTGACGGAGGGCAGCGGCCAGATATCTCCTGGGGCTTCCTTTGTTCTTTTCGGACATTCCCCATAGCCTAAAGGTACTCATCATTCATTATTTTTTTTTTTTTATCACTTTACATATTCCAGCAGCAGCTATTTTTGACACACATTTTCTCTTTTTCTTTTTGCAGATTGCCCATCCTTGGCTTGGTAACCATTTAGCTTGGCACATGACCCTGCTTTCTTTGTGACTTAAGGGCGCGTGAACCTTCAGCATATGCAGTTTTATTTTGCTTTGTTTGTAGTGTTGTTTTTTTTTGTGATACTCTAACGACTACGTCGTTATGCCTTTGTAATTTGGTATTAAACTACTGAAGCTTGTATGAATTTCCGAATGCTTGAGGCATGTTGCATATTTCCTGTGTGTATATATATATATATATGTACTGCTTTGTTTGGCCAGAGTTGTCTTTATGAACTGCTTGAAATTTTTCTGACAGGTTGGATATCATTGAAAACAGGGTATATGCTGTCGAAATTTTTTTTTTTAACAGAAGCAAAATTTTCGAAAGTTTCTTTTGCATGGCTTATCTAGATTCTTTTTTTTTTTTTTTTTTTTTTTTTTTTTTTTTTTTTTTTTTTTTTTTTTTTTTTTTTTTTTTTTTTTTTTTTTTTTTTTTTTTTTTTTTTTTTTTTTTTTTTTTTTTTTTTTTTTTTTTTTTTTTTTTTTTTTTTTTTTTTTTTTTTTTTTTTTTTTTTTTTTTTTTTTTTTTTTTTTTTTTTTTTTTTTTTTTTTTTTTTTTTTTTTTTTTTTTTTTTTTTTTTTTTTTTTTTTTTTTTTTTTTTTTTTTTTTTTTTTTTTTTTTTTTTTTTTTTTTTTTTTTTTTTTTTTTTTTTTTTTTTTTTTTTTTTTTTTTTTTTTTTTTTTTTTTTTTTTTTTTTTTTCCCCCCCCTTTTTTTTTTTTTTTTTTTTTTCTCACTTTCAACACTAATTTTTGTTTCCACCTCTCCCCATATTGCTCGTCCCCCCAACTCAAACCCTTATTCTTCTTTCTCTTCTCATTGACGGCAACTCTCCTTCTCTTCCACCGCCTTTCTCTCTCATCTCTCCCTCTCTTTCCTTGCAACTCTCCCTCTCTCTCTCTCTCTCTCCTCTCTCTCCTCTCTCTCTCTCTCTCTCTCTCTCTCTCTCTCTCTCTCTCTCTCTCTCTCTCATCTCCATTCTCTTCCACAAAATTTCTCTCTCATCTCTCCATCTCTTTCCCTACAACTCAAATTCTCTCTCTCTCTCTCTCTCTCTCTCTCTCTCTTCGCATCTGAAATACAGGAGGCTAACCTCCAAATCTAATGTTAGCTACCTCTATTTGGAGGCTGGCAAGGTCGCTTCCTCTATTGTTGCAAATGAGGAGAGAGAAAGAGAGGGAGTGAAGAGACTGAGAAAGCTGGTAAGAAGAATAAAGTCGATTTCAACGACGATGGAAGGGTGGGGGACACAGAGGATAGAGGATAGCGATGTCGACGTTGACGTCGAGCTGTGATGAGGAGCAATAGTCGCAAAGAAGAAAGGCACCCTAGTGTAACTATTTTTTTTTAAAGTATGAGACTAGTGGCTAACTGTCAAAAGGCAATTGAAGGGGATACTGACGTGGAAAGCTTACCTTGGCATCCTTGTGCTAGGCAAGTTCTTCTCTTGGTTCTGGTACAGAGAGAAAAGATAGAAAAAAGTAATTTTCTAAATATTTTTTAAATAAAATATTTTATTATTTTTTCACACGTGGAACTGATATGGCATACATTTCAACAAAGGGTGGGTCCCATTCATGCCATTTCAGTGATTTTAACAGAGTTAACGGTGGGGACCGAAGTGAACCATCGGTAACCTATAATAATAAGCCTTATTTTCAAGAGGTAAAGTGAAATTTGACTAGAGTTTCAGGCGACACTATAATAAATAACCCTTCTTTTTTATAACTACCCACAAATGCCACTAATCTTTTACTTTCTATTATTATAGAATTCAATTTCAAAAATTGAAACTTGCTTGTGCATTTATTTTTTTAAATGGAAAAACAATCTCATTAATAAAAAAAAAACAATCACTAAAGATCACTCAGCAGCACGTCTTGTAAGATATGAGGTGGAAACTGTTAGAAATATGCCCTTAAAGCCAATTAATTATGTAATAGTTAGAGTTAAGGACATCTTTGATAAAAGACATATTATATTATCAATGGGCAAGAAATGTTGTTTTATACTTTAAATCATCTTATCTTATCTTTCAGTATGTAAAACAACCATAGTCCAAGGAATACACAAGTGGATATGAGAGCTGTTTGTACAAATTTCCTCACGAGAATATTCGTCTAAGATTCCTTCGTCTTCTCCACTTCTCTTTCTCCCTGCAAAACAGATCGGGGTAAAAGGACCACACCCGGGTTTTTTTTTTTTTTTTTTTTTTTTTTTTTTTTTTTTTTTTTTTTTTTTTTTTTTTTTTTTTTTTTTTTTTTTTTTTTTTTTTTTTTTTTTTTTTTTTTTTTTTTTTTTTTTTTTTTTTTTTTTTTTTTTTTTTTTTTTTTTTTTTTTTTTTTTTTTTTTTTTTTTTTTTTTTTTTTTTTTTTTTTTTTTTTTTTTTTTTTTTTTTTTTTTTTTTTTTTTTTTTTTTTTTTTTTTTTTTTTTTTTTTTTTTTTTTTTTTTTTTTTTTTTTTTTTTTTTTTTTTTTTTTTTTTTTTTTTTTTTTTTTTTTTTTTTTTTTTTTTTTTTTTTTTTTTTTTTTTTTTTTTTTTTTTTTTTTTTTTTTTTTTTTTTTTTTTTTTTTTTTTTTTTTTTTGAAGCGTGGGCGAGTTCTCTTCCTTTAAGTTCTCATATGGAATAAGTGACCGCAGTGAATCGTCACTTGATTCACACTTAGACCAGATCATCATTAGAGCCACCCAATCTTATACTTCGTCGACATACAAGTTGATAACTCTTATACGCTTCTTCCAATCCATCACATGCCGGACCCTTGCCATTTACAACGTTCAGTAATTGTCTAAATTTTCACCCACCTGCTCTTTCTTCTTTTATTTCCGCAAAGCAGTCTGGAGTGATTATGAAATAGAACACAATCAATGGTTCAAACCTCCACAAAGCCAGTATGATAATTTGGTATTATTAACGGCACTGGGCCAAGCCACGACATTACCGTAAAATACATCGGCGTTGTCCGTCCGATATTTCTACAACTCCAACTCTTGTTGTCCCGCTTCCGGATGAGATACAAAATCCCAATGTGCTGCACTTTTCCTGTCAACGCATAATCATGACATTAAAACAATGCATAATCATTAACTTAATCTCCTTTCACAGCCCACGTCCTTTGACGAGGGAAGCAACAGAATCATCTCAGCTTCCACGTTTGCCAAATTGCATCACCAAACTGGATATAAAAAGTTTTGAAACACCACATTAAAAATATATACCTAATGCCTTCTATCTCAAAAAACAAGGACTTACTTTGGGTTATGGCGCCATTCCCAACAAAGTTTCAGCAATTCACCATCTCATCATGCGGAATCGCCTTCATTTGGCTAACATCCGAAGCGGGTTGTCTTTGGCACAATTTTTTAACCACTTCACTAGCTTCAATGATCTTCCATACATAGGAATATCTCTTCCTCTTCCGTAATTGGACCCCCTCGTTCCACACCTTTACCTTCATCATTCAACCAAACGTTCAACTGAGATAGCATAGCATAGAGGTTGATCCAAATCAATGTCCCCGAGAGTAAACTCAACCTTTGTCCCCTCCGTGCTCTCGCCAATGTCATCGCCAAGCAACATAACTTCATCATCCTCTTCCTCATATTGGTTTCTTTGCACTTCCTTTTCCTCACTTCTTTGTCTTTTCACTTCCTTGCCTCCCTTCGTTTCTTTGCAGATCCTCTCTCTTACTGCTCTTTCTTTGCGCTTCCTCTCCCTTGCTGCTTTTATTTTCACTTGTTCTACCCTCACTTCTTTTCCTTTGCGCTTCCCTTACCTCACTTGGTTTCTTTGCACTTTACCCCCTTCAATCCCTTCCTCTTCCTTTCCTCTCCTCATTTCTGTTACTTGGCCCTTCATCCCATTCAATGTCATCCCACTTCCTCAGATCCCTTAAATAGATGTGAGATAGCACAACGATTCGTCCTCTCTTTCAGTACAGCTAGGTCCCTCCTTACTTCCTGCTCAAAATGAGGACCTAAACAGTGGTTCAAAATTTTTTCCATTCGTATAACCTTTAACTCAAGGACATCATTTTCCAGCTTTACTTGAAACAACTCAGACCTCAACAAGCTTACCACCTTGTTCAACTCATCAAGGTCAGCACATGAAGAAGGAACTGACTCTGCCGAGACAAAAACAGGGTGATCCTGTGGCCAACTCCAATATGGTTGTCTCATTTCCTCTTCACTTGAACGTAGCGCCCGCAACTGAACTGACTGTTTCAAAATACAGACAAGAGTCATATTCAAACATTCTACTTCATAATTTCATTAAATTTTATAAACAGTTCCAAGGGCTGCAAACCAAACCTCTTTGCTCTGGAAAAATAATTGTTCAACTTTCTCATCTCGGGAATAGACGTAGTAGTTCTCCATCGCAAAATACGCGGGATAGCTGTCGGATCAACAACCTTGCAGTAATTCAGGTCCGCCATTCTAGGAATTAATTCATATACCCAAATCTACAAAATTCACATGACAAAAGTCATTATTTAAATTTTAAAGTCCACAAAGCAAACTGATATGAACATTATTACCATGTACCTGGAAAGCATACATGAAACCTTTAAAACTCCAGCCACCTCTTTGCACTTCACCATGCTTATCCTTCTTGCCCTTCTCATTTCTCCGGCTTGTTCCCGTTACCTTACTTTTCCCCTTCCCTCTTCCCTCTTCATTTTCAAAGCTTTTCATATACTTTGTTGGTGCAGAAAATACTGTCTTGGGTTTTGTCAAAGGACACCGAACCCCACGGATACCTGTTGAACGCATCCAAGTCCTCTACAAGGGTCAGGTAATTTAGATTGATGTTCAAATGCTTGTCTCTTCCCAAAACCACTAACTCAGCAAAGTAAACAAGAGCTAGCTTGTAGATGTCATCTTCCTCTGTGCACCTCAAAAATGCTTCTTCTAAAGCATTACATGTAATTCCTTCGTCTATAAAATATCTTTTATGAAGTCTAATTTCATCACTTTCTCCATTGGAAACTTCAGGCACTTCCCCAAAACGAAGCCTTGTGATCAAACAGAAATCCTGATGAGTGAACTGAGCAACGTCGACCCTATTAAGAAACTCAGTTCATCCAAGTCTTTCACACCCTGCCCCGCTACTCGACGCAACACAACCCCATTCACAATCTGCCCGCTAAACTGAATCTTATCTATATTCAGAAGATGGCCAAAGCATGATGTCTTGAATTGTTCTAATTGTTTGGCAGTCAACTTCGCTCGAATTGCCGCTAGGGATGAATTTGCATGTGAGCAGTTGTTCACCCGTGACGCATATGCCTCTGACTCTGGCCATACCAGCTCCACGTTGGATCCCATTTCCTGAAATACAAGATGAAATAACGTGAACACATATACTACCACGTATTTGCACAAACATATTGGTATTTACACAACTAGTCAACCAGACACATTACAAATTTTACAAAGTACATGCGCATAGGGATTACTGATCACAGACTTTAACATCATCAAAGCAATATGACAATTTTTTTGCAAATACCTGTTAATGCAATGATTCTGTGAATTACAAGCAATAGCATGTGTTTTATATATGGATCCAAACTCCAATCAATGGTTGATGCATGAGTGAGTGTGAGTGCAATCTAAGCAAGTTCACACGCATGACAATTATTGTCATCTCATACACAACACAAATAAATAAATAAATAAATAAGAAAGATGGTGGAAGGAAGCAAAATAAATAAATAAATAAATAAGAAAGATGGTGGAAGGAAGCAAAGCAAAGCATCTTGTTGGCTGTTGTGAATCTCACGGCTGGTGCTCTGGGCCGAGGGGATGTGCGTCAACACGTGACGTCCTTCTTTTGGATGCGGTGCGGTTGTACGTGGGCGTGCCAGCACGGTCTACCGTGCGTCGAGATGATGATGAGGTTTGGGTAGAAGATGGTTAAATGTTGCGCCTGTTTTGTGTTCGACTCCTAATCATATTGTGGCCGAGAGAGGAACTGATCTCGGCCGTCAGGTTCACGGCCTGAGCTACAAGGCCGTTTAGTGGTGGTGTTGGTGGCGGGTTTTAGGCGGTGCTCCGGCGCGTTGCTCAGAGAGCGACGGTCGTATGATATATGGGGGTGAATGAGACGATAACAGGGATGGTGCTCCGGCGCCTTGAAAATCAAGGGTCGTATGATATATTGATGAATGGATTTTCCTTACAATCTACCACTACTCATAGGAAAGCAAATAAAGGTATTGAAAGTGCATTACAGGAAAATATAATTTGCTCCGTGAGAGGCTTTTGGTTTGGTGTTTGAACCCTTTGAATGTAGTCCTGAGCTTAGTATTTATAGGAGGAGTCTTCGAGGGACAATCGAGGCTGACAAGACCTGCGTGGTGGAGCTGACCGGGGCAAGTGGGTAGTCAAATCGGCATTTGGGATCGTGAAGCATGGTGGTTTGGGGTTGAGAAGCATGGTGGTGTGACCCCCATAAATCTTGGTAAATCTCAGCCACCGCCCTTGATTGTGGGTTCTGCCCCCTTGGCCGTGGGAACGCATTTAATGCCCTGGTTTGGTGGTTGGTGATCTGACCTCAAGTCGTAAGATTAGTTGTGAGAATGTCTGCGCCTAACCACCTTGATTTCCATCACCAAATCCTGACTTCAGTCACTTCCCTTCTTCCCTTATGGATTAAATGCTTCTTGCGACTAGTGGGTTTGCTGCGAAGTCAGAGGCATTACTTCATTAAATGGGGAGTAGGACCCTGAGGCCACATGGCGATTTAACCACAGCCTCTTCGGCCATTTCTTTTACGGCCTTCGGCTTCCGCCTTCAATACCGCGGTCGCGAGGCCGAGAGGATTCTGCCTTTGTAGCTTTTCTTTGTTTTCAGGAAGGCGAAATGCTTAACGAAACGGTAGGCGCCAGGGCCAAAAAGGAAGTCCCTTCAATCCATTTATGACCGTGATTTATTAGGCACAAACATTGCCCCCACATCCCTGGATTCTTCGGTCGCGACCTGGGCAGAGGCCGAAAGGATTCCAAGGGATGGATCCTTTGCATTCCCCCTGAAGTGATTGACAGTTGGCGCTTTAAATGCTTAGGTCAGTCGGCGCATTAATGCGCAAGCACGTCTTGCAGACCATTATTGCACAAGCCGCCATTTCGTCTTGTTAAATGAAACGATGGCTTATGAGCTTCCGCCTTGTCATCGCGCAGGCGAACGCACTGTCAGACCGTTACGTATCTTGAGAGAGCCATGCCCTTTCTTTCGAATTCTGGCGCCAATATAAAAAGCCTTGCCTTCTTCATTTTTCTCCACTCTTTCCCCTCTATTCTAACCTGCTCCAGTCGCCTCCCCCCTGTAGCTTCTCCAGAACTAGGGTTGAGCCATATCCGCGGATCCTCGCGTCGTGGCCTGATCCAGATGGTTTTTTTCCCTCCTGCTGTCCACCAACTATCCTTCGTCTTGGAAAGTCGACGCGGGCCAAGGCCATGGTGTGGCCGAGATTCCGTCCCGGCCCTGGGGGAGGATGACCTTCCCCCTTATGAGGCCGTGGAGAGACTGTAATGCGATCGATAAAGATGGAAGGGCCTAGTGTGATGATTTCAACTTGGCCATGTTCGTTTGGCCTAGCACCTTGGTTGCACCCATGGCTAGAGTGACGGTCTTGGCTTCACCCAGCCATAGTTGTGCCCAGAATGATGGCCCTGGCCATGGCCCGAGCGATGGCCTTGATTGCAACTCGGTTTCACCCATGTCCAGAGTGACGTCCTCATCCATGGTCGGAATGACGGCCCTGACTCTAGCCGGCTGCACCCGTGTCCAGAGTGACGGCCTCGGCCATGGCCCGAGCGACGACCTTGATTGCAACCCGGTTTCACCCATGTCCAGCGTGACGTCCTCACCCATGGTCGGAATGACGACCCTGACTCTAGCCGGCTGCACCCGTGTCCAGAGTGACGGCCTCGGCCATGGGCCGAGTGACGTTCTTGATTGCAACCCGGTTTCACCCATGTCTAGAGTGATGGTCTTGCCTATGGTCGCGGTCAGTGGAAACGTGGGCGGTGGAGGCACTGCCTAGGGAAGAATCATCTGCTGCTCTAGCGAGGGGATCAAGAAGCGGCCGTTCATAGATTTAGGATGTACTCTATCTTTCGCACATGAATGCTTATATGTTTCATTCGGCCATGACTGACCGTTCTTTTGTAATCGCGACCCCTTTTTTAATCTAAATGAAGTACAACCCTCTTTTTCTTTTGACCAAATGTATGTTTTTTCTTTCATCTTTGTCGATTGTAAACCTTATAACCCATTCTTGGCCGTCTCCCATAATGACGGGGTATATTTCTTCAAATACTGGCCGTTTATTGGCAAGTTGTGTCATTCCCCATCCCTATCTCTTAATTGAAATGCACATCGGCCAAGGATTCGTTCGATAATAAACGGCCCTTCCCAATTGGGTGAGAATTTGCCGAACCGAGGGTCCTTAGTCCCGATAGGAAGAACGGCACGCCATACCAAGTCGCCTTCGGCGAAAGTCTTTTGCTTCACTTTCCTGTTGTAGGACCTCGCCGCGATCTGCTTTTGTGCCTGCATTAGGTTATAAGCGTCGAGTCTGGATTGCTCCAAATCTTCTAACTCCTGAGCCATGGCCTGCGCATAGTCCTTTTCTTCCTGCCCAGGTCGTTCGGTCACACGGAGAGATCGAACCTTTAGCTCCATCGGAACGATGGCGTCATGGCCGTAGGTTAAGGCATAAGGGGATGTGCCAGTAGCCAATCGTTTTGAGACTCGGTAAGCCCAAAGGGCTTCAGGGAGTAAGTCGTGCCACGCCCTAGGTTTTTCCTCAATCATTTTCTCGAGGATGCCCTTGATTACCTTGTTGCTCACCTCGGCCTGTTCGTTAGACTGTGGGTAGTAGGGTGTTGAGTGGACCAATTTGATCCCTATCCTTTCGGCATATTCTCGAGTCTCGGCTGATGCGAATACCGGGCCGTTATCGGCCGTGATGGTTTCGGGTATACCGAATCTGTGGACGATGTGATTTTCGAAGAATCTGACCACCTGTGTGCTAGAAATGGACCGATAGGACTCCGCCTCGACCCATTTAGTGAAATAGTCAGTTGCCACCAAAATCCAGGCGTGCTGGTTGGACGCGGCTGGGTAGATTTTGCCGATGATATCCACGGCCCATCCTCTGAACGGCCATGGTTTAGTAACGGGTGGAGGGCGTCAGCTGGTACCCTTTGTATGGGGCCGTAGATTTGACACTTGATGCACCCCCTCGCATATTCTATGCAGTTCTTTAAAATGGTCGGCCAATAATAGCCGTGCCTCCGGACCAACCATCTCATCTTAACGCCGACTGGTGAGCGCCGCAAATCCCCTTGTGGGATTCGGCCATGATAACCTGAATATCTTCGGCGCTGGGGCATAGGAGCAATAAACCGTCTGATCCCTTTCGATACAGCTCGTTCTGATAAATCAAATAACACCAAGCTCGGAAACGAGTAGTCCTTTCATGGTTGCCGGAGGGGTCGCGCAGATACTTTACTATGGGGTAACACCAGTCGGCTTTGGCCGCTTCGACCTCGTCGGTAATCTCAGCTGATGATACTTGCGCCGTCATTCCTCGCTCGGCCAAAGCCCGGCAGGGTACGCTTCTCGATCCTTATCACGCGATTGTCGGAAATGTTCACACCTGACGCTACCTGGGCCATCTCATTGGCCTCATGGTTTTCGGCGCGCGGTACGTGAACAAAGGAGATCCTAGAAAATTCGTCGGCCGTATTGAGGGCCGTTAAATTCTCGCTCGTGCATTGGTATTCCCCGGTCAGTTGGTTAATTACCAGCTGAGAATCACCGTAGACCAGGACACGAGTCGCCTTCATTTCTTTTAGAATTTCAAGACCGATGATGAGTGCTTCATATTCGGCCTTATTATTGGTGCATTTGAAATCAAGCTGGAACGCAAATTGCCACCTTTGTCCTTGGGGGGACTCGATCACGACCCCGGCCCCAGATCTGGTCTCGGTACTGGAGCCATCGAAGTACATGGTCTAGTAGTTCTTCTCCATGCGGGCCATGCCGATCTCAACCTCCAACTCTCCTCTTGCCCCTGAGCCAGGTGGTGGGCCAAGAAATCGGCCAATGCCTAGCCTTTGACCGACTTCTGAGCCACATATTGGAAGGTGAATTCAGACAATGCCATCGTCCACTTCCCGATCCGGCCGCGTATGATCGGCCGAGTGAGCATGTATTTGATGAGGTCGGTCTTGGAGATGATCTGAACGACCGAAGGAAGCATATAATGCCCAACTTGGTGGCCGCGAAATAAAGTGCCAAGCATAATTTCTCGATCAGTGAGTAGTTTAGCTCGGCCATGTTAAGGGTGCGGCTCAGATAATGCACTGCTTGCTCTCGCTCAGACTCGTTGTTCTGGGCCAGCAGACAACCGATAGAGCCTTCTGAAGCCGAAATATAAAGCCTCAAGGGTTTCCCTCTTTTCGGCGGCATAAGGACCGGTGGTTGAGATAAATATTGCTTGATGTCGTCGAGGGCCGCTTGATGTTTTGCCCCCCACACGAACCATTCCATGTCTTTCAGTTTGAGCAGAGGAGTTAATGGCCAGATTTTTCCCGCCAAATTGGATATGAACCGCCTTAAAAAGTTGACCTTACCGAGGAAGGACTGGAGTTCCTTTTTGGTCCTCGGCGGGGGTGCTGCCATAATGGCCGTGGCTTTATTCTTATCTACCTCGATCCCTCGTTGGTGGACCAAGAAACCGAGAAAGTTCCCGGTGGTGACGCCGAAAGCACATTTCTTAGGGTTCATCTTTAGGCCGTGTGCCCGCATGCGATTGAAAGCATGTCGAAGATGCCCCACGTGGTCAGCTTTGGATGGGGACTTTAAAACAACGTCGTCGATGTAGACTTCAACGGTTCGGCCAATTAGGTCGTGGAAAATAAGGTTCATAGCTCGTTGGTACGTTGCGCCGGCGTTCTTCAGGCCGAATGGCATGACTACCCATTCATAAGTCCCGATTGCGCCTGGACATCTGAACGCCGTCTTGTGGACATCTTCCTCGGCTATGAAGATTTGGTTGTAACCAGCGTGGCCATCCATGAAAGACAGGAGCTCGTGCTTCGCGGCTCCGTCCACCAGGAGGTCGGACATAGGCATGGGATACTCGTCCTTGGGGTCGCGAGGTTTAGATTTCTGTAGTCGGTCCAAACCCTCAAAGCCCCAGTCTTTTTCAACACTGGTACAACGTTAGCCAACCACTCAACGTACCGAGCCGTGCGGATGAAGCTGGCTTTAAGGAGCCGTTCAATTTCCTCTTTGACCTTAAGCTGTACTTCGGTCGAGAATCGCCTCGACAACTGTTGGAAAGGCCTAAACCCCTTCCCTAATCTTTAGCTCGTGCTCGACCAAACTTCTTGGCAATCCAGGCATCTCATGATAATCCCAAGCAAAACAATCCTTATATTCATGGAGCAGGCTGATAATCTCGGCTGCTAATTCAGGGCTCAAAAGCTGGCTTAAAAAAGAGGTCGTGGTTCGGGCTCGGTCCCTACATTTATTTCTAATAACGGGTCCTGGACCACGGGGTAGTCATCCTCCATCTCGACGGGCGCCGTTCCCAAGTCGTCAAAGGCTAAAGTGTCCGCCTCATTCGACTCGTGAAGGAATTCGATTAGGTTGATCGGCGAGTTTGGCTGTAAGGATTCCTCTGCCCAATGTTCCAGCAGTCTTTCCAGTAGGTCGGTCACGGCCGCCGCTCCCTCTTTTTTAGTGGCTTTGTCTGTCATCTAAAGGTCAGTGAGGTCGATCAATACTTCGCGCGCGAATCCTGTCGAACATTCTCGGCGCCTAACTCCAGCACTTTCTGGGCCGTTGTCCTGGTTGGCCGGCCGCTTGCATCGTGGCCGGTGAGGACAACCTATCCAACGTCGTCGTCGTAAATCTGTGCTTGCACGACGTTGGTTTCGAAGGGTTTTTTGTCGGCTGGGTGTATGGACACCCTCTGGCCGTCCCAGAAGAACAACAGTTGGAAGAAGGAGGACGGTATGCATCTAGACTGATGGATCCAGTCACGACCGAGCAATCTATTGTAGTCCATGCTGGATTCGACTACGTAGAAGGCCTTAACTCTTGTCTGGTCGGCCACGGTGATTTTTAACGGCAACACCCCGATGGTCTTGGATTTGTCGCCGACAAAGCTGCTCATGACCACGTCGCTGGGGATGAGGTCCTCCTTTGACTTATCCAGCTTCTTCATTAGGGAATAGGGAAGGATGTTGATCGTCGCCCCATAGTCAACGAAGACCTTGGACACGGGCACACCTTCTACATGAGCCGAGATGTATAACGGCTTGAGGTGTCAGTATTTGTTTGGCTCGTCTCTGGGTATTACCTCGTTAAAAGCCACGGCCAACAATTCTTCCTTTGTTTTTGGCCTTTGATCAAGCTGCTCCTCGGCCACGTCATTATCTAGGCCGTTGGTCTGGCCTCTTGGGGCTGAAAACTCGGATGGTAGCACCAACACCATGTTCATGCTGACCTCCTTTGGCTCCCTCTGGTTTCCCCCACCAACCTCCTTGTTAACCTCACAGCCGTCACTGGCGAGGGTTTTTTCGTCAACCATCCCGAGGATCCCTTCGTAGTCCTCATCGGAGATTCCCAATGTGGAGTCATCCTCGGCCTCGTGACCAAAGAAAAGGTCGCCGGGGCCCTCGACCATAGGCCTTGCAGTCCCAGGGGTATCGTCTATGGTCGCTTTGATCTTATGGGGTCCGAGGTCTCGACCTCCTCCTCGAGGGCTTGTCTAGCCTGAGCTAACGCATCCCTAGCCGCTAAGTAATCGTCCAGACGGCTTACCCAGGCCCTTTCCTCGGTCGTCAGACCGAAGATAGTGTCGGCCGGAGTCATAGTAAAATATCGGCGGAGGTATTCTAAATCTCTTCCGCTAAAAGGGCCTCAGGTCGGTATCCTGGCATCCCTCTTGCCCTGGCCTCTCGGTTTGCCTGGTATACGGCCTTAATGGCTGAGTTAGATTCGCGGGTAATAAGGACCCTCTCTGCCTTAGCTTTTTGAGAGCCAACTCCACGATTTCACGGTTTTCGGGGGTCATGCCGTATAGGTTGATGGCCAAGTGGTCCTTATGGAATTCCATGAGAAAGGACAAATCGTTGGCCGAAAAAGGGGGGTCCCTTCCGTGGTAGACGTCGATGATACCTTCATCCGTTTCCTCCAGGGCCGCGGCCTTTGGCTCGACTGAAACGGCTGTCATTCCGCGGGGGTAACCGTCCTGCCTAGGGCGCCACGTCCTTGGAGGCTTGATGCTGGCAACCTTCGCTGTAAGGGGAACGATTGGCGCGGATGGCGGCTCGTCTGCAGTCGCCATCTTCTTTTGGCGTTTTAATCCCTCGACCTGGGCCGTCTCTATCCTGGCCTTCTGAACTTGTCTCTGCATCCTTCTCAGCTGGGTTTTTGTCAGCGGTTCGGTGCTGCCCCCAGGTCGTGCATGATACCAACGGTCATCTCGTACGGCCGGTGGTTTGAAAGTCTTCACTGGCCTAGGAGTGGCTTCGTCTTTGTGGCCCGCCGAGGTACTGGGGCTTCGTGCCCCTAGTCGGTTGAAAACAACTCTTCTTGCTGGCCAACGGTCGCACTGGCCGCCAAATTTCCTCATAGTCGGTTGAGATGGCTCGGCGGCCTTCCTTTTGTTCTGTAGCGGTCTGAGCTGACCGATCTCATACTTGCACCGACTGCACGGTACCGGCTCTGGTTCGGCCAACAACTCCTTTCCTTTTGTGGGCCGACGAACTTCCCTATATTTGGCCCGGAGCTGAGCGTTGACCATGTTGATGATGGGTGGGGGGAATGGCTTAGAGTCGACTTGCATGGCCGTCTTTTCCGAGAATTGGAGCTTCTTTTTCGTTTATCAACTTCTGGATGACGTCTCGTAGAACAATGCAGTTGTTGGTGTTGTGAGACCAAGAACTATGGTATTTGCATAACGTCTTTCCTTCGAGCTCTTCGGGTTTCGGAATTTTATGGCCGAAGGACAATTTGACCTTTTTCTCTTTTAACAGTAGGTCAAAGATAGCTTCGGCCCTGGTTAAATCAAAAGTGTAGGCCTTCGTTTCTAGAGTCGCGAACTTGGCGTTGGGAATCTTTGTGCGACTATTGTCGGTCTTGACAAGTCCTTTGCAGACGAATGGCTTGTCTATGCTGACTTCGGCTGAACTTATCCCTACTTCGTCGCTCTCGGCCTCTGTGGGGCCGTTTGCTTCGGCATAGCTGACAACGAGATTCCGATAGTAAGTCCCTTTTGAAGCCGTCCTCCTCTGCACCTCTTCTTTCAACAAGGATGCGTATCGGTCCACTATGTTGATCAAGTCGTGCATGTCTCAGAATTCGATCCCCTAGAATTTCTTCCGGTATTTGAATTCCAATCCTTCCTCGGCCATCTTGACAAATTCCCTCTTTGGTAGGTTTGTGCGGCACCAGTTCCTGTACGTTTTGAACTACTGCAGGTAGTCGCGAGGCGATTCGTCTGATGCCTGGCGCATCCTTGCCAGCTCGGTGACAGTTATTTCCCGGTTGGTCTGATAGAAATGTTCGTGGAATATCCTCTCCATGTCAGACCAATCCCTTACCGAATTCGGTGGAAGGTTAATGAACCACGAGAATACCGCACCGGTCAGAGAGTGAACGAATAAACGGAGCCTCTGGGCGTCCGAATCGGCCTCTCTGCACTGGGCCGTGAAGGAGGTTGCCCATCCCCAGAGAATAGAATGAATTCTGGCAACCGATAGTTCCGGGGAAGATGAATTCGGTCAATCTCCGGCAGGTATGGTTTGGCATACCTTGGCGCTTCCGGGCACCTCTGAGCCAGGCTGTCCTCAATCATTCGCCGGACGTCTTCGAATCGGTGCCCCTGAGGGGGCGCTTCTTGCTGGGCCGCGACTGGCCGTGGAACTTGTTGCCCCTCGTTCTGCGGTCTTACCTGCTGGGCCACTTGAACGGGGGTTCGGCCATTGCGACCGAGCTGGGCGGTGCTAGATAAGCGCCGTAGGTTTGACCGGGGAGCATATGTGCTGACGGCAATAACGACGCATGTAATGATGAAACGATCGAATTGCTCTGACCGTATTGCTGTCACGAGGTAGCGGTCGCGTTGGCCACAGTGTGACCTGGGCCAAGTTGCTGGACTGCGGAATGTGTGGGGCTGCTTTGCCCCAGTGACACGGCCAAAGCATGGAGTGGGCCGTATGCCGTTTCTACTGGGCAGGTTAGTCCAGGATTTACCCATGTTGGCTGGGATTGCCCCCAGCTATTTGTCGGCGGCTGAGAATGCTGGCCGTACCCTGACACTTGGGTGCGGCCAGAGACGCTGAGGCTGCTGCTTTCGCCGTAGGGCTCAAACCTCTCGCGCTCTTGGTTTCTCTGTCCGGCTTTGGGAGGCGTTGCGGACGATGTTACCGGCATCCTCTCCTGAAAGAGCGTCCGTAGTTCTGAGGAGAATCTGTCCATTGCGGCCATAAAGGATGTCTCTATCCTGTAGGCCTACTTCACCATCAGATCCTCCACTACTGCTTGCTCTCCCATGGACTCGGCCGCACGATCCGTTGTTATTGGAGCGCTGGCCGAGATTCTGACCACGTGTTTGGTCTCGGTGATAGTGATTGGTGAGGTGGACTCAGGAGCCTCGGAAGTCATTTCGACTGTTTTTTTATAGCTTTGCCTGTGCCCTAGTTTCCACCATGAGTTTTTGACAAGAGTCCCACTGGGCGTGCCAAAAGTGTTGGCTGTTGCGAATCTCACGGCTTGATGCTCCGGGCCGAGGGGATGTGCGTCAACACGTGACGTCCTTCTTTTGGATGAGGTGCGGTTGTGCGCGGGCGTGCCAGCATGGTCTACCGTGCGTCGAGATGATGATGAGATTTGGGTAGAAGATGGTTAAATGTTGCGCCTGTTTTGCGTTCGACTCCTAATCAAACGATTGTGGCCGAGAGAGGAACTGATCTCGGTCGTCAGGCTCACGGCTTGAGCTACAAGGCCGTTTAGTGGTGGTGTTGGTGGCGGGTTTTAGGCAGTGCTCCGGTGCGTTGCTCAGAGAGCGACGGTCGTATGATATATGGGGTGAATGAGACGATAACAGGGATGGTGCTCCGGCGCCTTGAAAATCAAGGGTCGTATGATATATTGATGAATGGATTTTCCTTACAATCTACCACTACTCCTAGGAAAGCAAATAAAGGTATTGAAAGTGCATTATAGGAAAATATAATTTGCTCCGTGGGAGGCTTTTGGTTTGGTGTTTGAACCCTTTGAATGTAGTCATGAGCTTAGTATTTATAGGAGTCTTGGAGTGACAATCGAGGCTGACAAGACCTGCGTGGTGGAGCCTGATCGGGGCAAGTGGGTAGTCAAATCGGCATTTGGGATCGTGAAGCATGGTGGTTTGGTGTTGAGAAGCATGGTGGTGTGACCCCCATAAATCTCGGTAAATCTCAGCCACCGCCCTGATTGTGGGTTCTACCCCCTTGGCCGTGGGAACGCATTTAATGCCCTGGTCTGGTGGTTGGTGATTTGACCTCAAGTCGTAAGATTACTTGTGAGAATATCTGCACCTAACCACCTTGATTTCCATCACCAAATCCTGACTTCAGTCACTTCCCTTCTTCCCTTGTGCATTAAATGGTTCTTGCGACTAGTGGGTTTGCTGCGAAGTCAGCGGCATTACTTCATTAAATGGGGCGTGGGACCCTGAGGCCACGTGGCGATTTAACCACAGCCTCTTCGGCCGTTTCTTTTACAGCCTTTGGCCTCAATACCGCGGTCGTGAGGCCGAGAGGATTCTGCCTTTGCAGCTTTTCTTTTGTTTTCAGGAAGGCGAAATGCTTGACGAAACGGTAGGAGCCAGGGCCGAAAAGGAAGTCCCTTCAATCCGTTTATGACCATGATTTATTAGGCACAAACACATCTGCTCTGCTATCTGCTTGCTAAGTCATTGCCACATCCTTCTTTCTTTCTAACTTTTCTTCAGTCAGCCACAATCGTCATAGATTAACCTTTATTTCAAATGCTTTGCACTTTTATTCATGAGTTTATTATTATCTGTTCTCATTTTTCACAGGCAAATTTAGTAACAAAAGAAATAATATTTATTTCAAAAAATATATATTCTCTAGCGCCAGAGAGATAATTTGCACTGTGCACTGCTTCAAATGTGGAAGGTTTTGAGGGCCTCCTCCAATTCAACACCATTATCTTATTCACATCATTATTGACATGTTATTGAAATGTTATTGACTTGATTTTAATTTGTTTTTTAACATATTCCCAAGCAAAAATTAACATGCAAGTGAAGCACAAAGAAGAGATGCCAAATCCAACAATATTGATGGTACAAATTGGGGAAAATCCTTACTCTAACCCTAAACTCAAATTCCATAAATTACTCACCAAATGCTGGTTATTGAACAATCGCAAGGTACAAATTGGGCTCTTTGTGCGGCTTTGCTCCATGAATGGAACCTATCACTTCCAACGAATACGGCTTCTCTCCTTCCCCTTCCACTGCTTCGCCCCTTCACTGTTTCGGAATCCACGCATTTGCCCCTTCCACTCAAAATAAATACTTTTTCATGGGTTAGAGAATGGGGTTGCGTTCAACCATTTCTCAAAGCTTAGAAGTTTCTCAGAGCTATGGGTTTTACATCGATGGGTTTTTATTCAAACTTCGAAACCTTGCCTTTGGTTTTTTTTTTTTTTTTTTTTTGGGCTTCAATACTGGATTAATTAAAATTCGGGTTTGGGGTTCCTCACCTACCCGATTGCACAACTTTATCTCAATTCTCTCTAGCCCTTGGATTGATCGGATGGCTGTAAAGTGAACCCCTTATAACTTTCCACTCATTATAGTCTGAGCGTTTATTTGTTGGGCTTGTAGTGGTGTTTTGTTTTGTCTTCTTCGGTGGTGGTGGCGTTTGGTGGTAGTTCTTTATTTTATGTTTTGTTCATGTGGTTGTCTTGTTTTCTTTTGGTTATGACCCATTGCATGCTAAACAATTCTGGCGCTCTACAAAGGACTACATTTAAATAGGAGGCATTCTTTGACAGAACATGAGAGGCGGTGGTGTGCTCTTTTGATGGGTTTCTTTTAGTTTTCAGTTTATTTCTTTATGTTTTGTTCCTGTAGACTGTTCATTTTCGTGTGTCACTGTTTCTGACCTATTGCATGCTGAAAAATCTCGTGTTGTACAAAAGACTATGTTTGCATAGGAGGTCTTCTTTGACAAAATCTTAGAGGTGTTGGTATGCTCTCTCGATGGGTTGCTATTAGCTTATATTTGGTGGTGGGGTAGATTTCTTTTTGAAGTGTTGTTTTGTAGTTCTGGTTTTGTTTCGACTCTTTTGTTAGTCTATTGCATGTATGGTCTCACTCGGACTTAATTTCCTAAGAAGGTTTTGATGGGATCGGTGTTAACATGCCGGTTTCATTTGTACTGTTCATGGAATATTAATGGCATTTCTCTTCTAAAAAAACACATAATATTTTATGTGTTTGTTTTTTTTTTCCATACGTAACAAACCAACCACAATTAATGAATCATACACAGAATACAAAGAGAGAGGATAGTGATCAGCATTCTATTTGTTGGCTATTGCGGGTGGTTTGACAATGTTCGGCAAGAGAAGAATATGACACGTACAATGATGAATATTATTGCAACATGATAATATTTTCATAAGTGATCACTATTGATGCGTGTTTGTATAATATCTGGCCAAGCACTCCCAAGCCAATCCAAGCAAAGGAAAGGGAGTCCCACATCGACAAAACATAAGAAGATGGGACTCTCCCTCACTTATAAAAGGAGACTTCTCTCCTTCAAGAAAGAGGAGAGAGTTAGATAGGCTACTAGGGCACCATATGGCTCATAAGGGCCTCATGGGCTTACTCCTAAGCCCATTTACAAGCCCACAGAGCATTTGCCTTCAGCCAGATCCTCAGCCTTCGGCCCTCCACCTTCGGCCATCAGCCTCCGGCATTCTTCCTCCTCTCCTTGGGTCTAACCCTATGTGCAATGTATACAGTCTTTATCATAATGAAAACATACTTCTCCGTGGACGTAGCCCATTATTTTGGTGAACCACGTACATTTGTCTTCTGTATGCATGCCTATGTACTTACCGAATGCTCTCACATACCGAGGGTCCTCACCTTCATCATCATCCTCCTCATCTTTAAGTTGGTCTAATTACTATTGTCTAGTTTTTACCTCCAACAATGCGAAAAAGTGGTTCGACACTTTTGGGCCCAACTTAGTGATGTCTGGGCCTTCGGAATGCTCTGGGCCTCGGCATGAGCACTTGATCTGCAAGATAGGAAACGCTTTGTAAGACCTAGAGCACCGGTGTGGTACAGGTCGAAGGCTCTCCAATGCTTAAGTAAGTATCTGGACAAAGCTGTGGTTAATATGCCGAAAGTTCCAGTTACCTCCATTTTGGGACTTGTGCCTCCTTTTATAAGCCTTGGGAGGTGTGTATGTTGTGTAGAATTTCAATGTGGGACTGTTGACATTCATTGTGGATGCTCCACGTGTCCAGAGGGTGATTTTGCCTAATCATGCGATCGGTAGCCCTAGGTGTCGTGGGCTCCCCTACCGATGCTCTCTTCTATCCACGTCTCCAGCTCTTATTGGCTATTGATTTTGGTGTAAACAGGAGTCCCCCAAGTTCCTAATTGAGAGAACATCTCAATTGGAACTTGTTTAGGAAGACAATGTCGTTCGATATGCTTATGAAAACTGTGGAACCTATTGCACCCTTGGGGAGGTACAGTCCTCGTGTGAGGCAGGATGGAGGTAGTCTAAGAGTCACCCGATCTTGGTATGCCGTTCGGTACCTGCCCCATTCTTTATGGTAGTCTTCGATGTGGTCAATGTTCGGGAGTTCATTGGGAAGTGTGATCAACTTGCCTGGATGATGCTTAGTCTTCTGTGCCTCGCATGCTGACAGCCTCTGTCTCTGGTTGGTGCCACGTGTCTTTGCGTGTACGAAGAACGGGGCAATAATGGCGCCGGTTGGTTTTTCGAGATGTATCGTTGGATTCCTTCTTCTATAAATAGGGTTGACTTTGGATGAGGGAATCACTTGCGCTATGAGAGGGATTTAAGAGCTGTGAAGAGGCGATATCCGAGGTTAACATTCGGCAATTAAGGTGATTTCAGGTGAGGTAATTGGCAGTGAAGGCGATTTCTGGCGAACACCTTCGGCACTCTGGTTATATTCTGTCTACCGTTGAGGCAAGGTACTTTGGTCCCCTGCATATGTATATTTGTTATATTTATTGTTTGTTTGTTTTTGTTTGGAAGTCCTTCCTTGGCAGGGGCTAGACTATGAACATTTATGTTCTTGAGGATGTTTGGTAGTTTAGTTGTTGTACGTAGCGATGTTGTAGGCATCGATAGACCAATCTCTTGCATGGCATTTAGTTTCCTTACTTTTTGTTTATAGATGTCTGATAGCGAGTCCCGATACGATAGTGAACCCAACGCGTTCGATGGGGAGTCATCGGACGATCGGAAGGATACCAGTAGTGAGGTTTTAAGCTTTGACAGTGCTAGTAGCAAAGATACCGAGGTTGAAATCGTCGGTGAGGGCGTTGGTTCCATTCCCGCCCAAGGCAGAGGGAAAGGGCTCATAACGGGATAGGCAATACCGTTGGCTGTGGTATGTAATTGCCGAGTCCTCTTCTCGGGTGGTTGTTACCATAGTCAACCTAGGTAATCCTAGGATACCTTAGGGCAACCCAAGGAGTATTTGTTTGGTGTGGACTACCTGGAGTCAAATAAGATAACCGAACGGGAGCTTGCCAAATATAGGGCTGAATACCGGATCCCGAGTTCAATAAAATGGAGAATCCTCTGGCCTACCAAATCACTTAGCAATCCGAAGGACGGTGAGGTAGTCTTCTTCACCGACATCGTTCAGCATGGGGTTCGGCTACCGCTGCAGCCTCCTGCTCATTTGGGCTACACCCCGTGTCAGTATAACCCCAACTTCTGGGTGGCCCTGAATAGTTCTCATATTTGTATAGCGTCACCCAGTCAAAGTGCGCTGGGCATGGAGGTTGGGTGCAGGCTAACTGCCTCCGGGCTTCTGAACGTGGTCACTTCAATAGGGCCGTACCGACTTTACAGAAGTTATGGAGGAATTAACGGGTCCTTTTGTTCGGTGACTAGGAGTCCCCTTTGGAAAGGCTCGTCAGCTATCACATACCCACAACCTTTCAGATAGCCGGTAGGTCATCAACATGTCATTCGGTAAGCTACTACTTTTAACGTGACTAATGTTTTCTTTCTTTGTTCTGTACGCAAGTTGAAGCAACTGACTTCCTTTCAGTCCGACATTGGAAGATCAAATGGGTGAAGTTGAAGGTTCCTGCCATTGAGAGAATATATCCAGACTTCCTCTTTACTGAGAATCTGGTCAAAGCCTTCCTTGCTGACCCTGTGGAGAGTAAGTGTTCTGCCAATAGTGAGTGCTTGATTTCATTCGATAATAATCTATTGTTTTACCGATCCATTTTGTGTTTGTACAGTGACTGACTCCAGGAAGTCTACCGAGGCTAAGAAGATGTCGGAGTCTTCGAAAAGATGTCTTCTTGTAGGGGTGAAGGAGAAGAAACAACGGTAGCAGCCGGAGGGAGCTTCGGCCCAAATGACAGAGGCTGATTTGGAGAACTAGACCCCGGTCGAACGGCTAAAGCAACTGGATGCCGAATCAGTATCCAAGCACGGGCTAGAAGCCGAATCAGTACCTAAGCGTGGACTGGAAGTCGAACCAGTACCCAAGGTGATTGGGAAACGGCCGACGTTCATGGAGTTGGATGTCGAACCAGTATCCAAACTCGGACGGTCATCCGAACAGCCGAGGGCTGTGCTTTCCATCAAAGACGAAGAGGGCCCTGCCGAGCCCATTACCCTTGCTTGCCAGTCGAAGACGGTTCAATTTGCAAACCATATGATCCTTGGTTCGCGAATAGAGCTATTGGAGATTGAGGAACTTCCAAAGAGGCTCATTTGGGAGGTAGCCGGACGCGCCTTCCGACTCCAGGCTTCTGTAAGCCTCTCACTATTTCTTTTCTTTTCCAGACATCCATGGACATGTGGCTGTGCATGAAGCAGGCCATTATGGCTGCTGAATGTGCCAAGAAAACCTACGAAGACGGTTGCGCCAAGGAGGCTCTCGAACGACAAGTTAAAGCTTTCGAGGCAAAACTATCCGAGATGATGGCGACCTTGGATGCTACTATAAAAGCTACCAGGGATGCCAAGGAGATTGAGGGGGCCATGGATGCGGCAAGTTAAAGCTTCCGAGGCCAAACGGTCCAAGGCCAAGGAGATTGAGGGGGCTGTTTGGGAGGTGATGAAGCAGTACCGCTCTTCCGTGGAGTTTACCGCCCTCCTGGACAAGGAGGTGGGCCTGGAGATGGTGGATCTGATTTATTGCTTCAAGCGTTTTAACCCCGGTCATAAGCTGAACTTAAATTTTGTTGCTGATCCTCCTCTTTTGCCGAAAGGAGTGACAGAGGAGATGATCGAAGACTACGAAGGTGAGGATGCTTATCCTGCTGCCGAGGGTGCCAGGAACGCTACTGCCTCTGATGCTGTTGGTGGCTCAGGAGGTGCCGATGGTGAGGCTGCCGCTTAAGCCCCTTATGTGGTTGTTTTATTTTTTTTGTAATTGTACTCGCCATAAGGCTGCAGATTCTGAACACCTTAATGTCGAGGGCATCCTTTTAATTCATCTTATATTTTGAAATGTGTTTTTTGTGTATTTATTTGAATGAATGACTCTTTTCTTTACGCTATTGCCGAAGGCTAATAGTTGTTATTTACTTGATTTGAAAAAATAACAAGTCTAACAGTGAGCAAACACCGATTGTCTGACTGTTGCCGATGGCTAACAAGTCTTATGGACTATTTTTAGAAAAAGTATCCAAGTGAAGATATTATTGGTAGGCAACAGTAACTTGAGTCTAACAGCAAGCAAACGCCGAGAACTTTGACTTAAGCGTTATATTGCCGAGGGCTAATATAATAAGTAAAATATGAAGTGAACCTTTTATCGGTAAGCACCTTTTATCGGGCTAATATATTGTCGAGTACTAACATATAACAATCGGCAATTGGTTAATAATGATCCCTACCGTATTTTTAAATTTACCGAAGGCTTAAATAAATAATCGGAATTCATTTTATTTTTTGTTTAAGAATCTTGCCAAGTAATAAGCCCATCAGTAAATGAGTTATGACGGTCTCTACCATATCTTTTTAATCGCCGGAGGCTGAATAAAATTTTAAAATAAAAATTGTCTCGAAGGACCATTTCATTTAACATTGCTGTAGGCGAAGATACAATTTTTGCCCTGTTGTTGGCTAGGGTGCTTACTTGAAGTAATACTTCAAGTGTTCGACATTCCAAGGATGACCGAGGGTCTTGTCGCAGGTGTCTCTCAATCGGTATGTTCCAGATCAGAGGATACCGATGACCTCATAAGGCCCTTCCCAGGAAGGTCTGAGGGTTCCTTCCGTTGGATTTTTGGTCGCCAAGGAGACCTTGCGCATGACCTAGTCCCCTAAAGAGCGCAGTCTTACTTTCAAGTCGTAGAACCGAGAGACACGTTGCTTGTATGCTTCATTCCAAAGGTTGGCTTGCGTTCGGCGTTCTTCAATAAAATCTAGGTTCAGTATGAGTGCTGCCTAATTTGCCTTTGTTGAAAAACATTTCGTTCGGTAGGATGGCTTGCCGATCTCCACCGGGACAACCGCCTCTGATCCAAAGGCAAGTGTTGGTCTGTCGCAAATCTCACGGCCTGGTGCTCCGGGCCGAGGGGATGTGCGTCAACACGTGACGTCCTCCTTTTGGATGCGATGCGGTTGTGCTCGGGCGTGCCAGCACAGTCTACCGTGCATCGAGATGATGATGAGGTTCGGGTAGAAGATGGTTTAAATGTTAAGCCTGTTTTGCGTTCGACTCCTAATCAAATGATCGTGGCCGAGTGAGTAACGAATCTCAGCCGTCAGGTTCACGGCCTGAGCTACAAGGCCGTTTAGTGGTGGTGTTGGTGGTGGGTTTTAGTGGTGCTCCGGTGCGTTGCTCAGAGAGCGACGGTCGTATGATATATGGGGTGAGTGAGGCGATAACAGAGATGGTGCTCCGGCGCCTTGAAAATCAAGGGTCGTATGATATATTTATGAATGGATTTTTCTTACAGTCTACCACTACTCCTAAGAAAGCAAATAAAGGTATTGAAAGTGCATTACAGGAAAATATAATTTGCTCCGTGGGAGGCTTTTGGTTTTGGTGTTTGAACCCTTTGAATGTAGTCATGAGCTTAGTATTTATAGGAGTCCTGGAGGGACATTCGAGGTTGACAAGACCTGTGTGGTGGAGCCTGACCGGGGCAAGTGGGTAGTCAAATCGGCATTTGGAATCGTGAAGCATGGTGGTTTGGGTTTGAGAAGCATGGTGGTCTGGGTTTGTGGTGGTGTGACCCCCATAAATCTCGGCAAATCCCGGCCACCATCGTGATCGTGGGTTCTGCCCCCTTGGCCGTGGGAACGCATTTAATGCCCTGGTCTGGTGGTTGGTGATCTGACCCTAAGTCGTAAGATTACTTGTGAGAATGTCTGCGCCTAACCACCCTGATTCCCATCACCAAATCTTGACTTCAGTCACTTCCCTCGTGCATTGAATGTTTCTTGTGACTAGTGGGTTTTGCTGCGAAGTCAGAGGCATTACTTCATTACGGCCTTCGGCCTGAGGCCACGTGGCGATTCAACCACAGCTTTTTCAGACCGTGTCTTTTACGGCCTTCGGCCTCGGCCTTCAAAACTGTGGTTGCGAGGCCAAGGGGATTCTGCCTTTGCAGCTTTTCTTTTGCTCTTAGGAGGGCGAAATGCTTAAAGAAACGGTAGGCGCCAGGGCCGAAGGGAAGTCCCTCTAATCAGTTCATGACCGTAATTTATTAGGCAAAAACAGCAAGAGAAAAGGGGGTTTCTCCTATGGACGTTTGGTAGGATGTTCGAATTGCCCAAAGTGCTATGGGAAGCTTCTCTGGCTAGGCGCCCGTGGCATTGTCGAGTTGTCGTTTCAGTAGCTTCTTGATAATTTTGTTTATTGCTTCAACCTGACCATTTGATTAAGGGTGAGCTGGTGAAGCGAAGAACATATTGATTTAGAGGCAACTACAAAACTGTCTGAAGAGGTCCGAATCAAATTGCTTGTTGTTATCGGTGATCATTGCATAGCGGATACTGAATCGGCAAAAGTCTCTTATTCTTGCTGCCGTAATGGTCGCCAAAGCTTCGGCCTCAACCCATTTGGTGAAGTAGTCAACGGCAACGACAGAGTACTTGACTTGGCCTTTGCCTTGCGGCATCGGGCCAATTAGATCAAGCCCCCATTGGGCGAAAGGCCAAGGACTTATAATGGGTGTTAGTAGTTCAGCAGGGACATGGGGTGGGGCCCAAGTAGTTCAACAGGGACATGGGGTAGGGCCTAAGTAGTTCAATAGGGACATGGAGTTGGCATTTGTCACACTTTTCCACGAGCGTGACTGCATCCTGATGCATGGTTGGCCAATAATATCCCGGCCGAAAGGCCTTGTGTGCTAGTGACAGGGATCCCAAGTGGTCGCCACAGACTCCACTGTGGATCTCCTACAGAACATAGTCCCCCTGTTCGGCAGTGATGCACTTAAGGTAAGGGGTGGTATAGCCACGCTTGTAAAGAATATTGTTGATGACCGTGTATCTCGCCGCTCGATACTGCAGCTTTCTTGCCTGGGACTTGTCATTGGGTAAGCTACCGTTTGTTAGGTAAGCGTCAATTGGAGACATCCATGTGTCCTCATACTGTACGGTGCATACTTCAGAGGTTGCCGTACTTGGCTAAGCCAAAATCTCCACCGGAACCTTTCTGCCGACCTTGTCATTAATGGCCGAAGCTAATCTGGCCAATGCGTCAACATGACTGTTTTCTATTCTGGGTATTTGCCGAATCTCGTAGGCCAGAAATTTCTGAAGTAACTGATGTGCCATTGATAGGTAGGCTGACATGGATATATCTTTGGCGGCGAAATCAACAGTCACTTAGTTCACGATGAGCTGGGAGTCACTATTGATGTTGATTTGTTTGGTGCCCATGCTTTTGGCCAGTTGAAGGCCGGCCAGAAGAGCTTCGTACTCAGCCTCGTTGTTGGAAGTTTTGCAGTTGAATTGGAGGGCATATTCCATTTTAACCCTATCAGGAGCTGTCAGCACTAGGCCGGCTCCGCACCCCTGCTGATTTGCCAAACCGTCTACGTGTAGGGCCCAAATTGGGACGATTGGTCGAAGCACCTAGCGTTCGGTATACACGGCCTATCTGTATCGGACTTTGTTGACGCTGCTGAAAGCGTTAGCTCGGATATGAAATCAGCCACGGCCTGACCTTTCTCGACTGCTCTGGGTTTGAATTGTACATCAAACTCCCCTAGCTCGATCGCCCATTTAACCAACCGACCAGGTGTTTCCGGCCTCTGGAATACTCGCCGAAGCGATTGGTTAGTTAAGACTGTGATTGAATGGGCTTAAAAATAAGGACGAAGTTTTTGTGCCGAGGTGATAAGAGCTAGGGCCAATTGCTCAAGGGGAGGGTACAGAAGTTTTGCGCTCTGTAGTGCTTTACTGACATAGAAGATTGGCAATTCAACTTTCTCTGGTTTCCGAATTAGTACAGAATTGACGGCATTCTGGGATACCGATAGGTATAGAAACAAGATTTCTTCAAGAAGGGGCTTCGATAGTAGTGGTGCCTTGCTCATGTAGTTCTTTAGGTCTTGAAATGCTTGGTCGCATTTGGCGGCCCAGATGATATGATGCTTGCCCCCTTTCAAGGCTTTGAAGAATGGTGCACATCTGTCAGTTGCCTTCGGGATAAACCGTGTTAATGCTGCGATACGTTCGGTGAGGCTCTGAATGTCCTTCTGTGTCTTTGGCCTTGATTTTTTTGGGGTTCGCTTCGATCCCTCTTTGGCTAATCATGAAACCAAGAAACTTTCCTGAAGATACACCGAAGGCGCATTTCGTAGGGTTTAGTCTCACTTGGTATTCCTCTAATATGCCGAACATGAGGGATAGGTTGTGCAGCTGGTCTTCTATAGTTTTACTCTTTACCAATATGTTCGGTAATGATTCGGTTGACTAGCCTCTAGTATGTCGCTCTGGCATTTTCTAGGCCGAACGACATAACATTATAACAATATAGTCCCTTGTCTGTGATGAATGTCTTCTGTTCGCTATCGGCAAGGTTCATGAAGCTAAGCAAGTCGTGGTCGACAGTGGCGTTTACGAGCTGGTTGATTCGAGGTAACGGAAAGCTATCATTTAGACAAGCCTTGTTTAGTTCGGTATAGTCTTGGCACATTTGCCATCCGCCTTTTGCCTTCCGAACCATAACGGAATTTACCAGCCATATTGGGTAACAGCTTCCCGAATAAAGCCAATAGTGCGAAGCTTATCGACTTTGGTTCTCATGGCCTCATACCGTTCAGTGATATAGGATCAACGCTTTTGACACAGAGGTTTGTAAGTTGGGGAAATGCTGAGCTTGTGGCTGATAACTTCGGTTGAAATGCTCGGCATATCGTCTTAAGACCAAGAGAACACCTCAGAGTGGTGCCTCAAAAATTGAATAAAATTCGATCGGAGGGCTGGGGTGAGTGTGGTGCAATCTTTACGCACCGGTCCAGTTGATCTTCGTTTAAGATGATTGTTTCCAAATCCTTGGCAGGTTGCGCTTGCAGCATCAGAGCCTCGTTTCTTGGGTCGTCAATGGGTCCTTTACCATTCGGTGTCTCTTAGACAGATAGGGTCTCCCTGGGAGGTTTGAGGGCTGCAGATTTCAGCGTCGTCGCATAGCAGGTTGGCGCACTCAACTGGTCTCCTCGGATTGCACCTATGCCGTGGCAGGTTGGGAATTTCATGAGTAACATGTGGGGGAACATATGTGCTTTGATCCCAGTGAGTGTCGTTCGTCCTATTATGATGTTGTATGCCGTCGGGCAATCCACTATGAGAAATTGATCATATACCATTGTTTTTCGTGGGGCAACGCCGAAGGCGATAGGTAGGCTAATGCTACTGACTAGTTGAACCAGATCCCTAGAAAAACAGAGTAGAGGCGTCAGCTGCCGGTTAACGTGGCAATCGTCTATTCCCAACTCATCGAATGCATAGGCAAAGATCATGTGTATCGAACTTCCAGTATCTATTAGCACCCGTCATAAATCAAAGTCGACAATCTCCGCTCGGATGATCATTGGGTCATCATGGGGGTAAAGGATCCCTTCCTCTTATTCCACGCAGAAGGTGATAGGTTCCCACCGAATCTTCGGTAGTTTATGATGCCGGTTAATCTCGATGCCGAAGACTTGAGGGTATTGTGCAGCACATACATATTGTTTCCTCGAGCAGTTGGATACACCTACTGGAGTTGGACCTCCGCTAATGTGCAACACAAACGTATTGTTTCCTCAAGCGTTCGGAACTAGTGCCTGTGGTGGCCTAGCAATGTACTGATCCAGCTTGCCCTCCCGAATCAATTGCTCGATTATTTTTCTTAGACTTATGCATTCTTCGATATTGTGACTGCTGTGCTGGTGGTATCAGCAAAACTTTCCGGTATCTCGATTGTCTTACCAATTGGATTTTTGATTGGTCGACTTTGGTATTATTTTTGTGCTCGTTCATGAGAACAGCCTCGTAAGTGGTGTTGAGCAAAGTGAAAACTTCTTGACGCAATCATGATTCGGTAATGGCACTGGTGGTCGTTTCGACCGTATTTACCCTTTCCTTTCTTCGAGTGCCCCTGTCGAGCGTCAGAGTTGTCCTTCCCCTGTCGAGTGCACCTGATACCCATAAGTTCTTTCAGTCGAGGCATATGGTGATCCCTGCGCCGAATAATTCTTCAGCGATGGCTCTTCCTGCCGAGCCAAGGGCCCGAATTTTGAGTTGAAGTATTCGACCTTTGCGTGGATTACCGCTTGCTTCATTACCTCGTCATAGGTACGTCAGTTGCTACTGTATACCAACTACTGAAAGTGTGATGACTGAGGGCCACTCTTGAAGGGGCCATAGGCTGCCTTGTCATCAGTCTCAGGACACCTCGAGTACTCGTGACTGAAACACACAACATATTCTCTCAAGGGCTCATTCTCCTTCTCCCAAATGGTGAACAAATCATCGATAGAATACAGACGGTCTGTTTGGATCATAAAATGATTGAGGAAGATTTGTTTCAAGTCGCTGAAGGAGTCCACCATTCCTGGTTCCAATCTGTAGATCTAGTTTAAAGTCGCTCCGGTAAGTGCAGATGGGAACAGCAAGCACTACCCTTCATCACTGAGACCTTTGCACCCTACAGTAGACTGGAACGAGTAGAGATGCGTTAGGGGATCTTCTACTCTAGTATAAAATTGTAAGAGGAGTGGTAGCACATCCCTGTCATGTCTGGAGTGCTTGATGCATTCGGTGAATGGTCCTGTACAAAGCTTTCCCCAGTCGGGTTCTTGAGACCGGGTTCAGTCATCTTCCATTTTTTGAACATTCTAGAAAAAGAGTCGGATAACTAGGTCTCGGCTAGGAATCCCTTCTGGTCCATAGTCCTCTGAATGTCTCTGTGATCTTATTGGGTTAACCTCAGAGTATCGTGTCGGCCTTGCCGAACATTAGGTGAACTCTTGAATTTTGGAAGGGACGTACTCGTGATTAGATTCTGCTGTTGACTCCAAACCCTGCACTTTTCGGATGGGGGATTTATTTCCTAAGATCCTCATTCGTGAGTCTTGGAGATGTGCCCCAATTTTGATCGGAGACCTTTGTTTTTCAGCTTCCCGATCTATCAGCTGATGGCGACAATTGATATAAACCTTCTTCGGCAGGTGGGGTTTATCTATGGGAGCCGAAACTACCAGGTGTTTGGAGGGTACGAGCGTTGCCTTTGCCCCCTTTTTACCCTTCTTTTGCCGACTTGGAGGGTACTGATTGAGCAACTGCTATGTCTCGTCTACCTTGGATGAAATAAGGTTGTTATGTTCTTGGAATTTTGCCATATTCTGTCAAAGAGAAGTGATTTGGGCTAGAAGCTCGGCTTTGGCAATGGTTTGTATGACGGGTGAATTGACGAAGGGAGTGCAAGGGGGTAGCGCTAGGCTAGCTCCGCTTTGCCTTTCGAACGACAGTCCCTCTTCTGGCAAAAATGTAGGTACTAATGTGGCTTATTGTCTTTGAGAGGTGAGAAAGAGTGTCTGTGAGAGAGGAAGAACTTGGAACCCTAAATGAAAACTGAAACTGAAAGAAAGCGACAAATTTATACAATAAATTTTTAAAACCCACGGCGGTCATTACACACAAACCGCCGTTTAATTGTAAAATCAACGTCAGTTATTATTTAATATACGTCGTATATTATAAAAATCCACGTCGGTATATTAAAAAAAACGACGTGTTAAATCCTTGTACCATGACGCGAGATATTAATTTATCGACTTTTATTTTGGAATTTACTACGATGGTACCTACAACACTACTGTCGTATTTATTTACCACGTCCTAAGTTCAAATTATCGTCGTAGTTTTTTATTTAGACGTCGTCGTTCTCTGTAAACCGCCGTCTTATTTTTATGAAACGGTTTGTGTATATATTCAACTTTTCGTCTACCTGACTTACACATGCACTGTTTCCAAACCCGATAAAAAATTTCAATCTCCGAGAGAAAACTTTTCGTCTTTTTTCCTTGTCAGTGTATCTCATCGTCTTCTCTCGTCTTCGTCGTCTTCTCTGAACATAAACACCAAACTCCGAGAGGAAGCTTTCATTGCACGCAAAAGGTAAGCTTTCATTTCTCACTATTTTTGTTGTTGTTTTGCATGCTCATACTGTTTTTGTTTTGAAAATCTTTTTACCTTTTTTTTGGCCAAAATAATTTTAATTCTTTCCAAGTTTGATAAAATATACAGACAAAGAGGGAAAGTTTCTAACTTTGAACACAACTACTTCAACTAAATAAGACGACGGTAGCTTCTTATTTACGTGGTTAAATATGTAGACCACGACGGTTCGTCAGTCGTCCTAGCGTCGTCTGAAAATTAATCTAAGTTGTTTTTAAAATGACTGTCGTTTTTTTATTTGCTTGTTTGATTGCAGGTTTGATTTCTCTGAACCATGGTTTTTGTTTTTCCTAATTTGATAAAATACAAAGAAAAAGAAAGTAGGGTTTGGGATCTTATATAGACGACGGTATCTTATTATTCCAAAACCTTCGACGTTAAACTAAGATTCCTAATACCACGACGTTATACTAAGATACCGTCGTCTATATAAGATTCCAAAACCTTCTTTCTTTGTCTTTGTATTTTATCAAATTAGGAAAAACAAAAACCATGGTTCAGAGAAATCAAACCTGCAATCAAACATTCACAGACAAAGAAAGAAGGGTTTGGAATCTTATATAGACGATGGTATCTTATTATTCATGTCGTGTGAATTTTAATACGACAATGTTATATTAATATTAACGTCGTTTGAATTTAAATATCACGACGGAGTGTAAATATCGCCGTAATAAGTTCTTATTACATCTTCTTTTATATTGTTTCGTCGTTGTTTAAGTACCATCGTTTTAAACATTTATTACGTCTGATGTTATGTTATTGCGTCGTGTAAAATCTTAGCATACGTCGTGTTTTATGAATAACCGTCATTTGTGTTCTTAATTTTTTCCTGAAATATTTTCACTTGCAGGTTTGATTTGTCTATAACCATGGTACAATCGTAAATATTGCCTAGCATACGTCGTGTTTTATGAATAACCATGGTTTGATTTTGCAAAAACAAGTCGTTGAAGGCAGACTCAGTGTATCTTGCAGTAATGATGTGTTGACCTTGGCTTTGGGTCCCGAGCATCCAGGGAGAGTAAGAGGGGTAGGTGCTGGGATTTCCCCTAGGCAATACTTCAATTTACCTAGACAACAGAGGGTAAAGTTTGCCGATCAATTGAAGGAAAGTGTAAGAATTTTCCTTCAAGAAGAGACTAAGAAGATGGAAGCTAGATCAAGGGAAGAGACTTTAAGGATGGAGGCTAGAACCAAGCAATTGGTAGAGGCTGAGAGGGAATATTTACTGAGTCAGCTTTCCCAACTCATCCCCAATTTTGATCCAAGCATACTGAGTAAGACGGTTTTTTTTCCGTTGATGTTTTAAAGAGCGCGCTTTCCAAAAGAATTTCGCGCGACCTAAAATTTTCAGATTTTGCTCTAAGTGTAACACCCCGACTCCAAATTTATCCCATGTTTTAATTAATTTGAGTGGAATTACGAATTTACCCTTGGGATAGGGGTAATTTGGTCATTTCTTATCCGAAAGGAATTTGGGAATTCCGGCTGTACCGTTACGTAGAGCGAGGCGAGATGAGTCTGTAGACGCGTAGTGGGCTTGAATCGGAGCTGTAACGAGAGAGATACGATCCAAATACCCTCAGTGGCACAATCGTAAATATTTCGAAAAGGGTTTTTGTTAAAATACAGATTTGCCCTCAGCTCTCTCTCTCTCTCTCTCTCTCTCTCTCTCTCTCTCTCTCTCTCTCTCTCCCACGCGTCTCTCTCTCCTCTGGTTCGTGACAGCCACCACAGCCGGCCACGTTTTGGCCGACCGTGCTCCCGTCCGGCCACCAAAGTCGACGGGGCCAGTACCAAAATGACCAAGCCACCGCCTTCTTCCTGCCCCAGCCAAGTCCCGCCGCCAACCATCGAGATTTCGCCGAAAAATCGAAGAGAAAAGCTCAGTTTCGCCCGAAACTTCGCCGACTTTGTTCTCCGTCGTCCGGCCGCCATTTTTGGCAATCAAGGTATGGAAATTCATCCCTTCTGCATGATCTAGCTGATGGTTGGGTAGGATTTCATAAATTTTGAGGCTAAGTAGCTCGATCTACGAATTGAAACGGCCGATTTTAGGATCGCGATTCTGGTCACTTCCGGTCAGATTTTGGGGTATGCCCAAGAACAAAAGTGGCTCCAAATAGGGTGTTTTACCTAGGGTAGGAATCTTGAGCAGTGATTTTGGGTTTTTCCGGCGATGGGTTATCGCTTTGGACACCCACGCATTGCCGGCGCATGTGGCGGCGCGTGGGCACTGTTGAAAAAGGGCTTTGGGTGCCGATGTGATCACCTGGCTTTGATGAGAGCATGGGTTCTTTCGGATTCCAATTCGGTTGACGTTTGAACCCCGAACGGATTACGCATATTGTGGGTTATCTTGGTTCGATAGGTTCGGCCTGTTGGATTAACTCCAATTTAATATATGTTGATCTGGGCATTCCTAGGATCGTATAGGATTTGAAAGATCATAAAACAGAGTCCCGGATACTCCAGAAATGCCAACCCTAGGATTAGAGTTTTAGTAACCGTCGGGAGCGATCCGACCGTCCGATATGGACCAAACTTGTAGGACAAGTGTCCTAAACCATGTAGCATTCATAGAAATCGTCAGATTGGAATTTGGAGGTCATGGGCCCCACGGGCCCATTGACCAAGGTTGGGTAGTTTGACCCCGGGATTGACCGCGACACTTCCTAAGTAGTGTTATCTTCCTAGGAAGATTAAAATGACCATAGTGACGGGTCTTGATTGTATGTTGGATATTGTGGGTTTAGGATACTAATTGATGAATTTAAATGGGGGATTTTATGGGATGCTTTATTGGTTGAGGTTTATATAAGATTAGAAATTAGAAATTATATATTTAATTGTGTGGATGTATAAAGGTATATAAAGGGATCGAATGTTAGTTTATAGTGCTATACGCACTACCCCACGTACCCCCCATATTGTGATTGTGTTGAGGCCTTTAAAACCGTGCGGCTGGTGAGAATGTAGCCAGGCCCAAAGCGAACAGTATGATGGCTGGTGAGAATGTAGCCAGGCCCAAAGCGAGTATGATGGCTGGTGAGAATGTAGCCAGGCCCAAGGTTGAGGTCGCACGTGTCGTAGGAGTAGCCGGCGTGTTGACAGACCTCATACGAGGCCGGGTGCGTCCTGTCGTATGAGGAGTGATATGTGATATTGTGTTAAGGTCACACGTGTCGTAGGAGTAGCCGGCGTGTTGACAGACCTCATACGAGGCCGGGTGCATCCTGTCATGTGAGGAGTGATATGTGATATTGTGTTGAGGTCGCACGTGTCATAGGAGTAGCTGGCGTGTTGACATACCTCATACGAGGCCGAGTGCGTCCCGTCGTATGAGGAGTGATATGTGATATTGTGTTGAGGTCGTACGTGTTGTAGGAGTAGCCGGCGTGTTGACAGACCTCATACGAGGCTGGGTGCGTCCCGTCGTATGAGGAGTGATATGTGATATTGTGTTGAGGTCGCACGTGTCGTAGGAGTAGCTGGCGTGTTGACAGACCCCATACGAGGCCGGGTGCATCCTGTCGTATGAGGGGAGCTATGTGATTGTGTTTGGTGTGTTGTGATGGATAAATCCTAGAATGTATGAATTTGTATGGCTGTAATGGTTTAGTTGATATTAGGAGCCAGGATTAATACAAAAGAACTATGTGTGGCTTGATCCTTTAGTAGGGTACGTAGGCAGCCTGAAGTTACTAGGTGCAACCACATATTAGACTCCACTTAGGTGGTTTTATTGAGATTGGTTCGGACCTCGTTGTTGGTCCTGGAACTTGGTTGAATTGAGGCTTGTTCGATGGACTAAGTGAGCGGATTAGATTTAGTTAGGTTTGAAATCCTTGTCGGATTGTTGCACGGTTTAGGCCGGAGGCCAATTATTTCGGAATTGCATGAGATTATATTGTGCATGCTGCCTGTTGGGATATTAAAATGTGTTTCATGCAGGTGAAAATTTTGGGGAATGTTCAATTTACAGGGGAGACTTTGCCGAAATTTCGGCAGAAAGTCTCGTGCCCTTACTCTTATAAGAGAAAGAGGTTACAGTTTGCAGAAGTGGGCCCGACATCGGAGTGATGTCGGGAATTTCATAGGGTTCGTCTCGGGTTACGGGAAATTCGGGATAGGTCTTGTCACTAAGTCTTATACTTGTAACCCTGAACCCTAAAATTTTCATATTTTGCGCAACATAACATTTCGCTCTCTCACTTAATCTCTAATTCAAAGTTGGGCTCTCCAGGCTCCGTTGAATTCAAGTAGGCCATAATCTGTGAGCTCTGCCAACCTGTAAGTACAAACCTTTATTTTCCCCTTGTAAATTCATTGAATGATATTAGGTTGTTTTGTTAAAGGGTTTTAGATATATTTGCGATCTTTTAAAAATGTTGTTGGAGGTATGGGTTCATGGATTTTCTGTTTAATGTTTTCATGATCACTCTCTGTTATGTTGAATAGGGAATGGATTTAATTTTGTCGGATCTTTTAATCACTCTCTGTTATGTTGAATCGGGAATGGATTTATTGTTTTCATGCTTAGTATATGTTGTTTCATGCTTAATACCCAACATAAAAATTAATGTATATGTTGTGTTCTTAATAGGGTTTTGGGTTCTTGAAAATAAACTGGGATATCGACGCGTTTTTAGGCATACGACGACGGTTTTTTCATAAATCGTCGTCTGTATGATTATACACGACGGTGTTCTTTATCTACCGTCGTGGTTATAATTAGACGACGTTTGTTGATAAACCGTCGTCTATATATGTCAAATACGTCTGTTTTTGTTTAAAAACCGTCGTCTGTGTAGTATATTACTTGCTATTAAAACTTTATATAATCTGCTATAGTGATGGTCATTGCTTGTCTTTTCACTTTATTATAGATAATAGGGTATAGTGTCGGAGATGGATAAGTCATGGATGCACTCGGATAGAAGATCGAAGGCAAATGAGTTAGGGGTGGAAGCATTTTTGAACTTTTCTGTAGAAAATCTTCTAACTACAACACATATCTGTTGTCCATGTGTTAAATGTGTTAATTTGAAATTGTTTGGGGTTGGAATTATAAGGGATCACTTATACTTTAATGGAGTTGACCAAAGCTATAAGAATTGGACATTTCACAGAGAACCTTGGGAAGCAACTACTAATGCTAGTAGAAATGTTGAAGAAGATGATGACCATAGTAGGTACAGTTTTGTGTCTGAAGAAATAGAGATGGATGATAATGATTTTGGTGATTTTGGATCTGATCCTTATGAGTTTGCCAATGTGATTGGGGATGGAGATCAACCATTGTACCCTGGTTGTAGAAAGTACACGAAGTTATCAGCATTAGTGAAGTTGTATAATTTGAAGGCAAAACATGGGATGAGTGATGTCTGTTTTACAGAATTATTGATACTTCAAGGCGATTTGCTTCCAGAAGAAAATACAATACCGGCCTCTATGTATGAGGCAAAAAAGACTTTGTGTGCATTGGGGCTGAGTTATGAGAAAATGCACACATGCCCCAATGATTGCATCTTGTATAGGAAGGAGTATGAAGATTCAACTAATTGTCCTACTTGTGGTATCTCAAGGTGGAAGGAAGGCAAAGATTCAATCTTGAAAGAGGGTGTGCCAGCGAAGGTGGTGTGGTATTTTTCTCCAATTCCAAGGTTTAAAAGGATGTTTCGATTACATGAGACAACTAAGAGTTTGACTTGGCATGCTGCTAGAAAATCAATAGACGGTCAGATGTCTCATCCGGCGGATTCCCCGTCTTGGAAACTTCTTGATGATAAATGGCCCGAGTTTGGTAATGAGCCGAGAAACTTGAGATTGGCTCTTTCATCTGATGGATTCAATCCCCACGGTTCTCTAAGTAGCAGATATAGTTGCTGGCCAGTTATCTTAGTTACATATAATCTCCCTCCATGGCTGTGCATGAAACGAAAGTTCATGATGTTGACCTTATTGATTTCCGGTCCTAAACAACCCGGAAATGATATAGACGTCTACTTGGAGCCTTTGATTGATGATTTAAAATCTTTGTGGGATGGGATTAGAGGAGTGTATGATGCACATAATGGAGAATACTTTACACTCAGAGCTGCATTAATGTGGACAATTAATGATTTCCCCGCCTATGGAAACTTATCTGGTTGTGTTGTTAAAGGATATAAAGCTTGTCCAATATGCGGCGATGATACACCTAGTCACAGGTTGAAAAATGGCCACAAAATTTGTTACATTGGGCATAGAAAATGGTTACGAATCAATCATCCATATAGGAGGCAACGTGCAGCTTTTAATGGGAAACCTGAATATGGCACGCCTCCCGAGCCATTAACCGGAAAAGAAGTGCTGCATATGGTTGAAGATGGTGACAGAGTTTGTTGGAAGAAGAAATCAATATTCTTTGATCTTGAGTATTGGAAATACCTTCCTGTGAGGCATGTCCTAGATGTTATGCACATTGAGAAGAATGTTTGCGATAGTATCATTGGTACATTGCTGGAGATCCCTGGAAAAAATAAAGATGGGATTGCTGCTCGATTAGATTTATTGAACATGTGGGTCAAAACTGATTTGCAACCCGAGTATGGAGAAAGACGTACTCGTTTGCCTCCCGGGCCTTGAAATTTGTCAAGAGCAGAGAAGAGAGAGGTTTGCAATTCTTTCTATGGTATGAAGGTCCCTGAAGGTTATTCTTCAAATATAAAAAATCTTGTATCTTTACAAGATTCAAGACTTCTTGGCCTTAAATCACATGATTGTCATACCTTAATGCAACAATTGCTCCCTTTGTGTTTGCTTGAGAAGTACTTTCCCCCTTCATTCTTTGATATCATGGTTCATCTAGTAGTACATCTTGTCAAAGAAGTTCGTCTACGTGGGCCAGTATATTTTAGATGGATGTATCCGTTTGAAAGATATATGAAAGTTCTAAAGGGGTATGTTCAGAATCGTACTCATCCCGAAGGTTGCATTGCTGAGCGGTATATAGAGTACGTTGGAGTGCCTTCAAGCCAAAAGATGGGAGTTTCAAAGCCATTATCAGGTTGCACAGTGAGCGTAGTTGATCGGGACCTGTTGAACCAAGTACATCTATATGTCTTGGAGAATACGGAGGAAGTCCTACCTTATATCGAGTACGTATGAGTTTTATTCTTTAAGTTTCCATTTTAAATTATTTCTTATGTTTATCTTATATGTTTGGGACCGTAATGCTTGAATTTTTCGTGTCATGTAGGCAACATATGATCCACATCAAGATCAAGACCGCTTATCCAAAATTTAGAAAGAGAACAAAGTGGCTGCAAGATAAGCACAATAGCACTTTCATTCAATGGCTACGCTTCAAGGTATATGTTATTGAATAACATATTGGACTTTTAATTTTCTTCTTTCTACGTTAGATTGAATTAAGTTATGATTAATTTGCAGGTTCAAAGTGAACTTAATGAGGAAGACAATCATGGCGTATCAGAAAATTTAAGGTGGCTAGCAGCTGGTCCAAACATGGCAGTGCCATCATATAGGAGCTATCTTCTTAAAGGTATTAAATTTAACATCAAGGCACAAGATGATGTGCGGACAACTCAAAATAGTGGAGTTTATTTACTTGCACATACCATGCAAGTTGCTAGTGCCAAGGATAAAAACCCAATTCTCTCAAATATGTGTTTCTATGGTGTCATTCAAGAAATTTGGGACCTTGACTACCAAAAGTTTACAATCCCAGTCTTTAGGTGTGATTGGATAGATAGTACTTCTGGTCTTGTAGTCGACGAACTTGGATTTACCCTTGTAGATTTGAGTAAAATTGGACATAGGAATGACCAATTTGTTTTGGCTTCTCAAGTCAAACAAGTATTTTTTGTTGACGACCCGATGCATCGTGGTTGGTCGGTAGTGTTATCAATGCCTAATAGAGAATATAATGATGTTATTGGTGATGATGTCTTAGGTGATGTGAGAATTGAGTGTGAGCCATTTACTGGAGGGATGCCAAATGTTGACACATTTGATGAACTCGTGGGTGAGTTTGGGAGTCAAAATATTCGAGATGGGTGTGAAGATATATGGATTGAATGATGTTTATGTAATTGGCAGTGTATGACATTAATTTTGTAATATATTGTAATGTGATTTCTTCACTTTCATTTTACAGGTTTTGGCCACAAAACAATCAGTACAAAAAATACTGGTTCAAGATTACAAACACGACGGTCTTGATAAAAATGTGAAAAACAAACGTCTGTTCTAATAAAAAAAGACGTTTTGGAGCATTCAACGACCAATATATTTACCGACGTCTTAAAGCAACGTAACAAAGAAGAACCACGACGCTATTGTGAAACAGTTATTAAGGATATCACGTCGAAGAAGCATAAAGAGCCGCCATGTAATTCCAAATAACACAACTCCAATCCCATAATACCGGCGTCTAAAAGACGAGATATCTAACCTGAACGTTACAAAAGACGAGTCGTCTTAACTTTACCACGTCGCATGTTATTTCATAAACGAAGTGGAAAAGGATAAATTCACGACGGTATTTTAAATCCATTGGTAAATTTGTCGACGTTAAGATATATTTGGACGTCGTTCCTTTACAAAAACAACGTTATATAAATGTATCCACGTCTCTTTTCTTATGATAATGTCGTTAAAATTTCTTTACACGGCAAATATTGGATTAACAACGCCGTCTAATAGGAATTAGACAACGGTAATTTTGTTAATGATGACGTATAAATTATGAAACACGGCTGTCTTTTGCATGATAACGACGTTGTATATTGACAACAACGTCGTCTTTATAAATTAATGTGTCGTAAGTAATGACCCCAACATATTTTCCACGTCGTTTATTTTAAGATCGTGTCGTTAAAACTATTTTACACGGCGGTGGACTGAGAAACGTTGCCGTCTCAGATCCATTAGACGACGATTATATTTTAAGAGATGACGTATAAATTCTGTAATACGGCTCTCATTTATTTGGAACCGACGTTGTTTATTAGTACAACGTCGTCAGTTTAAATACATGCGTCGTAAGTAATGACCATCTATTTCCACGTCATCATTAATAGAAAAATCGAAGTGGAAAATTCATTTCACGACGGTTGTTGAAAATGTACTGACGTAGTAGGAGTTAATAACGTCGTCGATTATGTATTTAAAGACGTCATATTTTTATTTGTCGTGAAAGGTATATTTAACGGTGGTGAGTTTTAGTTCTCGTCGTTGTATGTATATCTTGCCGCCATGTTCTGTTAATATATGTCATATGTTTCCTTTTTAACGACGTTTTTTTGTTAGAATTGGTTGTCTATTCTCATCCTCGACTGTTTTTTTATCTCTCTTTCCATTACAAAGACGTCGGTTATTATTTGTTAATGACATTGTTTGTTTTAACAACGACGGTGATTTAGCGTCATGATTTGACACCCAAATAGATGTCGGTCGATTCCACGACGGTTTGAAAACCGAATACACGACGGTGAATTCCCATCGTCTTTTTCCTTTTTTGTAGTAGTGTGATTTTTACTCCTTCACCTTAAGACTCCAAGATTGGAGTCATCTACCTCACCACACCAAATGCTCCTATAGATGAAGAGAAGACAATCGAGAAGTATGGATGGAAGTCTACTTCTTGATTGGACCAATTTTTGGTTTATGGAAGATGAGATACAAAGAAGATTACTCATCAACCAAAGTAGGAAACCAAAAACCCTAGCTAGGTTTTCTCCAACACTTAGCTTATATAGGACAATACAAAAGACAATTTGGTGGGTATTTGGGGCTCCATTGGTCCATGGGTCATGTCATCTTATGCCACTTATCCCTTGGACCCAATAGCCTTTTGGGCTATTTTGTCCATTTCCTTTTAAATTATATTTAAAAGCCCAATCCAATATTTCTATATGTCAATATTAATTCCATAATGAATCTTTTAACTGCAATTTAACTATTAAATTATAATTATAATCTTACTTAATTGACCCGATCAAACTATTTGACTCGATCAAACTATTTGACTTTGGTCAATTGCTCCGGTCAACATATTGACTTTTGACCGTTGACTTTGACATTTGATTATCAACCATTGACTTGTGTTGTGTCTCCTCATTTCATTTGTCCTCATTTGTACCTCTAATCAATTCTTTGGGTATGCAGATCCGTAGGTTCCTTTTAGCAAGGTAATGGGTTGACATAACTCCTCAGAGATGATATACGAATTAAATTCCACAATTAAATTCTTCCTATGAATAAAGGTTAATTGAAACCTTTTAAGACATCCACAAACTATGGTTGTCGCCTAGCAGCAAGTCACAATTATTCGAGCTAAATGAGATGTTGTGAATGAACCTATTCAAATTGGGTTGACCATGCAATTGAATCCTTCTCTTATGTCAATACTCCTTATTCACATTATCAGATCATGAAATCTGATTGTCAGTATCCTAATGTGAATCATTCCTTTTATATGATTACTCTGGTAAGATTTGAAGACTTCTTCTTTCAAATCTTATCCATTACTCTGCGCAGAGATTTGACCAATCATATCTTGGAGTATTCTCTCTCCTTTACTGAGGGTAGAGATTCCTTGTTGTACATTCATTTGCTTCCATGACTCTATTGAGAATCCTAATGAGCACCTTTAAGGTATGCCTAATTCAGCATGACTGTATAGTGCCTCAAAGAATAACAACATAGCCACAAAACATCTATGATACCTCAGGTCTAAGGATTAATTTGCACCATTGCAATTTATGAGTTCCAGCTTCATATGTGAGTAAAGACTTCCATGTTGTAACTCATGTGTTGGATTGCGTTTAGTGTACTTGTTCTTCTACAAGCACCTACACACATATCGATGTGTTTCCACACTTAATGACTTGAGACCTTGCCATTCCCTACATATAGAGATGATACTGTGTGTACTGGTCTTTTCGGAATATGGATGCCCAATCAATATTTCTATGACCAGAAACATATTCAGGATTTAGGGATGATGAGAAGTCTCCATGTATGCAATCTCATTACATAACTCACTTGTGTATTACTTGGACTATGGTTGTTCTACATATTGAAAGATAATATAGGATGATTTAATATATAAACAACCTTTCTTGCCCATTGATAACATAATATGTCTTTGATCAAAGATGCCCCTAAGTCTAACAATTACATAATTAGTTGGCTTTAAGGGCATAGTTCTATAAAAATAAAAAATAAAAAATAAAAAATGGGAATTGACGATTGAAGCAAAGTAGGAAAAAAAAAAAAAAAAAAAAAAAAAAAATACCTCTGCCTTTGGAGAATCTGATCAACTCTCTCCCTCTCTGTTAAAAACAAACGCACACTAATTTCTTCTATGTCTGAGTGTGCTGCTCTGAAACAAAAACAAATAGAAATCAGTTGTTTGCATATAGACAGAAAAAGAAGAAAAAGGGAAGTGAGCAAAACAAAAAAAGAAAGAAAGAAAGCTTGAAAAGGGAGGCTACGTTGTGCAGCCCACTCCTTGAATTCCTCATCTAGTGTTTTTGTACAAATAATCAAAACAAAAGAAGCTTTGTGTTTTGCTTTGGATATGACAATGGAAAAAGGTTCGCTACAGTACAAAAAGAAACAAAGAGAAATAGCAAGAGGAAGGAGTTGTGTTGGTGTAAGAACAGACAAAAGGAAAAAATAGTAAGAGGTCAAAGAAAAGTCAACGAACAAGAAAATAAATAAATAAAATAAAGAAGAAAGTGGCTATGCGCCACTTTGCTTGAATGATAGACAAAATAAATGATGATGGCCAAGATGGAGGAAGGAGATGCCAGCTAAAAGGGAAAGGAGTTAAAAAAAAGAAAAGAAACAAGCCTCACGTTGGTTTTCTCTTCCAGCTTGCTTCGCACGAATAATACTTGTTCTGGAATTGTTGTTTGATCTTTCTAAGAGATATAGTGAAATATTTGAGTTAATCTCAAGTACTCCAAATAAATATGGGAGTTGCAAAGCCTGGTTTTATTTGGAAACAAACACTAGAAGAGTTTCATAGTTATCAGGTTGGCTTCAATTGGTTGCTGGATACCAAAGATTTTATGATATGGACTCCTTGCTCATGGGGTAATTGATGACAAATATCAAAGGCCCGAAACAGATTAATGGGTTGCCAAAAATATTTGCCCATTAGTTCTTAAAAGCCCAAAATATTTAATGGGTGATCCAAATAATTACCCATTAAATTTACAGAGGCCCGAATTACCTATTATATGGTTAAGGGATCATTTTTAAAATCCTCATAGCCATATTTGGGTCTAAATGCAAATGTCAATTGTAGAAAATTAGTGGGTTCATCAAAATTGCTCATTATTTTTCTTGGACATTGACAATGAGAAAAATGGTACAAAATCATCCAATTTTTCCCATGGGTCATCTACCCATGCGAATTTCAATGAGATTAAATTCAAATCTCTCAAACACAAATTCTCAATTAGTGGGCCATACTTACCCATTAATTTCTAAATTCTGAACTACATTGGTTTGATCCCATCAAGGGTATGTAGGTAGTCTAGCATCCCAATAGACACAAATAGAAGCAACCGCAACTAAATTTGAATCACTGGTTACATAAACCAAATTCCCACAAATCAAATATCCATCTCCGTACAAATCAATTCCGAGCTATGTTGGTTTGATCCCATCAAGGGTACTTAGGCACCATACTAATAGACGCAACAGCAACCAAATTTGAATCCCTTGTTTATTTTTTAACAAAATTCGCCCCAAACACAATTCTGTATTGAATCCTTGGTTTATTTAGCTAAATTCACTCAAACACTTCTCAATACAATTCAAATCAAATTTTTCTTGCAATGAGTCATTTATTCATTGTGATTTGTTGAACTACGAGTGGGTTGATTCCCGCAAGGGGTGCATAGGCACCCTGACGTTGGACTTAGGGGTAGTCGCAAAACCAAACACACACATTCTGTTTCTTTATGATGGAATCAACGGTTGTTCCCTTGAAGCAAGGGATTGTAATTAAGAGACATCGCGTCTTGAATGGGGCAAACCTAAAATAATAAACTCCATTATTTAATTAATGGTGGTGAAATTATGTTGGGAGGTTCACATTTTTCTTCAATAGATGCATCATCTACTTACATTCCATTCAAGCCATTTGCGACTTGGTGGTGGCATGTCGCGCACTCAATTAAAAAAGGAGAAAAACTTCTTCAATCAGCCTACTCGCCCAACAAAAGGGAAACACCATGATTTTGTCGGTAATGCCGAGCTTGCTAATCCCATGTCTAGAATTATGGGGTGGGGATGGATCATCCCTCAAGCTTCTTACTTCAACTAAGCCTTATTTCGTTGCCTAAGCTCTCCTATTGCGTGTTGAGAAGTATTCGTTGTTTGTGGACAAAGTTTACCATACCATGCACAAAGTCATGGTGTCTTATTTATTGGAACAATGGTTGTTGTTAACGGTGGGCACAATTTCAAGTCAATCTGACCGAACTGCCTAATCCGATCATATTGGATTGGGTTGGCCTAAAAATGAGTGGGTCTTGAGTTCAAAAAAATCATAAACCGCTACATACAAGTTGGGTTATGGGTTGGAACCGAAACTTAAAAGTAGGCTTAATTTTGAGTTCACTCGTCCGAACTACCTAACCCCGTCACAAAAAGTTTGGGTTCAGTTGTATTGGCCTAATAATGAGCGGTTCTTGGGTCCAAGAAATCATAAACCGCTATATATCGGGTTGGGACTAAAACCAACCCAACCCAACCCATGGCCACCCCTAGTTGTTGCAACCTCTAAACAAAAGTAGGTATGAAATGTACCTCTACCATGGTTTTATAGACATAAAAAAGTGCACACCAAGGCAGCACCATGAGGATTATATTCAGTGGCATCGCCCATGTTCTTCCATTTTGAAGAACCCCACCTTGAACTGAATGAAGACACAACTTTCCAAGCTTTTTAAGGAATTCAATGAGTTATGCATAATGATAGAGACAACAATGCTCTGTTTGGATGAAGGAATTGCAAATTACATAGAGTTCTAAAATGACGGAATTTAGATTTCCGTCATTTCAACTTCCGGCACTAAAGCTTTGATTTTTGTTCAAATGAAGCGAAATTTGGTGAAGGAAGTGCCTTTTGCTTCTCTTGTTGTCAAGGCTGCTAGTAGGCTCGATTCTATTGTACCTCTTTTTCTTGCTTCTTCATGTAAAGGCAAAAGAAACCATACTCGTAATTTCTAAGAATTTCTTTACCTAACTGCATGGATTCTGGAACGCTCCTTCGTTTGATGGAGTTGAAAAACTGGGTACCAGAAAGAGGTCCCTGCCTGAGGACTCTGTGAGTGGTGGCAATGTGGGCCAGGCTCAGCCTGAGACTACTCAAAGCAAGTGGGCAAGGACTTCACCTGCAAAGACTCCACAGTCGTCCCCTGCTGCCCTTTAGGTATTCTTTTCTTGCTATTCATCTGTTGATTAGTAGAAGACATGAAATTGTCACTGCTGATCTTAATTTATTTGTCTGCAGATTCCTCCCCCTCCTACCTCTCCATTAACTTCGGTGTCACCTTCAAGCCCAATTCCTAATGTTGGAGAAGTTCTTCCAAAGGAAAGAGCTTGGAGAAGTGGAGCCTCCTTCTGAAGGGGTTCAAGCAGGGATTTCTGTTTCAGTAGATGTCCCTAGTACTGAGGTAAGGAATGGCCTTATTTTAGACATACAAAATATGTTGTTGATGTTTTTTTTAATTTTTTAAAGGTTTTATTTCCTCTCTCCACATACCTCTCTCTCCACTACACCCACGTTCATCTCTTTTTTGTTTTCTTTTCAGTTTTGTAAATTACTTTTTATATATTATATATTTAAAAGATAAGATTTTTGTTTTAAGAAAAGGCCTTAGCACACGAGGCTAGTAGTAACAAAATCCGATTATAAATGAGCAATTTTTTTTCTTAAGAAAATAATATTAAATAGGATTTTAATTTTCGTAAAAAAAAAAAAAGAAAAAAAAAAAAAAAAAAAAAAAAAAAAAAAAAAAAAAAAAGTGTCATTTACAAAATAACCGGATAGAAATGCTAGAAATAGAAGAAACGGGCCTGGTCCTTCTCCCTCCTCAACACTTATTTTGAGTTGTAGTTTTGGGGTGGTCCAAAACTCCAAATCCTAGAGGATAAGAAAACGGCTCAGTTTGAAGCACTCTTTCTCTCCCTCTCGCATCCATCTTCAGTTCCTCCCTCTCTTCTACTTGCTCTGTTCCGCTGCTGCAACTACTGCTATGTCTTTTCTCTTTTGACTCAGAGCTGAAGGCTGAAGCATGCTATGTCTTTGAAGCTTTAGATGTAGAACAGCAGAAAGAGATGTCAATCTTATCAATTTCATCTTCTTCTTCATCATCTGCAGTTGGGTTTTGTAATTCCCACAAACACACTCCTCCTAATGTATCTTCCTCTTTAATATGTCCCTCATTTCTCTCCCCACTGCCACTTTCCTACCCAACAAACCACAGGCACAAGAAGAAGAGGGCCATTGAAGTCATGTCCACCAAGCTCACAGTCCTGGGCTTCAGAGTTAGGACTCAGAGACTTTTCTTTGATGGGTTATTTAAGGAGGGAACCTCCATTGCCAAGGGCTTCCAAGGTTTCAATCTCTTGCTTCCAGTCAATTATGTTATATCCCAGCTAAATGTTATGTTAATGTTGTATCCTAGCTAAATGGGTTGTGCCCATTTGGTTGGTCTACATTATCAGTTGTGAAAATTTGGTTTTTGCAATTGAAATCTTATGTAATTATGTCTAAAACCGCTTAAAACTTAGAAACTGAACTAGTTTTACTCGTTTTTCCATCATATTTTTGAAGCATGACATCTATATAATTTCCTTTGTGATGAACTGACTTGAATACTTATACTTGCATTGCACATTTGTGAGAATGTTCCATACCAAAGTTGTAGTCATGTAAAGCCAGGCTTATTGATTGTAGAACAGAAGACATGTACATTTCTTATGATATTTTAAAAGAAATACAAGGTCGTGGATCTTATTTGCTCTATTTCTCTCATGATTTCTTGGTTGATATATGCAGCAAAGAGTAGAGTTCCTCTCTGTTTCCGGGCTCAATCTATTTTATCCACTGCATCGCGTTCAACATCAACAGGAACAACTACAGTTCTTGATGTGGAGAAGCTGAGATTACCTTCTTTAGAAGTTAATTCCGATTCTTTGGCTGCAAATAGACCATGGACATATACAGGGGCAACTGGTACTCCCACTGAGGTTAGAATAGGTCTATTGGATATCTAGTTACTTTTCAGTATTTCATATAGTCTCTTTAATTAGAATTTCTTTCCTCGGGGATAAAGCTTGCAGAATTTATCTATTACTTATTTTTGTTTTTGGTGACAATGCTTGAATGCAGACATGCAGACATTTGGGATACTTTGTAATTTTTACGAATTGGATTGAGCATGTTTGATATTATTGCTCCATTGTATTTAGTTGGATGCCTGCTGTATTTGCATGATTCCTGGATAACAGAAAACTTGCACATATTAGGTTTGTGTTTGTCAAATTGAAAATAAATACTGCTCTAAAAATTTCACATGCATGGTGGTTAGGTTCCCAGACAATTTTTTGAACATCTTTTAGCTGGCTGTGACCTAGCCACCTTCACTAGTTCATTGCATACTACAATTACAAATTTGACCTCATGGTATATTTAGCGGGTTTAGGGTTCCAGGTATTTTCTTTCTCAGTTTGAGTTTTTCCTATGTATGAAAGATGTTGAGCTTAAAACTCTAATAGCTTTGATGTTTATCACCAGGCAAACTTTGGAGCAACTTTAGCCACAGAAAATCTTCTTACAAGTGAAGAGGCTGTAATAGCAGCTGCTGCGGCTGAAGCTGTTACTCTTGCAAAAGCGGCTCTCAAGGTTGCAAAGGATGTGGCATTGCTGGTTAGCACTAATCACTCTGCTAAAGCTGAAAGTTCATCTCCAGTTTCTCCCAAGACTAATGCTTTGCATTTCAATTGGGCTAAGCATATGGAAACCAAACAACCTTCTAGATTAGGAGCTTCCATGGGATCTGAAACTGCACTGGTGGAAAATCATTTCATTCAGCTTGCCATAAAAGAGTCAGAAGATGTGGAGTCAACAAATCAAGAATTTGAACTTCTGCAGGAGCAACTTTCCGAGGGTATAACTGCAAGATCGAGTCGTCAAATAGAAAGGAAGGCCAGAAGAGCCAAAGCAGCAGAGAAGGCTGCTGCAAGTGTTGTGTCGGTGAAGTCTGGTTCAACCAGCAGAAAAAAGCGTGCCTCTTTACAAGATGTAGACCATTCTGATCCGTTGCGATACCTGAGAGCAACTACCCACACTTCTAGGCTTCTTACTGCAAATGAAGAAATTGAGCTTTCAGAAGGAATACAGGTATTACTTGTATCATCAACAGTGATCTTGTGAGAGTTTTGAATCCACCTTTTTTATAATGCTATATGAATTACCCCTTGAACATTTCATTACTACTGCACCCCTGCCCGCGCCCCCGCCCCCCCCCCCCCCCCCCCCCCCACCCACCCAAACAAAAGCAAAAATGTAATAATTTACCCTCTGACAGGTGATAGGTCAGTATCCATGATGATATCCATTAGAAAGATGATTCTATGTTGGTCCAAAAATGAACCATGCACAAGTACCCTTTTGTAGGTTATATTTTAGATGATGTCTGGTTACAGTTTGTTAACGGTTGATCCTACTTATGTAGTTTATCATGAAGGTAAATTATAGTACCTCCCATGGGTTGGTTTTGATAGATGCCCTTGGAATTGTTGATGGTCAATTATTTAGTTAGTTACTTTGCCAGTTCATGCATTTCATGGAATTAAATTCAAAGAATAGAATGCCTTTTTTTGGTCCAAAAGAATATAATGCTTTTCTTAGGAAGCTTTGGATAACAATTACTGCTTGGATTTTGATTGATATGATATGCTATCATATCATGATGAAAAGTGGAGATAATTTCAAAGGAAATTGTTTTCAGTCTTAGAAAATTAAATACTTTTGTCCCAATTAAATTGGCAAAAAGTAAGGTCATTGGAATGTTGTACAAGTAGAAGTAAACTAGGAAAACAATGGAGTTCCTACTTCATGTAGTTCAAGAAATATATAAGCATTAAGGAAAATATTCTTGGGATATTTGGACTTAATTTGACTATTTTATTTATATTTCTCTATTATCTGATTTCTGATGCCTCAAGTATTTGTCATATGTTTTAGGAACTATTGAAACTGGAAAAGCTCCAGGAGGAGCTTGTACAAAGATGTGGTGGTCAGCCCACAATTGCCCAGTGGGCAGCAGCAGCAGGAGTTGATCAGAAGACATTGAGGAAGCGCATAAACTATGGTATTCTGTGCAAAGACAAAATGATCAAGAGCAACATAAGGCTTGTTATATCAATTGCAAAAAATTATCAGGGAGCTGGGATGAATCTACAAGATCTTGTTCAGGTATTACTTTGTCCTATTTTCATATCATATGTACCATAGTTTGCTCTAATATGAACACTTTCCTGAAGGATTGAAATAATTATGTTCCTGAAGTCTTGCCACCTCTGAATAATACCTAAATCTTGCTTATTGACTATTAGCAAGGATGTCGAGGCCTTGTAAGAGGTGCAGAGAAATTTGATGCTTCGAAGGGTTTTAAGTTCTCAACCTACGCCCACTGGTGGATTAAACAGGCTGTTCGAAAGTCTCTTTCTGATCAGTCCAGAACAATTCGCTTACCTGTGAGTTTTACCCTTCATGTTCATTTTATTTTTCCAGTGGTTCCTATTTGGTACAATGGTAACGTCAATTTTGGATTCAATTGTTGAGACTGGCTAGTTTGAAAAACTGCTTACGCCTAGGACATAAAGGATTCTCCCTTTTGGGACCTCACTTCCGTTGACCAACACAGGGTAGAATTCAATTGTTTTTCTTTCTTTCTTTCACAACACTTGAATATACACTATCAAATTGATTCTGAGGTGGAGAGGTCATTGTTCTGATTCACATTCCTGCTGAATTTGTATATCTTAGTGCTTCATATTTTTTACTCTTTGCATTTGCAATATTTTGGTAAAACAGTTTCACATGGTGGAGGCAACTTATAGAGTTAGAGAGGCTAAAAAGCAATTGTATAGTGTAAATGGAAGACATCCTAATGATGAAGAAGTTGCAGAGGCCACAGGGCTGTCAATGAAGAGGCTTGCTGCTGTATTACTGACTCCAAAAGCCCCTAGATCTCTGGAGCAGAAAATTGGCATCAACCAGAATCTTAAACCTTCGGTCTGTCCTTTCTCTACTTCCAATGAAGTGGCAATTTTCATCCAACATTTTGTCACCTTTTGTGTTTTAAGTATTCCTTTTCTGACGAGGTCACGTCTTTCTGCACAGGAAGTAATCGCAGATCCCGAAGCAGAAACAGCAGAAGATATGCTGATGAAAAAATTCATGAAACAGGACTTGGAGAAGGTACTAGATAGTCTCAATGCAAGAGAGAAACAGGTTGTCAGATGGAGGTTTGGATTGGAGGATGGAAGAATGAAGACATTGCAAGAGATAGGGGAGCTGATGGGAGTTAGTAGAGAGAGAATTAGACAAATAGAGTCATGTGCTTTCCGTAAGCTGAAGAACAAGAAAAGAACTAAACATTTGCAGCAGTATGTGGTTTCATAGGCCTATGTCAATATGGGGATTAAATTTCAAAACTAGCAGGTAGTTCATTTGCTTTGATATTTATCTATATTATGGCTTCTCTTTCCATGTTTCAGAGTGGAAATGTACTATTTTCTCCTTTTGTAATACGAGAGAATATTTGTGCATAGAAACAGAATTTTTTGGATCAAGCATTTCCCATTCTTTTAATGTATCAAAGAAGTACTTAAACAGAAAACAGAAACTCACATGAACAATCTTAAAATCTTACATGTTCATTTTTTATTACAGATGTCAGCTTACTCGTTTCTATTGATTTTACTCCTAGTCCTGGTTTTCTTTCTGTTAATATTACTTTCCTTCCATACTGCATGCATTGTGAAGTTGTATTTGAGCATGCACCATTATAGTTTGTTTCCTCAAAGGAGTAATAAGTAGTCAGTTTGCCGACTTAAACATGCTGCACCATATGGTAAGAGCTTCATTGTATCTGGAATTTGCACTATGTTAGTGTGTGGTCACTGTGGAAAGGCACTTCAGTGAATTTCAGCTCGTCATGGTCACTTGTTGGAACAAAGTCACCAGAAACTAAAATGGAAGGGGATGGTCCTTTGGCACAGTTCAAATTCACTGGTCATTTTCCATCAAATTTCCACATGCAATGAAATTCCGGTATGTCTTCTTCAAGATGGCTGATGTGAGCTTTATACTAACATCTTCAGTTGCAGAAGTTTAGTTTATTTGTACAGAAAATTATCCCCTTCTTTTTTGGTTCGTATTTCTTCTAGTTTCTTCTTGTGATTAGAATTATATGATTTTATATGTTTGCATATAGCAAACAATTTTTATTACATATTTGCTTCTAGATCAAGTAATGAGCATGCCAACAGACCAATATTTAGAGGTGAAAGTAAATCTCTTAATTACTTTTGGGAGAAGGAATGCCTTATGTGCCCAATCATGTCATGAATATGTAGCTTTCATGTGGAATAATGGATGGAGTACAAATCTACCATTTCAGATTGTTTATGAGCTTGATCCAAGCAATAAGTGCAAAGAGTAGCGCTGCCATAATCCAAGCAATAAGTGCTATTTGCACTTTAAGGGCATACCAAACTCCATAGGTGCCACCGAGGGAAACCGACAGGAGAGACATCTGTGGAGTCAAAAAGCCAATGATAGTGGTTGAGACCTAATGATAACATACAGCCTCCGGCGATAAGAAGGGAAAAAGCATAGCAAAACCTGTAAACACACCACATGGAAAAAACTGGTAATTTCGCCTAAAACAAAAAACAACCAAGTTAATTCATAAAAAAAAAGTGTTAATTTTGAGTAACTGAAAAAAGTCCCTTCGCAAGAGAAAAAGCGCGACCTAGCCGCCACGTAGAAACTTGAGCTCTCTCAGGACCAGATCGACTGGCTCCGTCAGCTCAGTGTGGCCTTGCCTTCGTGGTGACATGGAAGAGGGATTTCCTGGAGCTTTCCTTCAAAACTATCGGATGACCAAAAGAAGTAGACCCACAATGGAGCCATCTGCTGACTGTGAGATGACTCACGAACAGCCGCCAACGACTCCTACTGAACTAGCCCAGCTACCAAACCCCTCTACGTTCTTGTGTAGTTTCAAGGATAAACTAATGAACAAGATGAGCATGGCAAAATTTTTTGGGTTGACATGAATTCTTTGGAGGCCGACTATGATGATTTGAACGACGAGAAGGATGTTGTGACCTCTCACGAAGAGCGTGGCCCTTGTATCTAGTTCTCTGAGAAAGCTATGACTTGTTTTATGTGAGCCTTGGCAAAATGCACTCATAATCAAGCTCCTTAGCAGACCACACACCTACAATTTTCTTCATGCCCGATTACAACAGAAATGGAATCTGAAGGGGGGATGGAAATTAATTGACGTTGTCAACAACTACTTTGTTGTCAAATGTGACTTGGAGGAAGATCTTAACTCTATACTTACAGGAGGATCGTGGATAATCTCAGGTCAGTATCTAGTGATGCAAAAGTGGCGACTTGGGTTTTGCCCAGCAACTGCCCACATTACAAGGATGGCAGCTTGGATCCGAGTGTCAACTATTCAATTAGAATGTTTTGATATATGGGCTTTGAAACGGATTGGAAACCTGTTAGGGAAACTACTAAAAATTGACGCCCTCACCATTATTCAGAACAGGGGAAAATTTGCCAAATTATGTGTGGAACTCAATTTGACCAAACCCTTAGATGCCTTTGTTCAGATTAACCACGTTTGGTACAACATTGAGCATGAGGGCCTCCCAAAAATTTGCTACTTGTGTGGGAACTACGGGCATAAGAAAGAGGCTTGTAACCTTATGACTACTTCTGCTGGCCAAACAAGTGAAACCCCAAATGCAGTAGGAGCAGATCTAATGGGACAATCTGCCGAGGTGGAAAACGAGAACTCTATGGAAGGAAACAAGGGGTTGAGAGGGCCATGGATGAATGTGCCCCTCCGAAGGAAACGTAAAGCTATAGCTACAAAAGGAAAAGGCAAGATCCCTGGAGGCAAAAGTCAGGGGTCCAGATTTGAAGCCTTAAGAGAAATGGATGACGATACGGAGAGTGATGGTGTGGGAGATGCTAGGAGTGCCAACCAGAAACAACCAATTCATTTAGATACCCCAAAATGGACGGCTTATACTAGGAAGAAAGCATGGACAAAATCCAAGGCTGCTATGCCCGGTACTAGAGTAGTATTGAATGACATTTCAAACAAGCCAGTACAGAAGCAGGGTGACATGAGGTTGGGCTCAAAACATGGGGATATCGACTTCTAGGGCTTGGAACTTTACTGGTAAGTTGGTGATTGGGGGGAGGAAAATTATAAATAAGGTATCAATCAATGATTAATTAACCAACTGGGTCAGTGGGCAAAACGTGTATAACGAAAAAGGGATGTATATTTGTTCGCGCTAAATCTGAACAGATAAGAGTTTAGGCTAACTTACAAGTATGCTGATGGTTGAGGACCGGAGTGACCTTCTTCCGTGATGTCTGAAGGTTCGAGTGGGGGTTGGATCCAAATTAGGAAGGGATACCGATGTGGTACCTGCCGAAGGTACTCCGATGCCAAAGTTAGTGACTAAGAGCGATTCTATTGATAGTGGAAACACTAATCAAGTCAGAAAGTCTTACCACTTGGCTGGGCCAAGGGGCTCTATTTATAGAGAGCATTTGTGATGCTCTTAATACTTAGTTTCGATGTGGGACTCGTGGGAGTGTCTTCGGAGGTCGACACGTAATTCTGACAGGCTCTGGCAGGAATTCTGAGGTAATCTGTCAGAATCGGATTGATGTGATGGTTGGTCGCTCGGTAGACAATACCGAAGGTTGGCGTAGGTAGTGATGCTGCGTTATCGACCCCCTGAATCGGTACTGAGTGCCGAGAGAACATTTGGTATGGCCCAGTTGAGCTGGTCTCTGGCTTGAGGGCGTTCCACATGTCACGACGTGAGTAGGTGGTCAAATATGGTACAAACAGTAGTCCCCCAAGTTTCCGATCGAGGAGAGACTTCTTGGTTGGGAACTTGCTTGTGTCCCTGAGCTCCGACATTCTGACCCGGGAACGAGCGTCTGTCGTTTGTAAGCCGGTGGTGATCATGTAGTCCCCCCAAGTCCTCAAGCCAAGGGGTTGGTTTGAAGATTGGAAGGGAGCGGCAGACAGAGCCGAAGGTGGGTGAACAGCGTATAAAGGATGAGTTAGGGGGCCTGCCGTTCGGTACAAGAGGTGAGTGAAAACAAGACCCATGCGTGCCTGCCGTTCGGCACGAGAGGTGATTGAAAATCGACCCATGTGTGCCTGCCATTCGGCATGAGGGGTGAGTGAAAACAAGACCCATGCGTGCCTGCCGTTCGACACGAGAGGTGAGTGAAAACAAGACCCATGCGTGCCTGCCGTTCCGCACGAGGGGTGAGTGAAAACAAGACCCATGCGTGCCTGTCATTCCGCACGAGGGGTGAGTGCAAACAAGACCTATGCGTGCCTGCCGTTCGGCACGAGGGGTGAGTGAAAACAAGACCCATGCGTGCCTGTCGTTCGGCACGAGAGGTGAGTGAAAACAAGACCCATGCGTGCCTGCCGTTCGGCACGAGGGGTGAGTGAAAACAAGACCCATGCGTGCCTGCCGTTACGCACGAGGGGTGAGTGAAAACAAGACCTATGCGTGCCTGCCGTTCGGCACGAGAGGTGATTGAAATCGACCCGTGCGTGCCTGCCGTTCGGCACGAGAGGTGAGTGAAAAACTCGACCCATGCGGGCTTGCCGTTTTCCAAGAAAGTTGTTGTCTCAAAAAGGAGAGGAATGGAGAAGTCGAAACGTCAAAGTGTAGGCGCAAGGGGGAAGGTGAGAGCACTGGGCTCCCCTGTGCATGGGTGACACGTGTCGGCAAGGCAGCGAAGAGTTGTGACGTTTCGGTTCCCGATGCGAGGCTCGTCCTATAAAAAGGAGGAAGAGACGGTAGGAGGAGGTACTTGAGTTTTTGAGAGCAAACGGAGCTTGTGAGAGGCGATTTCCAGCGAGGGTATTGCGGCGTCGTAGGCGATTTCCGGCAAGGGTATTGGGGCGTCGTAGGCGATTTTCAGCAAGTGTTCGTAAAGGCGGAGTGATTTCCGGCGGCTTCCACCACCGTGTGAAAGTATGAATCAAATGCTTGTATACTTGCATGAACACGTAAGAACTTAGATGAAATGAGATGAGCGTAGATGAACATCAGCTCTTGGGCTCTAGGATAGGGGTTTGATTCAAGCATGTCGTTTAGTTTTGCTTTGCTTTTGTTTGTAGATGTCAGACACCGAATCAGACTATAGTCATAGCCCAAGAGCTTTTGATGGAGAAACGGCCTCAGAGAGCACAACCGCAAGCCTTGATAGTGTTGATTTCAAGGAGACCGAGAGGGAAGTACGAAGGTGTCTACTGATTCGGGAAGCACTTCGAGTGTAGAAATAGTGGGGGCTGATGGCGCTCGACCATCGACGAGTGGGGCGTCTGGTGGGAGAGGCCGAAGGAGATGTCACCGTTGCCGACCCTGGAGAGGGCGTACTGACGGTGGTAACAGGCCGACAAAGGATACCGATGGCGAAGCCAAAGGACCTTGTGTTCGGGGTGGACCATCTAGAGCCGAACATCATGACCGAGGCGGAGGTGGCGAAGATCCGGGCTCTGTACAACATACCATAATCGATAAAGATGCAGATCCCGGGGCAGTTGGAGTCGCTAAGCAATCCAGCAGGGGAGGTGGTCTTCTTCACGGATGTCTTCAGGCACGGGCTTCGGTTGCCGTTGAGGCATTCGGTGCAGAAGGTCTTGGCGGCGATCGGTTACGCCCCCGGGCAGTTTAATCCAAATTTCTGGATTACACTCCTTGGGACGATCACGGCGTGAGGCATAGCTGGTGAAGGAGAGCCGAGCTATGAGCAATTCGCCCATCTGTACAGTGTGATGAGGGCGAAGAATGCCGATCAAGGGGGGTGGGTGCAGTCGAACTGCCTGGCGGCAAGGCAAAGGGGCCACTTTGTGGTGGGGGTGCCGAGTTCTCAGAAGACTTGGCGCCAGCATTAGGTTCTGGTGTTCGGAGCCTGGGAATCGGCACGGGGGTAATTGTGAAGAGGCATATCCCCACGTCCTTCCAGACAGTCGGTAGGTCCATGGGATGCCATTCGGTAGCAAATTTTTATTTTTATTTTTTTGTGCCGAAGCTGACCGAAAGTTGTTTTTTGTGTTGCAGGGTCCTTGAAACGGCCGATCACTATGAAGAGGGAGATAGAAGTGATCGAGCGCGTTCGGTCAAGGATATCAGAGGAAGGTCGCTTTCACAAGGCTCTGCTAGATTACAAGAACTTGTACAATGCATGTCTAATCAGCGAGCTTGAGTACTCCGAAGGAAGGAGGAGGAAGAAGAAAAAGAGAGGCAAAGTAAGTGATGTCGTTCGGTAATTCATCGGTTTTGTGTATTGTAGAGTGTACCGAATGTGCCCTAACTTTGTGTTTGTTGTTTTATGCAGTGGGGAGGGAGAGAGATGACGGACGCGACGAGGAGGCGGCTTCAGTCGTGGGCCCCTCAGAAGAAGACTGGTTCCTCGCGGCCAAAGACGAAGACGCCGCGCCAGGCCGAGGGTGCATCGGCACAAGAGGGTACGCCAGCCGATCGGCTGCGGGAGGAAAAGGGTGGCTGAGGCCGAGCTAATTCGAGAGGCCCACCTCCAAGTCACCGGGAAGAGGGTGATCGAAGGTGCCCTCGATGTGACCCCTCTGTCGAAGAGGCCAAAGGGGCCGAATGAGGAAGCAGCCGTCCTCGTGCCCGACGACGACGAGGATACCGAGGCTGACCCAGTGAACATTGCCTGCCCTCGGAAGGTGGTGCCGTTCGTGAACTGCTTCATCGAGGGCGCTCAGATGAAGTCTTTGCGCGAACAAGCCGGTCGAGCCTTCGCCTCCAGGCTGCCGTAAGTGTACTTCAGTGTTGTCCAAGTGTTTGAGGTGATGGTAGTGCTAACATGGGTTTGTGTTTGCAGGCTAACATGGAGATGTGGCTCGGCATGAAGCGAGCTGTCAATACGGCCGAGCGTGTCCAGAAAAAATATGAGGACGGCCGAGCCAAAGTTGCCGAGGCTGGTAAGTTGCTGCAGGATGCGGATCGGTACGCGGAGGAGAACGCCGCCAAGATTGCCGAGCTATCTTCCAGGTTGGCGGAGGCAGAGAGGGCGGCAGTGGATGCCGATGAGGCGAGGACGAGGGCAGAGGCAGCGAAGGAGGCCGTGCTTTGGTCTCGGGCGACGGAGGTGGAAGAGGCCAAGAAACAGGTCATAGCTGAGTACCGAGACTCGCCTGAGTTCGTGGCATTCCTTGACAAGGAGGTGATGGTGCAGTGCGAGGATCTCATCTACCGGTTGAAGCGTTTTAATGTTGATAATAAACTGAACTTGAACTTCCTTCGGGAACCTCCGCCGTTGCCCGAGAGGGTGACCGAGGAGATGGTGGAGGCGTACCTCGGGGAGGATGCCGAAGTGGAGACCTCGAGTGGCTCGGAGTCGGACAGTGAGGAAGAAGAAGCTACTCCACTTCTCGAGCCTTCGAGTGTCCGAGACACCGAAGTGCTAGCCCCACCTGCTGCCGAGGACGATCATCCTACTCCTTAACTCCTGCCCTGCTATTCTTTGGTTTTTGTAATTAGTATTTGGATATGTAGGCCGTTCGGCCTTTTTGTAAAGATAATGGCCTTAGTTTGAGGCTTTAATTTATATCCAATGTCTATTTTGAATCAGCTTCAGTATTTGTTTTTTCTTTCCGAATATAAGCATGTATGCCGAATTGCGTAGAAATAGGATATAGGTATATATACTGCTGTTTGAAAGTTAGATTGTACAAAAGCGTAGTGGCCGAAGGTCCAGTCACTTGTAATAGAATTTCAAATGTTCAACATTTCAAGGGTGCCCGAGGGTTTGACCATCGGAGCCACGCAATCGGTAGGTGCCGGGTCGGCAGATGCTGACAATTTCATAGGGTCCTTCCTAGGAGGGCCCGAGAGTACCTTCATTAGGATTTCTCGTTGCTAGAGACACTTTAGCAGAACCCAGTCCCCCGCCTTGAACGATCGGTGTTTTACGTGCGAGTCGTAGTACCGAGCCATTCGTTGTTTGTAGGTAGCGTTCTGGAGCTGTGCTTGCGATCGGTGTTCATCAATGAGATCCAGGTTGAGGGCGAGCCGCTGTTCATTCTGCTAAAGGTCGTACGATGTCGTTCGGCATGTGGGCGCATGTACCTTCACTGGTACTACAGCTTCGGCACCGAAGGCTAAGGAGAACAGTGTCTCTCCAGTTAACCTTCGGTATGAGGTGTTGATGGCCCAGAGTGCTTCTAGTAGCATGGCAGGCCAATTGCCCTTGGCGGCTCCCAACTTCTTCTTCAGCGTTTTCTTGATGATCTTGTTGATGGCTTCCACCTGTCCGTTGGATTGTGGATGTGCCGGAGATGCAAAGAAGATGCTGATGTTGAACCGGGAGCAGTCGAATTGCTTGCCATTGTCGGTTACGATGGCGTTTGGTAGGCCGAATCGGCATAAGATGTTTTTCCGTACAAAGTTTTCGATCTTAGCTGTCGTTATCATTGTGAGGGCTTCGGCTTCAGTCTATTTGGTGAAGTAATCGACGACGACGACTGCGAACTTAAGCTGACCCGTGCCTTGCGGCATAGGGCCGATGAGATCGAGTTCCCATTGGGCGAATGGCCATGGGCTAGCCATTGGATTGAGTGGTTCGGCAGGAATTTTCGATACAGATCCGAAATGTTGGCACAGATCGCACTTTTGCACAATCTGGGTGGCGTCAGCGTGGAGAGTTGGCCAATAATAGCCTTGCCGAACGGCCTTGAAGGCCAAGGATCGGGATCCCGAGTGATCACCACACGCACCCTCGTGTATCTCGCGCAAGATGTAGTCTCCCTGTTGTGGTGTAACACATCTCAGCAACGGTAGGGAGTAGCTGCGCTGATAGAGGACGCCTTGCAAAAGAAGGTACCGAGCCGATCGTCGTCGTACTGCTTTTGCCTTGGTTTTGTCAGTTAGTAGGGTGTCGTCGGTGAGGTGGGCGTGGATCGGGTCCATCCAACTAGGATCCTGACGGACGGTGTTGACATCGGCTTCGGCCGTGCTCCGCAGAGCAAGAACTTCGAAGGGGGCGCGACGGCCGACACGGTCGTCGATTGTCGAAGCGAGCCTAGAGAGAGCATCGGCGTGGCTGTTCTCAGATCTGGGGACCTGGCGGATGTAGTAGGTTTTGAACTGTTTGAGTAATCGGCGGGTCTACACGAGATAGGTAGCCATTGATTCCTAATCGACGCGACCCCAAACGTCCCACCCACTCCGATTCCCCGGACTCATCATGACACCAACAATAAATGCCACGCATCCTGAGCATCTGACACGCGTCCGCACCGTGTTGCATACCCGAGGCAAGCCTGTAACAACCCGGTCCTAATTAATATTTAATTAATAATTTATTCTAGTAAAAGACAATTATACCCTTAGAATATTTTAATGGTTTAAAAGTTGACTTTTTGACTAGGAAGGAATTTGGGAACTTCGATTGCACCGTTACGTAGAGCGTGACGAAACGAGTTCATAGACATGTGGCACGCTCGATTTGGAGTTGTAACGAAGGAGGGAAGGTCTAAAAACAAAAAGGACATAATGGGAATTCCAAAAATTGTTACTGTAGCTACAGTGCTGCTACAGTCGGTCATTTTCCTTGCAATTTAACCAGATTTTCTGGTGATATTTATTTGGTATTCCCTCCACTTCCATCATTTTAGAGACACCATCTTAGCCCGGTTGCTACCGCAACCTTCACGAGATCTCTTCCCCTCGTCCTCCTCTACAAAACCCACCTAGGACCTGATCCGATTCGGTGACGATGAGCTCGATTTGAAGCTTGAAAAAGGGACGAGTTTGCCGGCAGTGTTTTAGAGTTTTCCGGCGACTCCGACAGCCAAATCCGTCGAGTGAGGTATGGTTTCTCACCTAATTTTCGAGCTCTAGCTGCTGGTTGGGTAGGATTTTAGAGATTTCAAGCGTAGATCGTTCAATTCCTTAAGTTAGGTTTCAACAGATTTTCGGGTAACTGTTTCAGCCACTTCCGGCTAGTTTTTGGGGTATGTCTAAGAACAAAAGTTGTTCCAAATGGGGTATTTTACCTAAGTTAGGAGTTTGGGCCGGTGGTTTGGAGTTTTTAGACCGCCAGGAATTGATCAAGCCACACACGCGCTGCCGGCGCGTGGGCAGATTGGTAGAGACCACTTTCAGTTCTAAAATGATCATTGGCTTGTCACGAGCCCGTAGGAATTTGCGGATCTCAATTTGGTTAACGTTTGAACCCCGAACGGATCTCGCATATTGTGTGATTTTCGGGTTCAATAGTTTCGAACCATTGGATCGTAACCATTTTCGGATATGGTAATCTAGACTTGGCCAGGATCGTATAGTGTTTGACGGATCGTAAAACAGAGTCCCGGATACTCCAGAAATGTCAGCCCTAGAGTGAGGTTTACAGTAAAACAAACCAGTTACAGGTCAGGAACAGAGGAAAGAACTATGTGTGGCTTGATCCCTTAGTAAAGGTACGTAGGCAGCCTACAGTTATCAGGCGTAGCCACGAGTTAGGGGCTCAGGGTTTATGTTACTGTTATCAGGGCATTTTGGTCATTTGCGACCCACGGTTACCAGGGTGTCAGTTTTAAACAGGTTTTGACCCATATTCCAAAGTGGGAATTGGGTTAGGTCGTTTGAAAGCCAGCCCTTCTATGGGGAGTTGGGGGACTCACCAGGCCGACCGACTAGAAAAACGCTCGCCTCTCCACTCAACTGTTGCACACCTTGACTCTTCCAAGGCGTTTCCCAAATCGGACAGCTCAGTAAAAAACAGACAACTCCCCACCCAAGGGAACTTGCCCGAAGAGTTGGGGGACTTGTTGACGCTTGGTATTTACAGAGCCGAGCTGCCCGCTTAGAACAATGTTAAAATCACCTACGAGCTCGGCCTCGGCTCCTAAGCATTGCCCTATCAAAAGCCACAATATACGGAATCGCCCATGACAAGACCCCATCCCAACAAGACATGACCACCGCCATACCTAAACTGGAAGGTTACCCTACTTGCAGTACCCCCCTCTCTGTGTAAGGGATAGAATGCACAGGCCATTATGAACCAGAGACATAGACGGGCCCCGCCTAACTGCCCTCGGGCAAGACGGGATGGGACGCGTACTGCTCGGCTCGGAGCCGAGCTGGTCGACTTGTAATACTTTCCATTATCAAACACACCCTCCTTAGAAATAGGGAGGGTACTCTTGTAATAAGGGGCTCTCTCCTAGAAACTCATACCCACAATTAAATACATATCGTGTTATCCATCTAAATTATACTTGGATTCAACACTTAGATTTGAAGTGCTGCTTCCAGTAGAGTTTTCTCAGTGAAATCAGCTTATGATATGTTGTTTCATGATGGTAAGAAATCTGATCCTGGTTTGGACATTTTGTGGAAGCTACATGTACCTCTAAAACTTAAAATTTATTTGGCTGATCTTACATGAGAGAATATTAACTAATGAGCAAAGAGTCAGAAGACAACTTACTATAGATTCCTCCTGTAAGATATGTGATTGGCCTTCTGAATCTATAATCCACCTCTTAAGAGATTGCCCCATAACTCAAGAGGTTTGGAAAACTATTACAGTTCCTACCCAAGTGTTCCTCCTTGCTAATGCTCCTGTTAAAACCTGGTGTATAGGCAACCTTTGCTCTAAGGCCACTTGGGGAGAAGGAGTTCCTTAGCACACTATTTTTATATTTACTTGCTAGTTCATTTAGAAATGGCATGACCATCGTATTTTTACTGAAGATGGGGGGGCTTCCTCATAATCCTAGGTGGACTATTTATTTGGTGGGTTCTCGGTAAATTTGGGGAAAGGTCAGATTATGGAAGCGGAGTTATAGGGTCTATTCTTTGGATTTCAAATATTTTCATTGAAATGGACTCTGCGCTGGTTGTGACCCTTATTATGAATCCTGCGACAGTTGGTACTCATCCTCTTGCTGGTCTGTTATATGGTTGCTGGGATTTAATGAAGAAGATTAGTCATTGTGCTATCCAAAATGTGTACAGAGAAAGAAATTATGTAGCTGATAGGCTTGAGAATGGCAATATAATATGGACTAGGCATACAGTGGTTTGACTCTGTGCCTCCCTAGACTGTGGAGGCTTTGGTGGATGATCTGTTAGGGGTTTCCAGACCCCGTTTGTTTTTGAAGTTCTTCCCCCCTGTTTCATATTTTTTTTTAAAAGTTAGACTTTTGTATGTGGAAAGTTTGAGTTGTGTCTTTATATTTGGGAAATTGATTTGTGGCTTTTGACATGCAATTTTCTATTTAAATGCACCACAATGGTGAACTAAGAGGTAACTATTATGTCAATGGGTGTGTTGATTGGTTTGAGTATTGTGATTATGGTTTACCACTGATTTCTCGATCTTATTCACGATTTTAGAAAACCATGAATCACAGCCTTTGATGGGTCAAAACATTTCCGGATCAACCTATACCCATAACCTAGAACCCAGAACCCAGAACCCTTCTTACCCTCACATACCTTTCCATGGATGAAAAATCGAATCCCAGGATTTGAATTTGTCCAAGAGGTTCAAATTGTAGCAGCCTTGCCACACCAACACATTAGCGCCTCTTCATCCATTCCAGGAATCGAATTGCTTTTTGATCTTCTTCTTTGCAACAGAAGGTAGGGCACACCCTGTGAGAAGTTTCCTCTGGAATTGATGTGTGTTTTTGTGGTATGAAACTGTCGAATTGATGTTGGGTTAAAGGGGATAGCGACTTCAAATCCTTGGTCAAGTCTAAACACAGTTTTTTTTTCCTTTTCTAAAATGCCCTTCATGTGGACTATTTGGATTGGGCCATCAATATATGTGGTGGGTCTTGCAGCTGCCACACCTGCATTTAATGTCAGAACAAAAGATCAATCTAATGGGCGGTGTGAATTAGTCAAATTTGGAATGTTAGTTATAAATGGATGAATTGAAACCCTAGGTATACAATCCAATTCAATCCAATTTTAATTGGTTTCGAAGATTTGGTGGATTGGATTAGATCCGTAATTTTCAAAACCAACATGATTGGATCAGATGACGCATTTGCTTATGAAAATCCAATCAAATCAAATCTAGTTAGTTTTATGCTTATTTTGCTCTTGTAGGTATTTGTCGTTGAAAATATTATGAATATTTTAAGTCATTTAATGGAGTTATGTTTAATATATTATATAATCAAAACAATTTTCTTTAATATTTCATTTATATTTTACATTTATGTTTGATTATATTAAACATAAAGATAAATGTTTAATATTTCATTATTGTCATTTTTAATATTAAAACCGATCATCCAATCCAATCTAATATCTCAATTGGATTGGATTGGATTTAAACATCTAATGTGATTGGATCATATGCGAATTGACTAAATTGTATTGGTTTCAAACCAACATACACCCCTAAACTCAAGGCTCATTTCGATACGACGCCTAAACCACGATGGATGAAATGTTGTTAGTCCTAAAATGATTTGACAATATCACACCAAACTTCACTTTTAGGGTTGATTGGATCATATGCGAATTGACTAAATTGTATTGGTTTCAAACCAACATACACCCCTAAACTCAAGGCTCATTTCGATACGACGCCTAAACCACGATGGATGAAATGTTGTTAGTCCTAAAATGATTTTGACAATATCACACCCAAACTTCACTTTTAGGGTTGATGTGCCATATTCATCTATCAAAAAATCTATAAAGGAAAGTCACATGGTGCATATGTTGGGCTTTTTTGCAAGTCAAATGGTTTAAAAATATTTATCGTTGCACGTAAGGTACTATAATCAAGCGAAATTTAGGAAAAAACCCAAAAGAAGCAGCCAGCTCTCAAAACACCCAAAATATTTCCAAAATGGCAGAAAAACCCTTATCTTAAGCACCAAAGACATGCATATCCTTTGCCTCTCTCTCCTCCGTCAAAACCAAAGCAACATGTGAAGCCTTGTCCTTTTTCCAGCAGCAACACCAACAGTATATCAGAACATACTTTTAAGAGCTTTTGTTTGTTTGTACATTTGAATCTGAAATAATCATGTGAATCCGTTGGCTTGTATAGAGTGTGCATGTGAAGTTCATATGAAACTTCAGAGAGTAAGAGAGGTAGAAAGTTTCAGATAGAGAAGAACTCTTCTTCTCATCCTTAGCTTCTTCTTTTCTTTCATCCTTAGCCATGGTAGAGGTCGGTGTAATTTATGTATATAGTTTGTAACTCCGAAGAAAGAAACATAGAACACCAGAGAAGAAAAAATCTCAGTACTTCCTCCTTCAAATTTTCAATCAATAAAACTCCCTTTGTTTATATACTTTCTCTTATTTTCTTATTATTCTCTTATTCCGACCATTGTTAATACCGTCGACCACTGTTTATACCCGGTGATAACAGTAGTTCCAGCAACATAAGCAATTAAGTAAGTCATTTTTCTCTTTTATTTTTGGTTTTCTTAGTAGACTTCTTGTCCAAAACAGGGAAACACTTTTATTATTATGTTATTATCTTGCTAAACTGATGATCAATACTGTGTTTGAGCACTTGGTCATGTTTGATATTTGTCATAACAATAATTGGATGTCTGTTAGGGAACCTCTGAGTTCTGCTCCATAGCCCTTTAAGTTGGCGTCTTTGCAGTTCCATGTTCTAGTTCCATGTTCTAGGCATGGTGTCTGGTTGTTATTTTGGCTTTTAGAAAACCTTGACCGAGCCCCGCTTCAAGAATGGTATCAGAGCCTTAGTTTAGCATCTTAATAATATAGTTATACTAGTAAAGTACCTTGAGGACAGAAGTCAGTCAACACAACTGATAAAAACCAACATTTTATAATCTGTTAAAATTTTGTTAAGTACCAGAAAACAGTAAACCGTTTGCATGTTTGGCCCTTGGTGGACATCTATTAGAATAAAAGAAAGGTTGCAAGAATTAAAGAAACGGAAAGTAGAATACCAAAAAGAAATTAGGAATCTAGAAAAATTAATAAGATCACCAGAAGTAGATAATTATCCTAGAAGAAAGTTAGAAGTCCAGAATAGCATAACAAAAACCAATACCATTTAGAAGTCTGTAAAGAATCAATAGAAGCTTTTCAGGAGCATTTAGGCATCTTAAAAGAAAAAGGTAGACTTAGATAGATTTATGATAGAATACCTCAATTTAGAAATCAGTGAACAACAAAAGAAAAAATTAACTCTAGATAATAATACATTAGTTTGTTATTTTCCACAAAAAGAACACAAACATCTTTTACATAGTAGTAATAATCCCTTAGAAAATAGTATTATTGACCTTTTGATTAGTCAAGCAGAAAGTGTAAAATTTGAACATAACAAAAATAATAGAATAATTCAACAGTTACTAGAATATTTTCAGAAAAATTCCTTAAAAACAATTAGACAAAACTTAGACTATATAACATCCCAATTAGAAGATAATAATAGGAATATCCAAAGATTCCCTAGTAAGAAAGAAATAAAAGACCTCATAGATCTTATAGATAGTAAGCCAAAACAAATAGAACTCCAATCATTAGAATAATTGAGCAGTTAAAATTAGAAGTGCAAAAAATACAATTAGTACAAAAAACATTAACTAAACAAGTTGAAAAGTTACATAGTAAAATAGATAGACTTTTAGTTTGATGACATATTCTAAAATTAATAATAAATATATAAAGGCATTAGAAGAAGTTGGTCAACTAGATAAGGAACCAGTAGGTCTCACAGAATTTACAACATCTGTAGTAAGTAGTAATATCCCTATTAGACAAAATAATTTAATTATCCAATTAATTTTAAATTTAGCCGAAAAAGTAGATCAATTAGAAGAACAAATAACAGAAATTAACCAAGTAGTACACAATACCACTTCTATACTACCCAAAGACTTAGTTGATAAATTAGAAAATTTAACTTTAGGAAATAATCCTCATAGAAGAAAAAGTAGAATAAATCCATTTGATAATAGTAAATGGAACTCTTTAGAAGAAAAGGAAAAGAAATAGTTAGAACAGAAGATATATACCCTAGTGAACAAGAAGCACAAGAATTTCTTAGAAAAGGCTTTGAAAAATCTCAGAAAAATAAATATAATTTATATCATTAGGAAGATTTGAAAATAGGCATAGTATTGTAAGTAGTATCAGTCAAC